GCTCCTTTATATTTTATACTCAAAAATTCTTAAATATCTGAAAATTTTTCAAAATTGCATCTATTTTGAGAAAAAAAAATGAGCCACAGCTCTTCCCTTCTACAGAACTCATCGGCAGCAATTTTACAAATAACCTCAAAATTTGAAGAAAATACAAAAATTACTACTTAAGCTACTCTTTTTTTTGAACATTTGATTCGATTACCTCATTTCCTTTTACTCTATTGTTTTTTTTTTCTTACCTCTTCTTGCTATTTATCAAAGGAAACCAGTTAGACTTTAGTTTACGACCTTGGAGTGTTTGTTCAAATGTGATACTGGCGGTTTGGCAACACAAACGCTCTTTTGTGGCTTTTTTTCCCAAGGTAAAATGAGAGAGTGAGAGATTTTTTCGAGTGCAAAGTGGTTGTAGTTTGAAATTTAAGTTTTGTGGAGTTCTCAGAGAAGATTTCGGACTTTCAACTGTTTTTCAATCATTTTTAGAGATTTTCGAGTTTTTAAACTTTAAAAAAGGGCAGAGTTAGTTATGACTGTGCTTTTTCTCCAAAATCTGCGTTCAGGGTGGGAATTAAAGAAAAACTTGCCTTTGTAGCAATTTTCAAAAAAATTTCCAGCCTACAAACACTGTGAGTAATGAAAGAATGGCTAAATCCGTTATTATAAGATTGCACCCGACCAAAAACGACTTGCGCGTGGAGGCGTTCGAATAGGGTCAAATTTGACCCCTTAACTTGAACTGCATCCCGACCGCGACGCAGTTAGCCATTCCAAATGCGACCGGAGCTTTTTAACGTCCAAAGAGTTCCGAAAACTTGGAAAAAGTTGTACTTTGTCAATTTTGTAAAGGCTCTTCTTTCCAACCAACCTTTTTTCCTCTAAAAGCTTCCGGTTCGCATTTGTTCTCCCATTGAATGACCACGGCGATTCTCGATCGAAATCCATAACCGCCGTGTTTTTTTCCCTTCTTTTTGCTGGACGACCTCGTTGGACGAGAAGTGAACAAGCGACGCAGCCTAATCGCCTCAGGTCCGCTTGTCCCTTTCCGAATCACTCCAAATCGCGGCCTCATGCACTTTTTGCCTCTGACTTGACACATCGGTTCAAGTTTTTTTCGGCTTGTTGTTTTTTCCAATTTTTCCGGATTCTTTTCCACTCTAAGAAATTATTCAGAAATTATTGTTATTTTTTGAAAATTATTGTCACTTTTCGGAAGTCACTGTTTCTTCACGGCTATTTGAAGAAAAGTTTTCTTGTTATTATTAATTACACTTCTTCAACCGATTCTTAAATCTTAAAGTCTCAAATAGCTCATTTTTCTAAAAATTTTTGGTCTTATCAGAAAAAAATGAAACAATCCCCTATATTCACCTTGATCCAGTAAAAAAATTTTTAAAAAAAGTTTTACGAGTTTTTTTCTGATTTTTTTCCTGGAACCAATTTTTTTGAAATTTTTTTATCTTTCATGATTGACATTATTCTTCCAATTTGTTTTAAAAATAAAATTGAAAAAAATTTTTTTCAGAAATTCACTCATAATGTTGCGTTTTTCCGCAGTAGACGATACTTTTTTGAAATTCGAAGATCTGTTGATTTTTTTCCATTTTCATTCTGAAATCTTTTTTTCTTGTATATTCTTTCTCAGCAAGTTTTTTTAGTCCCTCTACCAAATTTTTCATTCACAAAACTTTTTTTATTCAAATTTTTTTGCCACCAAAACGAACGTTTTTTTGTATTCAAGGCGCTTTTCATTTTATCAATTGTCTTCTCTGAAAGATCTCTGGACTCATTTAACAAATTCATAAATCGTTGATTTTGAATTTATTTTTTTCAAAGTAGCTTTGTTACCTCTTTTTTTATAGGCAAAGCCAGAAAGGGAGGAAAAAGGCTTCATAAAAATATTAATTTAAGGTGAAAGGCTCCCATTTTTCTGCCTTTTTGGGCCATTTCATCAGTTATTATGCACCATTTTTGCTGCCTCTTTTTTTCCACCATTTCTTGAGCCTTTAAAATCCCAGAAAAGTGGAAGGCTCGATAAAGGGACTCTTTTTGCTCCCTGTTTGCGGCTTTTTTTGAGCCTCTCCCTTTTAGCGGCCATTATTCACCATTCCGACTTTGCCGGAGTTCAAAACGTTGCCCAGAACACACTGTAAGAAGGAGGAAAATCATTGGCGTCCTGGGAAGATATTTATCAATGGAGCGCATATGCTCCTTTGGTTTACAATTTTTTTTCACTCAAAACTTCTCCTACAGCTTCTGATTGTCCATAAAGTCTCTGGACTGATTTACCGACCCCTAAAAAAGAAATATAGACATCGTAAGTTGACGCCTTAAACGGTTGTGCGTATGTGTGTGTGTGTGCCACGCCCAGACGGCGCCACGGTTGGATATAAATCGAGAAGAAGAGAAAAGAAAGAAGAAGAAGAAGAATCGCATCAATTTACGGCCGAGGGCAAACGGGAAAGCCATCAGAAGTCAGCAGAATGAAGGAGGGGGGCGTGATCGGACATCGATTGGCAGAAGCAGAAGGCGTCGACGTCTTCGGCAGCCGAAGACGTGGGAGGCGTGCCGAAGAGATGATAGTGCTGGAATTCTACCACACCCATCTCTCTTTTTTCTCATTTTTCCACCTTTTCTTTCTTAGTCGACGCGCTGACGCATCCAGTATTTGTTAGTACCCTATCCGTCCCGATTTCTTCGACAAACATTCATTTTCAGTCCCATTTTGCCTTTTTTTATTTGATTTTCTCGGCTTATTTTGCGTGGAAATACTGTTTTAATTCTATTTTTAAATCCTGTTCTTCATTTCTGTAAAAATTTCCTTGAAGAATCATGGAAAAATGAAAGTTTTGAAGAGCTTTGCTTTAGAAACACTAAATTGATCATTTATGGGTGGAAATAAGGTTCTCTGATTTTTCGAATTACGGTAGTACGTAAACTGTGTGCTCACAACTAATGACTACAGTGATATTTTTGAAATTCCCGCTATTTTCTTCTGCCATTTTTCTTTTTTGTTCCTTTGTCTCAGTGTTTTGCTCATTTTCTTTGTTTGAAAGTTCTCTCAAATCAAAAAGTTTGAAAAGAAAAGAAAACTATGCGAAAAGTTTGAGAGACATTTTTTAGAATATTTTTTTCAAGTTGAATTATTTATTCTCCTCTTCTGTTGTTTTTTTTTAAACATTGTATTATGACCTTTATCCTTGATTTCTGTTCTTTTTTTGCACAAAAAAATTTTTATTTCTCCTCGGACCAGAAAAGATTTTTTTCTGAACTTTCCGTAATTCTTTAAATTTTTTTCCGATGAAACTTGATTAATTATCAACTCAATAATGTGAATTCGATTTTTCATGCGCGGTTTTCTTCCTGACACCTGAAGACTCTTAAGACTAGCCGAAGAGCCGTGTTTAAAGGTTCTATTTCTAAAAAAAAATTTTTTCGCGTTTCTTTAAGGCCGTTTATATAAAAAACATTTTTTTATTTTGGTGATTTGAATTTTATTTTTGACTCTTTTGCTTGTCTTGCAATATTTTTGGAAAATTTTGAGAGCACGATTTATAATGCTCTTTTTAAAAATGTATTCCTTGAACCATCTTTTTGTTGATTATTTTTGGCTTTCAACCAGCATTTCAGAAATATGATAACGGTTCAAATCTTCTGTTTCATCGATTTCGAATTTTAAACGTATTGGTTTCTTTCAAGTTTTTTTTTCCAAATTTGCTTGTTCGAATGGTTTTTATTGTTTATCTCGCCAAAGTTAATTTCCGTGAGGAGTGTACTTCGGAAGTTCATCATTTTATTTTTGGACTTTTGGAGGAAAAAACTTTTGATCATTTCACTAGGAATTTGCGATCTTTTGTGAGTAGGCTGGAAGCGGAAACGTGGTTTACCTCAAAAAAGTTTTTTCAAGTTTTTTTTTCGTTGTTTTCGCGAATACAAAGTATTGAATGGACAATTTTTGGGGTTTTCACCTTTATTCCGTAAAAACAGATTTTTCAGTATACAAAGTCTAACTTCCTGGTATTTTCAAATCTTAACAAGCTTTTCAGTGATTTTCTCAGATTTCTCATCGTTATGAACGTTTACAAACATTTTTCCTGACATCAGGATAAGAAAAAAGGAATTAGACCCCAAAAATGGTCTTCTTTATATAGTTTTCTAGCCGAATTTCGCAAAATTCTGAAGTTTTGAGAGAAATGATCTGTTCTGAAGGAATGAGAGCCAATAAAACTTTTTTTCTCTGATTCAAAACACCAGAGTGGTCCCTAGAGGGTTTAGGGAAAAAAAACAGCCTCATAGGAGACAGAAAATTGCTTCTAGGGGGATCAAATTGAGGTGGTCCCAATAGAGATTTTGGGTCTGACCCTTAAGTCACTAAAGTTTAAGTGGTCCTTATAGCGGTCTTTTTTTTAGTTTTTTATATTTTAAAAAGTTTTTTGATATTTACTGATCCAAAAAACGGCAGTTTATTGAATTTTTTGCTTGAAATTCACTTCTTCTCACAGACTTCATAACCATAAAATTTTTCCCCTGGAGTTGCCACTTTTGCAAGCTTTAGTGTCCCCTATAGGGAGGTAAGACGGTTTCTGAAGGGGAGCCTTCAAGGGCCCAATATTCTTTTTTAGAACTTCAAAGGCTCAAGAAATGGTGGAAAAATGATGAGGCAGAAAAAAAAGGTGCATAAAAGACGATGAAAAGGCGCAAAAAGGAACCTTTGCCACCCTAAAAGGAACCTTTTTCTACCCTTCCGACTTTGCCTATGTAGATTGCCCCTTAAGGGACCACTCTGGCGTTCCTGAGTATTTTCCTTGAATGAATTGATCTTCATTTCCGGAGACGTCCTCCACTTGAGAATACTCTGTTCCAACTAATAGGTCTTGTCGCTTCTTTCGCCACTATTTACGGTAGCAATTGGAGGCTGTCTGTCGTATAGTGTAACGGGACAGCATACTGATTGCATCGATTTGCGGTCGTGTCTCTGAATTATTGCTTTTGACGTCGCCGCCATGGGTGTGGCGCCGAAACCGTTGTTTTGCGGCAAATGTCAGAAGAAACGTGGAACCGGTATGAAAGTGATGGCTGCCATTCGCCACCGCTTTTCCTCGTTTTCCAAAGTTTTTTTGGGAAGCGATTATCGGCGGGAATGAACCTTTGTACCGGAAATGGGCTTCTGGAGAAGTGAATTGGTTCTGGTTTATGGCTTGATTTATATTTATTTGATGACACCGCATTTTTGAATATTCCTCTGGAAACTTGGAGAAACTTTCAAGAGACTGATTTTGGCGGGAATTACAGTGAAGATGTTGTTCTATAGTCAATTTTTTCCGACTTGACATGGGCAGGGGGCGGGACGCGTAGCTTGTGCGTACGCGGTTCTTGGCACGCGTTCAATTTGAGCCTTAGGAACTATTTAAAAAGCTCGATCACCGCTCTTTTTCTATATTTTCTACTATTATTTGATGCGCGTATGAAAAAAATCAATAAATAATTGAAAAAGAAGTGAAAAGAGCGTTAAATGAGCTCTCCAAATAGTCGGAGGTGATTGAATTGAACTCGTGCCAAGAACCGCGTACGCACACGCTACGCGTCCCGCCCCTTGTCCCACCTCCCTCGCCTTTCAAGTCGGGAAACATACATATGTAATGTTGGTTAAAAGCCAATGAGGCATTTTTCAATCTGATTTTTTTCCTCAAAATGTGTATTCAGACGATTTTTTCTTTTTTTTTAAAATTAGAAACATGAACCGATTAGAAGCCTTAAAGTCATCTTTTAAAAACGGAAGCTGTCAAAATCCATTTTCGTCGAGTTTTGAAAGAAGATTTCAATGTTTTCTGCAAATAATGATCATTATAAACTTTTTTCTTTTGTTCAATTTTTGAACATGATACCGTGTCCAAAGTAATTTCCGCGAAATGCAAAATTTACTCTGAGCCTCCAAATTTTAGTTATCTTTTTCTTTTTCTGATGGCTATTTGGAATAACTTTGAACACGGTATGATTTTTTGAATATTTCTGCTGACCAGCTCAATTTTGAGCTTATCCAGTTCCTTTTTGAATTTTTATATCGATATTTGCTCTTTGTCGGGAATTTTTTTGAAATTTTTTTCGGCTTTTAAACACGAAGAAAAAAACCGCGATGTGAGTTTTTTTATAGGATGAGAGAATTAGGCTTTTTTTTTGAACTATATAATCAATTTTTGAACCATATATTTTTATTCTTTCTAATTTACAAGCTTTCGTATGTCAATCCTTTCAACGTTTTTTCTATTTTTTATCGAAACTGAACAAAAAAATCATTAAAAATTGATAGATTCTTTCAGAGCCTCCGGCTGTCAAGGTCTACATCAAGCCGTTGGAGGTGACGGTGCCGACCGAGGACCAGGAAAAGAAAGAAGCGAAAAGCGCAGAAGAACCGCCGCCACTCCCCGAGCAGCAACCCCCGAAAACCTACTGGTCGACGATGACGTCACGCATCGAGACTGAAACTTCCGTCAAACGGTGGTCGATTCCGCCGGTTCGCACCGAGGAAGGGATCCCTCCAGGGCCGGTCAGTTCTGTCTGAGGATCAAGAACTCCATAGTGATCCCTATAGGGTTAACTTCAGGCTCTTCTAGGGACCTTATTCACCTGTCCCTATGGGGGCCACTAAAGCTTGCATAAGTGGTCCCTATAGGGGTTTTAGTTAGTAGTGGCCCCTATAGTGACATGGTTGTTACTAAAACGTTGACTTCCTAGTTTTCGAGTCTGAACCACTTCAGGGACCACTTCAGCTTTAGGGGATTCGAGGTTAGACCCTGAGCCCCTACAGGGACCACTTAAATTTTAAATCTATAGGGACCTCTAATATTTCCTTTATATAGGCCGTTTTTTTCCCATTGTCCCCTACAGGGGCCACTCTGGCGTTTTGTGAGCCCTAGAAAAAAACAAAAAAACAGAATTTTTTTCGAGCCGATTTTTTTCCCGCAGGTCCGGGTGTCTTGATAAATCAAATCTGTAGTTATAAAATTTTCCTTTCGAAACCGAGAAATGATGTATTTTTTCCAGGAAGACCGGCCCACGACCAAAGAAGGCAAGGAAAGCGAAGGAAGGGTTCAGGCGATCACGCCGAATTACAAGCTTGGCGAGGAAACGCCGGTGAGTTATGGGGGACCAGTTGGGGCTCGATTCGGGAGAAGTAATTGGCCCTTTTCCACTCTTAACCTTATTTTTATATACACCTTTTTCACAGCTTTATGCTTTGAAATAGGCAAAAACTGGTTTGAAAATGGTTAATTCCACCTTTTTTGAAAAAAACTGTGTCAAAAACCTCTGTTTTTCATTCTTAGAAACGCCGGAGTGGTCCCTATAGGGGTTAGGAAAAAAGCAGCTCTTCTAGGGTTGAAATTTAAGTGGCCTCTATGTAGGGACCGCAGACGAATTTTCAAAAAATTTTTCGAACTTCAATATTACTATGGTTGGATAGCTGCTCTAATTTACTATTCAAAACAGTTTAGTTTTTCGAAAAAGGTTGAGAAAAAAAAAAGTTATGGTCAAAACAGTAGTGAAAAAAGTCGCGAAATTCACTAAGAATAACTGACGAGATAAACGCGAGCTCGGTGGCGGTACATTGACTAACTCGCAAAAATGTCGCTTTTTTCTAGGCGCGATCCCGCATTTATCTCGGCGCGACCTCGCATTTTTCTCGGCGCCATCTCGCATTTATCTTGCATTTCGGAAATTTTCAAATTGCGAGAGAAATGCGAGCTCGCGCCTAGAAAAATGCGAGCTCGCGCCCAGACTAATGCGAAACCGGCGCGAGAAAAAAAGCGAGATGTTTGCGAGCTCGTCAATGTACCGCCAGTGTCTCGCGTTTATCTCGGCAGTTATTCTTAGTGTTTAGTACTGATAGTTTAGATTTTACACTTTTGGTCGTTCATTTTTGTTTTCATATCGGATTTAAATTTTTTTAGTAGTTTAGTTTGGTTTTCAAAGTCGTAATAACACTAAGAATAACTGACGAGATAAAAGCGAGGTCGGTGGCGGTACATTGACGAGCTCGCAAACATCTCGCTTTTTTCAAGGCGCGATCTTGCATTTCTCTCGGCGCGACCTCGCATTTTTCTTGGCGCCATCTCGCATTTATCTCGCACTTCGGAAATTTTCAAATTGCGAGAGAAATGCGAGCTCGCGCCCAGAAAAATGCGAGACCGGCGCGAGAAAAAAAGCGAGATGTTTGCGAGCTCGTCAATGTACCGCCAGTGTCTCGCGTTTATCTCGGCAGTTATTCTTAGTGAAGTCATTAAAACAGTATAAAACCACAAGTTTGAAAAGAAAAGCTATTTTTTCTTGAAAAATAAAAAAAAATGGCCGCTGCGAGGATTGAACTCGCGATATCAAAACTGTATGCAAGGGCACTTGCGCTGCTCCACGTCCATCCCTCGGAGATGGGAGGCGTTCGCGCTATACACCACTTCACCTCAAAGTACAGCATTTACCGTCTGTTTTGTTTTTAAAAAAAGTTATGATAGTTGAACAATTATTAGTCACGTGTGTTCGGAGCACCTAAAAAAATAATTTATTCATAGAGATTCAGTTCGAAATGCTTCCGTTTTTCGGTGTTTTTTTGTTATTTTAAACGTTGGCTTCAAGTTAACAATAATTAAACTTTTAGGCACCGCTAAAGTTTTTTTATTTTATTTTTTTAATTGATTGAAAAATTGAGATACGCTAATATTTAAGAAATAAAAAAGGCGCCAACGACATCTAACCATGTTAAAAATAAATTTCGAAATTTTTCACTGTCTTTTTTCTCAGAAAACAAAGTTTTTCGGAATAAGTTTTATATTAATAAAATTTGAGTTACAATTTAATCCACAAGTTAAAATGAAAAATTTTTTTACTTACACGCTCTCGAAAGCGAGTACAACATTTTCAACTTTGCGCGGCCTCACGAAGATTAGGCACCGTAAAAAAATTTTTAATTTTTTTGTCTTAAAAAGATTTGTTTTTTTCACTTAAGAATCGAATTCAAAAAAATAAAAAAAGGCGCCAACGACATGGAACTAGGTTAAAAAAACCCGAAGAAAAAAAGTAGTTTTGGTTTTTTTGTACGACACTCCGCTAAAACGCTTCGAAAATCGGATGAAAAGTATATGAGATTGAAGAGGAAGGTTTTCTCTATGTTTCCACCAAATTTCTCTGTGTTTGATCCAGTATTGCGCTTTTACGAAAACATCAAACACGAAATCTAAAAAACCAGTGCATTTCACCATCGCAAAAAGGGGCGTGGCTCTGCGGTCTCTACCTCTATGAGGGTCTGGGTCATGGAAATTTTCTTCTCATAGAGTTCAGAGTAAAATCCCCTAGAGTGGCCACTTTTGCAAGCTTCAGGCTCTCACAAGGGGAGCTGAAGTGGTCCCTAAAGGGGAACCATCTGAAGCCCCTATAGGGACCGCTCTAGCGTTCCGAAGTACCTTTTCATTTTTATTCTTAACTTTTTTTCAAAAAAAGTCAGTCGTGATTTTCACGAGTTTATTATGAGTATAATCCAATGAAAATTTTTCATTTTTATATATTTTATCACATCTTTTTTTCTTAAGTCACTCTCCTCTTTCTAGTTGCTTATAAAAAAATTTCCAGAAGCTTGAAAAATTTATTGTGTGTTTCAAAATGAACGTGTTTCAAAAGGAATTTAAAAACCAAATGTGCAAATTTTTCGCTTTTAATCTGTTTTACTTTTTGTGGAAAAATACCTTTTTTTTCTTCTGAAATTATAGGAATTTTATTCATTTTCATTCTGACTCCAGTTAGTCTTCTTGTAGTGAAATGACGAGAAAAAAACCGGAAAAATTTTGCTCAAATCAAGTTTTATTCATGAAGTTTCTTCTTAAGAGAGAAAAATATTTTTTTCTATTCGCTCTATTTTTAGTTTAGTAGATTTTATAAAATGGAGAAACATTGGAAAAACATTGGACAAAAAGTTTTCTTAATATTTACAAGAAGCTGAAACAGGAATCTGAGAAAAATGTTTTTTTATAAATTCATTTTTCTCAGCGCCGAGAGCTGAACTTGGGCCGCTCGGGATATTTGCCCAACGAGTCGGGCGACTACAAAATGAGCATGCGAAAGGAAGATTATAAGCTCACCGTTATCGATCCAAAGGTATTTTTTCCTTTTCTTCGATTAAATAAAATAACTTCAGGTGCGCTCCAACGCCAACATGCCCTATTTGTCGACGACTTTGCCCGACGCGAAACGGCAAATCGCCGGGGATTTCCCCAGCGAACACAGCAAAAGGAGTCAGATCAAGCTGGAGCCGTTGGAACAGCGCCGCTTCAAGGTGATTGGCGTCGGAATAGTCCCTAGTATGAGCAATAGTGAGCTGAAATGAGGATTGATATTTTTGAAAAATGAACTTTGAATTTTGATTGAAATCAAGGTTATTTTTTTGAAAAAAAAAATTCCTTGACATGAGCAACAGTAAGTCAAATTAAGGCTTGAATTGAGATGAAAATAATTTTTGCAAGGGAAATCTGTAATATGAGCAACACTGAGCTAAAATGAGGCTTGAAAATTATGAAAGTTGTGATTTAAAACTTTACAACTTCTAAAGGAATTTGATTGAATTCAAGGTAACTTTCGCCAGAACAAAAATCACTAACATGAGCAATAATGAGCTAAAATGAAGCTTGATATTTTTGAAAGTTGTGATTTATAGCTTTACAACTTCTGAAGGAATCCGATAGAGATCAAAAGAAATTTTTAGAAAAAAATTTCCCTAACATGAGCAATATTGAGCCAGAATGAGGCTTTGTTTTTCTTTACAAATTAGAATTCAAATATTTTTTTCAAAATTTGTGTTCTATGGGGTTTTTTTGAAAAAAAGAGGAAAAATTCTGTTATAAAAAAATAGATAAAAAAATAAATATCAATGTTCTTCATGGATCTCCTGATCTCGAAACTGTTGCTTTTTTTTACTGTTTCAAGAATTGTACTTACTGATAATTTCTTAAATTCTCAACTGTTTATATCCTTTTAATGGTCATAACTTCTTTGAAATATAATTACTGTTTCATGTCTTGTAATTAGCTATGACGAATGTTTCTGCATAATTTTATTTTTATCGAACACATCCCAGAGCACCGAGTCGCGTCCAATCACCACGAGCAGCTATCTAACGGAGAGCGTCGAGCGACATCGCGACATGGAAGCTTCGCGACTTCGCGACTATCTCAAGGCCAAGGAGGGCGACGCGAACAAGCCTTGGGACAAGCCCGGATGGCCCGGACCGAAGGTTTTCTGGAGAAGTTTTGGGAAATCTCTAAATCTTCAACTTTCAGAAGTCAGCCGATGATGAAAGTCTTCGAGAGCTTGAAACTATCAAACAGGTGGGGATTTTGGTAGTTTCCTAAGTATTCTGAAGTGACCTCTTCAATTTGATCCGCATCGCTCTCCCTCGAATTTCTCAAAGGGGTCACTTAAGAGGCTCATCATCAAGTACTTAGAGAGGATCACTACAATGGCCACTAGAAAAAATTCTATAGAGCCCACAATTTTGCGTTTTAATGGCCACTTCAGTAGTTTTTCATCCAGTAGTCCTTCCAGTAACTATGATAACTTTAAAACAAACAAATTGAACCAGTTATGTTGATCCGTTGACCCCTAAAGCAGCCACTAAAATTCTTAGCGGTCTAGTAGTGGCACTTAGACCTCTATAGTGGCCACTAGATTTCAACCCCTTAAGTGGCCACTAATTTGACTACTATAGTGGCCACTAAAACGTCAAAACCCTATAATGGCCACTAAAAATTTTCCCAGTGTTCGAAAAATCATAGTGAGCACTTAAGAGGCTCCTCAAGGGCTTCTTAGAAAGGAACACTGAAGTGGCCACTGTAACTATTAAGCGTTTCAGTGGCCACTCTAGTAGTTTTTAGTGATATAGTAGTATCACTTAGACTTCTTAAGTACCCATTGAACCCTTTAAAAATTGTTCTTTAGCTTCTTAGTGGCCACTATAGTGTTTTTAGCAGTACCAAGTGGCCGGAATTCGGCTCTTAAAGTGGCCACTTAAATATTTTTCCAGTTGGTTTGAATTTTTTAGTTCTTATTCTGGAATCAGAAGGTCTTGAAGTACTTACGCAGCCAAAATTTTCAGAATTAAAGAGAAAATTTGCCTTGAAATTGATGATTTTCTTCAAAATTCCTTCATTTTTAGAGAGTCGAGACGCTGAAAAGGGTAAGTGATCTCAAAAAGTGTCCTAACCGTAGTCGCACCGTTGTCCCGTAACCAGTCACAGTCACATTTTCGCTAACCCAACTCCATTTCTGGATAGTCTCGCTTTTCATCCGCATGCGGGTCTTTTGTCTGTTGTGATTTTCGAATTTCGTGCATGTCTGAAATGGTTTTGTGTGTGAAACGCGACCTCCCATGGAACGAGAGACCCGGCATGAGCTTCCCCCCTCCTTCCCCCGCGGAAATCGGAACTCGGTGCTGCCGCCGCCCGGACGACACTCCCTTGAGCCTTCCAGAGAACCTCGCAGTCGATGAACGACTTGAGACCCTTGCCCACGCCCAGCGAGTTCGGCAAGGTCAAAAATTCGGTGAGTGGTCCCTCTAGGGATGTAAGAATGAAAGCTGTGAGCTCGAAAATTTGCAATTGTGTAGTGAAACAGAAAAATACGGTCAACTATAGCCTGTGTACCACGACTTGGAGTTTCACCAAACGACATTCCGCTGTGCCGCTGCGCGCCTTTGCGAACCTCGGTCGCGCTTTTAATTTCTTTTTTTCTTTTATTGAGGTACTCTACTTTCATGTGCTCCCACAGCAATAACAATCAATTGAAAACGTGACCTAGATTCGAAAGACGCTTCGCGAACGCACGCAGCGGAACAGCGGAATGTCGTTCCGTGAAACTTCAAGCTGTGGCTCACAGACTATACAATTTTTTTTTCAAAAACCGGTTTCATTGCTCATTCAAATTCCTTCCAAAATTGATCTATCCCGATTTTTGACTCATTTCAGACCCCACAAGCCTCGCCGATTCCATCCGACGGATGGCTCATCCGGATGAGGGCCAACAAATATCTCAACGAAGCCGCCAAAAGCAACGATCTTCGCAAGTTCAAATCCGTCGATGAACTCGCAAAAATGGTGGGTAACCAGGAGATTTTGACCTATTTTTGTACTGGATCCCGATCTTTTCATCCTCTTTTTCCTACTGCGCGACATTTTTTAAATAATTAATCTGAATAGCAAAAGTTTTCTTATTTATATTTTGTTTTTTAATGCGGTCTGGGTTCTGAAAGTTCATATTTTTTTCTGTCTCTAGATTTTTCATTCATTCAATTTTTTACTCGACACAACTGAATCACAGTAAATTTTTTGGCTCAGTTATAATAAATCTAGAATCTGAAACGTTAATTTGGTATTTTTTTAGAATAATTTAAGATTCTAGAAGAAAAAAACCATTTTATTTTTTTGAGGACGACTTTTGATAATGCTCCATTTTATTTAAAGCGCCAAAGTGGTCTCTATAGAGGTTAGGAAAAAAAGGCTTTTATAGGGGACGAAAAAGCGCTCCCTGGAGTGGTGAAATTTGAGTGTTCCTTTAAGGGGTTTAGGGTCTCGTCCATGGAGCTTTACTGGTTCCTATAGGGGTCAATTTATGTTATCATTTGAGAATCAAAAGGAGATATTCAATGATTGATTGATAAAACAATAAACGACGCATGCAACCCTACAGGGACCACTTTAGCAAGCTTTTGTGACCCTATAGGGTGAGGTTAAGTGGCCCCTAGATAGGAACCTTCAAAGCTCTCTAAGGTTGGCCCTATAGGGGCCACTCTGGCGTTCGAAAAACAGTCGATTCCGAAACGTTTGCACTAACGTGTTGCGTGAGGCCCCGAGAAGCATGAAATACAGGGAAATAGAGCAAGAAAAGCCAAGAGACAGGGCTCTACGGAGGTGCACTCGACCGGCGACTCGAGGGTCCGGTTATCCGGCCCCGAGGCTTTTCCTCTTCGATTCGTTCCCTTTTCCTTGTCTCTTCGTGTTTTTCTTGTCCGTTCCATGATCGAGTTGGTTTTTTTGCCTACTTTCCTTTTTGTATTCTGAAGAACTTATTGTCTTATTTTGGTTTTTTGACATTTTTGCACCTCAGATAAGGTTTCTTGCTTTATCTTTATTCTGAATCCAAAAGAAGGATTTTTTAGTGAAATACTCTAATCTTTTTTTTACTCAAGAAGAAAATCGGTGCCCCCGTTCCATTTAAATAATTTTTAGTTTAGCATTTTTTTCACTTTTTCTTGTTACGAGCGGTGATAAAACTTAGTTTTTTTGACGCACTTTTTTTCTGTTTTTCAGAAAAAAATTTTTGCATTAGTTCATTCCCCCGTTGGCATTCCCATTGATATCCGCTGAAAAAAAGAAGAGTGATGTGTGATTATTTCAAGAAAAAAATTTGGTCAATTTTATAATTTAAAAAAATAATGAGTTTTTTTCTCGATTCATGGAACGATCTACCTTCTAACATTTTGAAAAAAATTGTTATTTTTTTTATTTTTTTTCAATGTATACATTTCTATCGAAAAGTTTCAAAATTTCACTATCCATCTGCCGTTTTTCGTGAGCCCAGTCGCAAGTGGAACGGATGAACGCGTCGCGGTCGCGAAGCGTTTTTTTCAAAATTGCCTAAAAATGCAAAGTTAAATAAAAATCATAGGTTCAAAGCAGTAGAGTGTCAAGTTGAGAAACACAACTTTATATAAGTTTTTTGGTTGATTTGCCGAGGCTCAGGAGCTTATGACCGCATGTGGAATGGATCAAAGCGTCGCGGCCGCGAAGCGGTTTTTTCAGGCTCGCTGAAAATTGCCAGAGTAGAATAAACTCGTTGTTATAGTCGATTTTTCCCGACTTGAAAGGCAAGGAAGGCGGGGCAGGGGGCGGGACGCGTAGTGTGTGCGTACGCGGTTCTTGGCACGCGTTCAATTGAAGGCCCACCGACTATTTGGAAAGCTCTATCAACGCTCTTTTTAAATTATTTATTGATAATGTTCAAGTGTGCATCAAATAATATTAGAAAATACAGAAAAAGAGCGGTCAAGAACCGCGTACGCACACGCTACGCGTCCCGCCCCCTGCCCCGCCTCCCTCGCCTTTCAAGTCGGGATGGATTGACTATAAGTAAACTGTAATTCTGAGTCAAAACAGTATACTAAAAGAAAAAGCAAAGCTGAAACTTTTGCGAATAACTGCGACGCTGCGCCACCCACACACACGTTGTTTGGTGCGTGGTTTCTCTTTTTTGTGTTCAGAGGAAGAAAAAGAAGCTGCGCGGAGACTATCCTTTCTTTTTTCTTCCTCCCCCCGATGCCAAGGGTTCCTTGCGTTCCGTAGTATTTCCCGGGGCGTAGTGTTTGAACTGCTCGACCTCTTCCGGGCCACGGTCTTTCCCCCTTGTCTCCGTGGTTTCCTACCGTCTTAATCCCTCGTCCTCTCGATCTATCCTCCCCGCCCGGCGCCGCAAACCACTTGTAACTCATTTCTCCTCATCTTAATTACTTCTTTATAGCCTTTTTGTCGGGCTTTCTCTGATTTTTTTTCCATGAAGATTCGGATTTTTTCAGGAACAGGAACGGAACCGAGATCCTGTCGACGAGTTGCACTGGCAGCTTCGCAAGGAGTTCCATCTCACTTCCTATTCGGTTAGTTTTGAAATTCCTTTGGGATTTCATGATCCAGCAGTGAATCTTCTCTGGAACATATTCATAATTTGGGAAAAAATGGATTTTTAGGGTGGAAGTTGGTATTAAGGGTTCAAATTTCAACTTATTAAGTTGAAAATGAGTTTGATGTTTCGAAAGGGATCTAAATCGTCTTCCAATCTTCCAAGTTGGTAGATTTTCAGTGTTAACCGTGATATAGAGAAATTTTTCTCTCAAGGTCTTGAATGTTTATTTTTTTTCTCAAATCCCTGTTTCACCAAAACTATTTAGTGGACTTTTGGTATGGAGAAGTTATTCGAAATAGGCATTACTAAAGAAAAAAAGCAGTGATATGTTTCTATGTCAGATTGAAGGTTTTCAACAAGATCTTATTCGATTTTTTCTTTCGAAGTTTCCTGTTTCGATCCCAGATTAAAAGTGAAGTGTATAACAATTGTTGATTGAGGAGATTACTCCAATTATTTTCCACAAATCATTTAATATTTTTTTCGAACGATAATGAAAAATTGTTCTTTTTTTATCGGGTTGATCTGATTTTTTTGATCTGAATGAAGATAGTTATCAGATGGGTGATAAGATCGCGATGACGTGATATGGCATAGATCTTCTCAAATGACCAGAAAAGGTTTTGTCTAGAAAATGGGATCCTGGGGGCTTCCGGACGTTTCTGAGCATTTATATGAATCACTTGAGAGTTTTAAGAATTTGAATTATTTGAAAAACATTCGAGAGTTTTGAGTTAAGAAATTTCTCGCAAAGGATTCGATTTTTCGATTTTAGACGCTTCAAAAGCTTCGAGTAGTTTTTTGTAAAATTGAGGACTTTAGACGTCTCAACTCGTGAAAGAGATCTACAGCGAGAAAGTTTTTTCTTGTTCTGGAATCAAAAGGTCTTGAAGTACACCTTCTACGGGATTCCTAATGGGGGAAGGTGAGCGAGGCGTCAAAGTTCCTGAATTTACAAAAAAAAGTAATTACGCTCTCCTGATAAAATTACGTCATTCTAGGTCACAAATTACACTGAGTATTCAACGTTAATAACTTGTTTGTTCTATCACCTTTGGCTTCGGACTTGAGATTTGAATTTTCGCGCCAAATTTTTTTTTAAACGTGTCCTCACCCCGTTTGGGAACGCCGTGATGTTGTGAAACTCCAACAAAAGTAGCGATTGATTCTACTTCGAGCAGATTTCGGAATATGAACTGAAACAGGAAAACCTGGAAAAAAAAACAATTTGACGTGACCTTTTACTCATTCCTACGCCCACAAAACACACACACACACAGAGCGGACAAGCGAGAAACAAAAACTTACATGGGCAAAAGGTTTGCTTTTGGGATCATCGGGCCGACCCGAAAAATGGAGAGAAATAAGAGAGAAATATCAGCTCAAACTTCCCCCCCTGAGCGGAGAAGCAGCAGATGATGGAAATCGGCGACGGAATTTTTGCTGTCCGTTCGTTTCGTGAGGGCCGTCAGTGCCTACAAATCGTGAACAAGCGCCGCTCAAATACGTTTCTCGGCCTTTGAGCTCGCACTTTCCCACACTGAACCTTCTCGAGTCCTTGTACGATAACTCCACTCTAATCTCAACAAATATCAACATTGATTTTGGCCTTTTTCTATAAAGTTTTTTGGCTTGTAGGTATTTTTTCTGATCTTTGTCTTCTTAGGCTTTTGCTCTATACTCCACCAAAGCTACAAAAATGATTTTCGGCCTTTTTGGCCCGCTTTGAACATTTTCGACCCCTTGTACGATACTCCTCTTTATTTTCAAAAATATCAACATCGATTCTGCCCCTTTCTATTGATTCGATCGATTTTCTCTGCTATGGACTTTCTTAAGCTTTTCTACTATACATTCCTTGATTTTTATCAATATTAACATTGATATTGTCTATTTCAACCATTTCTTTCTGATTTTTTGCCTCGAAGGAATTTTTTCTTTGCTTTAAAACTTCTTAAGCCTCTTTCCGCCTCATTCTCCAAAAATATAAACGTCGATTTCTTTAAGTATTGATTCCGTTCATTTTAAGGGAGTTGGTATTTTTTTTCGGCTTTTTAGTCGACACTTTTTGACTCGGATACTTCTGCATATGGACAGTCGATAAAAATTAAGCCTTTTACGGAGATTTTTCTAACTTTTCGGTGTTAGTGAACTCCACAGAAATCGAAAAAGAGCACATTTTTGTCTTCATAAGTTGATTTGGTTTTTTATCGAATCGATTAGTTTCGGTTTGATATACTTTTTACCTCATTTTGAAGTTTTTTCATCTCTTGTGCTGTAAGGCAATCAAAAACGATATTTGAACAGTTTTTCTTCAACGGAAAGTTGATCAATTGAAGTCCAACTTTTTTTGACGATTTTTCTGACTACATTTTGAAAATCAACTTCAAAATGATTCCTTTTATGGAAAAATTCTTCCATTTACGTTTTTTTCATTCCAGCTATTTATTTTTTTTTCTCACGAATCAGCGAATAGCTAATTCCTCATTAAGATGACTATTATTACTTATTCTTTCAATTTTTTTCCGCTTGCACTCATTTTTTTGATTATTTCTTTTTTTACCTGGTCCATAAACAAATTTGAGTCTTTTCTTTGAATAAAACCTGATGATCTGAGAAAATCATTGATTTACTTTTTTTAACATTTTTCAGTTTAGGTTTGATATTGATAGTGTCCTTGTGAACCGGTCAGTGCTTGAAAAAAGAAGAGAAAGGCGTTTTTTAAAAATTATTCTAGGGCTGAAAAATTTTTTTTTCACGTTTTCTTAGGTTTCTCAATTTTCCAGTCTCCCTCATTTTTTAGCCAATATTTTGTAACTTTTGATACTTTTTTTTAATACAGCGACTTTAAGTTTGAGAAAAAACTGTTTATGGGCCAGTCGTTCAGTTTTAGATTTTATCATCAAAATGTTTCCTGTTAGTTTTGTCATTTTAATAAGTCCCGAAATGGTAAACTCTTATAGTTTTTTCACAAGATTTTTGATTGACCTTTCAGATTGATTTTTTTTTTTGCTGTAGATCATCAGAACTTGCGGGAGTTCACTTTTTTTTGATTTTTTGGAAGGCATCGAGTTAGCTTTAACGACTGTATCTTTCAATTTTTCTCATTTTTATAATTGGAAAATCGCCTTTTTTCTTCAAAATTTGTCGCTTTTGTAGAGATTCAGTCAGATTTCTCTCTAGACTTTTTCATTTGGGAAAAAGCAAAACAATGATTGAGTTGCACAAAAAGCTTAATTCTTAAGTTTCAAGTCAGAAACCGTGACTTGTGCTTGATAATAATTATAAATAAATGGATGGAGTTGATCAAATTGAACACGCAGAGAAGACTCCACCATTTAAAAAAGCTATTAGAGCTCGAAAAATTTCGAACTTATAGCCCATTCCGCGCCAGGAATTTCTGCAAAAAAACCGTAACCGGAACGGACCAAATAAAATTCGCTTCAAGACCTTTTTTCTGTTTTTTAATTAGGAGCAAATGTGCAAAAAAAGCTATAAATGGTTCTGGTGTAATTTCAAAACGTGACCATCTCGCAAAGATTACATTTTAAAAAAGTGGTTTGTATAAACTTAACTCAAAACTTGACAAAATGTTTCAAATCGATCAAAACTCTCTCATTTTTCATACCTTTTTAACATAGAAAAATACTCAAAAGCATCATTTATTAAAAAGTTTTAGGTCCATACGACCTCAATGTTATTTTTTCAAACCTAGATCTCGAAGTTGAAATCAATTACTGGAGTCTTTTTATCACTAAATGCCCAGCCAGAAACCGCGATCCGAACCCGAAACTTTTGCCGCGGCGGTCGCCGTCGCGCAAAAGAGCAAATCTTGAAAACGCTCATTTGGAGTAGCTGCTTGTCACTGTTTACTCGACCGTTTTTTTTTCTCCCCAAAAGTTTTCCCAACCCCGCAACTCTCCTGCCGGCCTTTCCCGCAACGAGTTGCCTCCTTTTTGTTTTTGTTTTAGGGACCGCAGACCAATTTTCAAAAAATTTTTTTCAGCATTGAGCTTTGTATGGTTTGATAGCTGTTTCGATTCAAAACTCAGAACCGTTTAGTTTTTCGAAAAAGATTGAGGATGAAAAAAAGTTATGACGAAAAAAATGTGGCGCGCCGCGCACCATTTTTAGTACTGAAATTTTGGTATTATCCATTTTGACATTTTTTTCTCGATTTTTTTCTTCTAGAACAAGTTTTGATACTGGTCTATTATGATGTAACAAATCATAATAGAGTGCTAAAATGATGCTCATCAGCTAGTTTGCCGAAAAAGTCGGTATTTTCCAGAAAAACAAAAAAACTGACGCTTGCGGGCATCGAACTCGCGACCTCAAAATGAAAAAAATCGCAGCGCACGCGCTGCGCCAAGCTGCTAGGGTCTAGCAAGGGGAGCTTCCATCCGCCTTACCCTTGAGCCGTTTAGATAGCACAGATTGCCTATTTCAAAAAAATAAAAAACTTGAAGTAATTCAGCTATTTTTTTATCAGAATATGTTCGCAAATCTTTACTCAAACTTTCCGTGAAAAATTCACTTCGAAAAAAACTGTTTTTTTAGTGCTTTTTTTCCTCGTTTAACGATCGCTGCCTTAAAAACGGCCCCGTAAATTTTTTTGGCAAAGACGAATTTTTTTATTTTATTCTTTTAATTGAAAGATTTTTTTCACTAATAAATGTATATAATCGTTTAAAAAAACCTGCGTTCGGCCGCTTTCTGTGTGATAAACGCCGCTAATTTTATTCTCTAGTTTCAAGAGCATTTTTGCGTATTAAACAACTATTTCAAGCACAGATACTGTGAAGAAAAATTTAAGTAAGGCCATGATCTAAATTTTTAAAAAACAAAAACTTGATTATATTCGCTTATTAACGATATTTTGAATTATGACTTTCGGCGCTCCCTAAAATTTTTGGCAAAGACGAATTTTTTATTTTATTGTTTTAAAATTTTCGTTACTTGAATCAAAATCATTATTTAAAAAAAGAAAGAGTGCGTTCGACCTGAAAACACATGAAAAAGCAAAAAATGACAAAATTTTTTAGTTCCATTCACGTTTTTGTACGACATTCCGCGAGAACGCATCAAAAAAGCGTGAAATATTTTTTAAACGAAAGAGGAAGCTTTTCTGTACATGTGTGTCAAATTTTATTCGCCAGTTCCACATATTTTGCAACTACAACAAAATGAAAGTTGAAAACCAAAAAAAAGCCACTTTTTCTATCGCGAAAAGGGGCGTGGCTTTGCGGTCCCTATTTTGTTTTTATCAAATTATCAGTTTTTTTTCTGAAAAATGTGGATTTTTTGCCTTTTTTCTAGTTGTTAAACATTCAATAAGTAAAAATTTTTTTATTTTCGTTTCTCTGCTTAAAATCAGAGAAAAAAACCTTCTATTAGTTTTTTTCAAAATGTTCCATGGGGCGCACATACTCAACCCTAAGCGGCTATTTTTTCCCATTTATTTTATTTTTTTGAAATTTACCCTATGTCTTCATCGAAAAAAATTTTTTTTGAAGTTCATTTTTTTCATGAAAAACTTTTCCAGCCGTGGTTTTATACTACTTGAAAAAATCAATTATCAAATTTTTCTGCGCAAAGATTTTTTTAAAATCTCGGAATATCGTAACGCAAAACGGACGTGCTCCGGATGTTTCTGGGCGATTCAGGGATCACTTAAGAGTACTTACGCTACTGAAGTGGTCACTAGAAATGTCCAGGAACGCCCGGAGCCATTTCGTGTTATCGATGTCCGAGATCTTTAATGTCGTCTGAGCGACCTTGCTCAATTTTTTCGTATCTTGACATCTACTTCTTCTCTTATTTTTTTTTTTTCAAGTTTCTTCCGCCCTTCACAGTAGTATTTCCGACTTCCGTGCCCCTCAAGTGCTCACTTAGACTCTCCGGAGAGCCGCGACGACGGCGCTGACCGCCTGACGCTCTTGGGACCGCAGTTCGGATGTCAGGCGGAGCTGCGCCGTCTTGGCACGAAGACCCGCCGTACTCGGTGCGACGTCTCCGCGCCGAATACCTGGCCCGCGTCAGCAACTCGACGACGTCGCGACCTGCACGTCATCGGGTCTTCGGCTCCAGGCCGACCCCTTCCTTGCCCTACATTCCAGAAGCCGAAGAGGTCTGTAGGGTCAGAATACAAGGGGCGGAGCATTTTTAAAGACCTCCTCTAAAGTCTTTTTGAATCAAAGTCAGTATTTTTGATGCTTCCTGACTTAAAAGACGACATGGCTAGATTTGCAAGGGTGATGCGTTGCGGACGCGACGCGGCTTTTTGGCGGGAATTTCGAGTTAAAACTCGGGCCGTCTTTCCATTTTTTTTTTCCTTCTTTGGTGGATTTTAATAGTTTTTAACTTTTGATAGTTTTCAGAAAACTTATTTGAACAAATAAACGTATAAAAACTGATTTTTTACAACTTTTTTCCCATGGTTGCGTTAGGCTTTGGATTTCCCGCCAAAAGCCGCGTCGCGTACTAAACGCGTTACCATTCCATCTAATACGCCTTTCAAGTCGAGAAGAAATGGACTACGCCTTCTGAAGCTGAAACTTTCATTTTGGTCAACACCGCCTTCATGAACTTCGAATTTTGAACCTTTTCCCTCAAAAATTCTGCAAAGCGACCTGGACTAATCTGCACTTGCCCACGTAGGGAAGGTGGTCAGCCAAGAAAATCGATATGAATATCGGGAAAAGGAACGAAAAATCGTAAGCCCCCGGGCCGTGTTTCATGCTGTTTGTCGACCTTTTCGACCGCAGCGAGCACGTCGAGAGACTGTGCAAGGCGAAGAGATGGGGGCAGATTTGTAAGGGAAGATGCTTGAGAAGAACGGTCGGAACTCGAAGATGATCAGTGGAAAAGTTTGTAGGAGTGGATGGGATCAATAGGAATTTGTAAATCTTCAGTAGATTAAGGAGATTTGGAAGGTATTTAAGGTACTTATTTGCTTCTGAGCGTTTCAAATTAGGATTTCACACTCAGGTAAGATCTTCTTGAATTGAAAAACGAAAATGGGATATTAAGAGCGATTTTTTTAGGGAATCGCTGTTAAATGAATACAATTGTGAAGATAAGGAAGCATTCCAAAAACCTTGAAAAAAAAATCTGCTTTCTCTGCACCCTCTTTTCCCTCGATCTTTCAATGAGGGAAAAGAGAGCCTAGACATATCAGACTGTTTAAAGTCGAACCGAAAATTACCCTTGACTATCTCAGGAACGACGCTCAAGCTGGTCGCAGGTCGAGCAGCTCCCGCCGCCCAAACGGCCTTCCTCGGCTCAGAAGAACGAGCCTTCGGAACCTCCACCTCCGCCGCCGCTGTCAGCAGCGCCGCCGACCCCGCCGCCGCCACCCACCAACCTCAACCGAGGGACTTCCAGATCACAGCTGCTCTATCCGCTCGGCAGCACTGATAACATTGCCAGCGAGCGAAAGCCCGCCGAACGACCACCGGAAAAGGTTTCTAGTCTCGTTTTTGATAGTTTCGATTGTTGTGGCTTGCGCTTCAACTGTACTAGTTCAAATACATTCTGGTTTCCGAATAAGAAGCCAACTTTTTTTCTAAGGATGCCTACTGAGAAGCATTGAAGGCTCTTTAGCTTTGGGGATTTTTCTCCGAAAAAAAAATTCTTGGAAATTTTTTAATGGCCACTATAGAGGCTCGCCGAGGACTACTTGGAGAAGACACTAAAGTGGCCACTAAACCCACCTCTATAGTGGCCACTATTTTCCGTTTTAGCGGCCACCATAGAGGTTTTCTGATAGTGACCACTTCAGTAGTTTAGTGACCAATAATTTTTAACCTCTGAAGTGGCCACTAAGTTGACTACTATAGTGGCCACTAAAAAATTTCTGTTTTTTGAGCATAATTTTGAAGGGCCTTGATCATCAAGATAAAAATGAGCCAAGGTTAGAAATTCGAAGTTTTCTTGGTTATATATACAGAAAATATTATCGTCTTTTCAATTTAGACTGGTTTCATAATTTTTCACACACATTTGTGTCAGTTCTAGGCCGAAGTTCAGGAAATTCGAAAATCGAAAAAAAGTTTTTCAAAGTTTTTTTACAAAAAGCCGAGGCCGAACCGACATTTTTTTAATCATAAAATTTCAAATTCTTCAGTCGGTAAATAATTATATGAGCTAGCCCGGCGAGATGGAATCACAAAAACCAGGAAAAGAAGAATTTGAACCAAAAATGAAAGAGTAACTTGAGGTTGATTATGAAAAAAACCGAGGTCAAACTTAATTTTGGAAATTTCCTAATTCTTAAGTGGTTCAAATCTTTAGTAAAAATAAAACTAGGGAATAGAGTATTTGAACCAAAAAAAAAGTAACTTGAGGATCTTCAGTCAATGAGTTATTTCATAAAGGGACAGTATTGGGAAAATGTTTAGTGGCCGCTATAGTAGTCAAACTAGGGGCCAGTTAAAAGGTTAAAAATTAGAGGCCACTGTAGAGGTCTAAGTACTGCTACAAGACCACTAAACATTTTAGTGGCCACTTTAGGGGTCAATGGATCAACATAACTGGTCCAATCTGTTTGTTTTGAAATTATCAGTGTTACTGGAAGGAATATTGGATGAAAAACTACTGAAGTGGCCACTATAGAGGTGGGTTCAGTGGCCACTTCAGTGTCCTCTCTAAGTAGCCCTTGGCGAGCTTCTATAGTGGCCACTAAAAGTTTTCTCAGTAAATGGACTGGAATAATTTGAACCACACAAAGAAAAATGAGTCATTTGCAGGTTGTCTACGAGAACAAGCCGATCCCGCCGTCAGTCGTCGCCGTGCAGGTCCAAGACGCACCGGCGCCAGGCCGAGGCCGGTCGCGCGACCCCGAACACGACTACCCGGAGCGGTTGATGAGCCCTCCGCCGAACCATCAGCCCCGCTCGATCCTCAAAGGATACTCTTCCCAGAAGCAGTACTACGAATCGACGCACGAGATGCGGCCGCCTTCCCGAACCCACTTCGAAGACCTCAGCGAGGAGGAGAAGAACCCGAATTATGCGGGAGAACCTCCAGAGACATCGGCAGTCGAGGAGCACTCCCAGTGGGCCGCGGCCTCAGCCCACCAGCTTCAATGGACCTTTCTTCAAGCTGGAGGAAGTCAGTCCCAAGCAGAGGTACTCGGAAAGGTGTAGAATAAATATGAATGTTCGAAAAGGTCCCAATCGGCGATTCCGCCGACGAATGGCGTCCATCAACAGCAGACGAGGGAGTTCAGCTACACGATGTCGCAGATGAGCCACATGTCCGCCTCGGAAATGGAGCTCGATAGGCACAATTCTGGAAAGGTAGAGCACTTGAGTACCTGCTCGAAAAATATTTTTTCGATCTTGGATCTTAAAAAATTTTCCTCTCTATTGATTATACAACAGATTTGAATAAAAAAGGGAAAAATCATAAATTCTATATTTTGGAGTTTTTTTGCCAGATTTTGAGAAGAGAATTTTTTAATTTTTTTTTAAAGTTCTGAGTAAAGTAACTGAAGGTTCAGGAATTTCAAATTTTAAAGTTTTTTTTCGAGAAAGCGAAATAGTGTATAGAAACAAGAGATTTTTCACTAGAATCTTCAATTTTTGGATGATTTAACGTAGTTTGAAGTATTGAGGAAAAAAAATCTCACTGGGGCGCCTGAATATCTTATTTTGCACTGTTCTCCTAACCGTATAAAGGATTTTGTCACAACTTCTTTCAAAAAGAAAAAGGAAACATTTATGAACCTTTTAAGGAACTCTAGAGTGGTCCCTATGGGGGCAACCCTAGAGGCCCTTAAGGATTCCTCTTCTTCTACAGTGGGCATATAGATTCTACCCTAAAAATGGCTTTTTTTTGTCCCATTTAGGGGCTGTTTTTCTCCCGAATTTCTATAAGGACCACTCTTGCGTTCCTAACGAGTAAGGTCATTTCACTTTCTTCTAAAAATTGGCCAGAATGAACCAGATGAAGATCCTGAAAGTCTAAACCTGCACAACTTCCTAGTTTTTAAGAAAAGACACCTGAAACTCGAAGAATACGCTAAAAATCCGTCAAAATAGGCCATTTTGAGGCATTTCTCGAAAACGAGGAAGTTTTGCAGGTTGAGACTTTCAGGATCTTCATCAGGTTCATCGAGGAGTGTTCTGGCCAATTTTTTGGAGAATCCCAACCACAAAGTGGAATGACCTTCCTTAGGAACGCAAGAGTGGTCCCTATAGAAGTTCGGGAGAAAAACAGTTCCTATAGGGGAGTATTCGTGGCCTCTAGTAGATTTCTGAAAAAATTTTCGGTCAAGTAGACATATTTATTATTTTTTTTGAAAACATAATAATTTTTACAAACAGTGTGAAGCATCAAAACTAGTCAAACACTTTTTTACTGAAACTCATCCAAAGTTAAGCAAAAGCCATTTTCAGGAAGATCCATCGGTTGTGATTTGGCCACCACTTTCTGATAAAGAACGACCGCGATCCCATTCGGTCATGTCGAGGAACATCGCCGATCCTGATAGAATTGACGAGTATAGAAGACAGAAAAGACTAGAGGAAGAGGCGATGAGACGACATGACGAGCAGCAGTACATCAGCATGAGCAAGCAGGTCAGGATTAGTCTCAGATTCAGATGAAAAAGACCTTTTTTCCACTTTTTGGATTCTGTTAAAGTTTAAAAGCCTGGTAGATACCAAAAAAAATTCCTTGAAGTCTTTAAATGCGTTTTTGGGAATTTCTAGTGGCTACTTTAGCGGTGTCAGCACTCTTAAGTGATCCTTAGAGGTTCTAGTTTTAGAATGGCTTTTCTCCTTGAAACCTTATGACTTCCGGAAAATATATTTCTATCATAAAGGTTTTTTTTCAAGGTTCTGTGGTCACTTAAGTAGTCAAAATAGTGGCCACTTAAGTGGTACCACTAGACCACTGAAAAATACTATACTCTGCGAAAAATTTTCTCTATAGGGTTTCGACGTTTTAGTGATCACTATAGTAGTCAAACTAGTGGCCACTTTAGGGATTAAAAATTAATGACCACTATAGAGTTCTAAGTGGTACTACTAGATGACTAAAACTACTAAAGTTGTCACTAATGAACCAATAGTGGCCTCTATAGAGGTGGTTTTGTGGCCACTTTAGTCTCCTCTTCAACTCGTCCATGGGGAGCCTCTTAAGGGGTAACTAGAGTTTTCTTAGCATACTAATTTTATCAAGCTCATCTTTCAGATCCGCGCCATCCAAATCCAGCAGCAGAGGCTCTACGAACAGCAGCACGGCGTGACGTCACCAGTTCCGATCATGGACTCGCTGTCGCCGGCGCCGCAAGCCTCGCACTACCCGCCCCACTACTCGCAGACCCAGCAGCCGGCGCCAGTTCAGCACTTCGCGACGACGACGCCGAGTTTCCAGCCGCAGGACGACCCCCAGACGCCCCCGTCCCACGTCCGCGTCTTCGAGACCCGACCCATTTCGGCTCTGTCTGACGCCGTGGAACCCGATGGAGGACAGCCGCCGACGACTTCTTGGAAGAGGTCTGCAAAAAATGGAATTCTCAACGATTTGAGAGAAAAATTTTGAGAAATTTTCCGCAAATACAAGCAGAGTATAGTCCGTTCACCGAGACTTCACATTTTTGGTGTGTATGCGTCTCCACAGTGTTCCAAAAGAGACGGCGGCAAGCGAAAAAAAAAGGTCGTCGCAATAGGGCGAAAACGCGAGTTTTTTCTAACGCAAGGCGGTGCGGCGCGTGTCACCCCCACAAAATTTCATTCACTTTTAATACGGTTTTTTCTCTTTTTCTTGCGTATTTTACCATTCTTTCGTATTTTTTCACGCTGTATGTGTTCTTAAAACGTGTTTATCGCGTTTTCCAAAGATTTGAAGTGATTTTCGATTGTTCTCGTCACAGAAATTCGCATTAAAATTACATTTTTGATGACAACTTATTTCGCATAAGATATTTCGTTTGTTTTTTTGTTTTAGAATTTTCAAATGGACTTTCTTAAGAGAAACGCTTTGAGATTTTTCTCAAAATTTTTTTATCGAGGCATCATTCGACGAATTTATTCTTGAAAATGTAATTTTGGGTGACAACTTTATTCGCACAAGCTATTATGTATCTGTTTTTGTTTTAAAACGTTCAAATGGTCTTTCTTAAGAGAAGTGCTGTGAGCTTTTTCTCAATTTTCCCTTTGGAAGTTCGATTTGACGAGTTTTCCTAAAAAACGACATTTTGAAAGATATTTTGTTTTGCAGAAACTTCTTCGTCTCTTTTTTCATTTAAATTTGTTCGTTGTAATTTAATACACATTAAAAATGTTTGAAAACTTGCGAGAAACTAGAAAAAACATCATTTAATGGTCTTTTTCCAACCACTAAATCCACAAAACTTGACTCTCATCCCCGCGCACCTATTGCAATAAACCGTGCCGCTGTTGCAGTCAGCCACGCCTACTGACCACAGCTGCCGCTCGTTTGGGAACACTGTGGTCTCTCTGTTCTTTTTGGTCAGAGAAACGGAAATAGCACGTCAACATGAGAGGGTCGCTGAGAGATGAGGAGGGCGCAGAGAAAAAAAAGTCGTGAAAAAAGCTTCTCTGCGCCCTCCTCCTCTCTCGGCGACTCTCTCATATTGACGTGCTCTTTTCATGTTTCTCTGACCTCGTCGGTGAGGGAACAGAGAGACGCAGACATGCAGACGAAACTGTCACGTCGCGATGGACGGACTATAGCCCATTTTTACGCAAAAAAGTTCAAAATTTCTCAATTTTAAAGAGTTCACTATAAATTTTCAATATTTTCAGAACTTACATCGTCGAGAAGCCCGCGGACATTGCCAAAAACGAGATCCTGACGTCGGATGAGTTGCTCGAAAGGGAGCAGTACGAAGTAGATCTGCTCAAGGTGAGGAAAAATCAATAAAAAACGATTATCTAAATTTTTTAATTTTTTAAAAAATTATTTTTTTGGCCTCTTGTTCTTTTTTTCTTCTATTTTTGCGAAGCCCCGAAATTTTTCAAAGTTCATTTCTATTACGCAAATTGACATACAGAACTTCCTAGTTTTCAAAAAAAGTAATTCAAAGTCGGAAAAAGTTTGAAAGGCCAGAAGGGCGTTTTGCAGTAAAGTTGCTCAATGGACAACATACCATTTTTCGGATTTCCGCTTTTTTCTTCGTTTTTTTTAATATTCAATTTTTTCTGTTGTCACCAAGGTTCTTTACGTCACAAAATCTTTCTATGCATGTATAATTTGCAAACTTTGATCGCAAAAATGCTTTTCTAGGAAGATATGACGATTTTATACGACCGTTTTTTGAACGTTTAAAAAGGCTTAGGACTCTTTTCGGTTACAGTGTGTTCACTTAAGTACTCTCACAGCCTAATCCAACGTTTGGAAGTAGACTGTACGATCGAGAAATTTCAGCGACGTGAAGCGTTCGTCGAGAAGCCAGAAGACTCGCCGCAGATCCAAAGAACCGGAAAACGTTGGCAGCCGCCGCCGGAGAAGCCCTACGTGTGGCCGACGCTGAGAAGGCCCATTTCCGTGGAGCCGACGATGGAACCGACCGATTATCCGGTCCAAGGCGACGAGTACAAATGGACGCCGGTGGTCAACGACCCCGGCTACAAGAGGGAACACAAGAACTTCACGCCGGTGAGCAGTCCGCCGGCGTCGCCACGACGGGGCCACGGGGCCGGACCGCTCGACGAGCCCGCCAAGCGACAGACCAAATATGTCATCCAGGTTGGTTTTCATGCAAATCACATGGTGGCCAGGCCTCAGAGGGTGTATCCTTATTGTAGCGTTTTTTTTTTGAGGCTATCTGAGTTTCAGTTGGGCTGTAGCAGGGTAACAATGGGTGCAAGAAAGTAGGTATAGTCTGTGTGCCACGACTTGAAGTTTCACGGAACGACATTCCGTTGTTCCGCTGCGTGCGTTCGCGAAGCGTCTTTCGAATCTAGGTCACGCTTTAAATTTATTGTTATTGCTGTGGGAGCAGATGAAAGTAGAGTACCTCAATAAAAGAAAAAAAAAATTAAAAGCAGCACGGCTGGGTAACATCATCAGCATGGGACAATATTATTTTCCTTGGGGATGGGACCATTTTCATCACTTTCTTTGGGAAATAATTATTATAATAGATTTATGAATTCATTCGTAGTGATAATTCAAATTCACTTTTTAAGGGTTGTAATGGTAAAAAAATTGAAAAAAACCCAAAAATTGAAAAAAAGTTGAGATTAAGTCCGTTTTTTTAAAAATTATTATTCGATAAGGCACAAAAAAATAACCGTTTTTTTCCTAATCATATTTTTCAAACGCTCGTACTTTATAACATGCCTTTTTAATATAATATTCAACTTTGGAACCTACCTGCAATGAATTTTCGTTTAAATTACGAGAATTCATAGTTGTTTTGAAAAAGTGAGTAGTTCTATTTTTCGGGAATATTTTCAGTGAGAGTTGAATTGAAATTTTCCATGAGAGCGAAAGTTTCTCGGGCTTTTTTGGGCAGGATAATGTTTTAGCGTTGGTCTTGACACGTTTTGGTGCGAAGAAGGACCTTTAAAAACGCTATGTATCTTTTTAAATTTTTTTTTCCTTTCAAGATTTTTTTATGGACACTTCATCGTCTTTTGTGAATTATTTCCCTTCCCCAACACCCAATATGTAACTTACTCTATTGTAGAGGGCCTCAGGCGATATAGCCAAGGATATTTTCTGCGATATCGTTTATAAGATTGAAGAATTTTTTTGCTTAGTTTTTTTTGACTTTTTATATTGAAATCAATCGAATGAAAGAAAAAAATAGTTAAACTAAATTTATTGGAGGGCGATATAGCGCGAGACTTTTGCGATGTCGCGAACGATATTTTTCGGTGTTTCCCCGCGGTATAACGTTACTATCGTTGCGATATTATTTTTTACATTGGATGTAATAATTAAGACTACTTGATTTTTCTGACAAGGATATTATTATGATTGAAAAAAGAAAGGTTTTTTTTTCTAGCCTTCGCCCGACGGTAGCCATCGACCCAAGCCAGCCTTCCGGAAAGAAAGACACGCGCCGAGCGGCGGATTCTTCCCCCATGCCCCGAATGCCATCAAGGTAAATCATTTTCAAAGCCTTCTTTTTCTATCAAACTACAAAAAATAGCTGAACATTCGTAGATTTTAGCTTCTGACATTCAGTTTTACAGTCCTACTAGAGGCATCTCCGAAAATTTTGAGAATCTTCCGGATTATCATTCAAAAGTATGAATGATTTGAAAGAGTCTGATTTTCCTACGGTGAGAGGTCAGAGTACTTCAAGGGGTGAGACAAGGAATATGATACAAAGAAAGAAAAAAATAAAGATAGCATAGGTAAAACGGGTAAGTGACTTTAAAGACCATCACAAGGCTTTTTGAGCACATTTTTTTACAGTCTAAGTGAGGGGGGTTTCTCGTAGAGTATCAAAATTCAAATTTCAAAAAAGAAAAACGTTTCCTACGATTATTTTTCATTTCTTGGACTTTCCAGATCGTCAAAAGACGCGCCGCCTCGGCACAAGGCCTTCTGACGCCCTCGGTGCCGCAGGAAGACGAACGGGTCGAAGTTCTCCACCAGAGGAACTACCATCGACTCGACGCCGGCCTGTCCGAACGGACCCGTCGGGAGATGATGCACAGCAGCGAGCACGACCTGAGGGCCGTCCCCGACTGGGAGAAGATCTACGAGCTCCCGCCTCACAGCTCCCAACTCGTCTCCAAGGTCGGTGTCGGTTCGGCCAGATAAAGTACTTACCGTAGATGGGCAAGTACAGAACTCATACTGCCCGGGAGGAGGGGTTGGCTCCCGAAAATTTTGGAAAATTAGTGATAAATTCAATTTTCAACCTCCGGGAGGTAGTTTTGGCCAAAGTAATACAAGTTTTAGTCTCAGGGAGGTAGTGTCAACTTTCAGTTTCCGAAAAATAAAAGATCAGTCTCTAAGAATTCTATTATTCCTGGTTTTGATGGGTTTTCGCTGTCTTTTTACTTTCCTACTTCCATAATACAATGAAAGTTTTATGAAAAAAGAAAATTTTTGACGTATCTAGTTTGTAGTAGGGCCCTCAAAAAGCTTTTTTTAAAAAAACAAAAAAATGAAAAATTATTACAATTTCGAAAAATCGAGAAAAGATGTGGAGCATTACCGTTTCAAACAATGATTTTCAAATTTCATGTGTAGCTGTTTTCTGATCATTTTGGAAAAAATGGGATGCTATAAAGTACGAGCGTTTACAAAATACGACCGGTGCGACCCCTTTTTTTGTGCTCCACTGCAAATTTATAAAAATACGTGCGTGTTTTGAATATTCATTATTTTTGAAATTAAACAAAATTCTAATTTTTCGATAGACTTCTGATCCGTGTAGTGATGTCTTTCATGTATTTTTGATAGTATCTTTTATTAAACCACTTTTCAAGATTTATTTTTTTTCACGTAGTCAATTTTTTTCACCTTATTTCCGGTTTTTTTACAGACTCATGAACTGTATGAAATCGTTTTAGAAGCTCCTAATAAGAAGCCAAAGTTGTTAGAGCAATTAAAGAAAAAAATTAATCATAGTGAATTCATAAATTTCGTCGTAGTACTTTTTTGAATAGTTTTCTTCAAAAGGAAAGATAGAAAAAAATACAAAAAAAAGCGCCGGTCGCATTTTGTAAACGCCCGTACTTTATAGCATGCCGAAAAATATGATGTCTCTGCACTCTCTTCTTCCTCGTTGATACTCTACTATTTTCATGGTTCTGTGACCTAGAAGACGAGGGAAAAGAGACGCAGACAAGCCAAGTCAATGAATCATTGAAGTTTTAGATTTTTCAAGCTCAAGAAGTTGCAAAAAACAGAGAAAAATAAATACGGAACTTTTCATGTTCAGGAAATGCCACGACACGTCGACGTCCGCCGACGCCTTTCCCAGTTCGAAAATAGCGCCCAGCAAAGATCGCACCAACGAACGAGCAGCGTCGAAAGTGTTAGTCGGGAAAACTAGAAATCAATTCAAGAAAAAGATAAATCAAAAAATAATCGAAAACACCGGGCTTTTGCTTCATTTGCGCGCTTCTCCTATTGGTTTTTCTTGCCCCTAGAGTGCTCATTTACTAGCTTTTCACTTGGGTTCTCTCATTCTGGATTCTATAAAAAGAGGCTTCGTGCTGTGTGTTTTGTGTGCAGTGGTCGTTTCAGCAGCCCCACTATCCGCTGCCGGACTACGAGGCTCAGCCGCTTCCGCCGCCCCCGCCGCCGCCCCCGGCACAACCGCGGTCGTTGTCGCGGCACGACAACCCGCAGCAGCAGTATCGACATCATCCCCAGCATCAGCAGGTTGGGTAACCTGAAGAAAGTGGCTTGAAACGGCTATTTTCTATATTTTTGACGAAGGTTTAGGAGACGTACTGTAGGGATAGAGCTCTATTTTTTACTCAAAAAAATTTTTATTTGAAAGAAAAATTGAAAAAATTTTGTAACGCTGAAAATGGAACTTTTTTGCAATGTACATGTGACTGGAGGGCTTTACAACGAAATAGTAAAAATTTTCTAAAGTCCATTCACCGCGACTTGACAGTTTCCAAGTGTCTGCGTCTCTCTGTTCTCTCACCGACAAGCTCAGAGAAACATGTAAATAGCACGTCAAAGTGAGAGAGTGGCCGAGACAAGGAGGGCGCAGAAATTCCCTTTCCTTTCAAGTCCCAAAAAACGAACTATGGTATTCTTTTTAAATTAAAAATTTTATAAAAGGGGGAAAAAAATCAAAAAAAGAACAAGGCCTAAAAAAATTAAGAAAAAAAGTTGTAGATCATTTATTTTTTTATTTAACTTTCATAACCCAAAAAAATGTTTGCAGATGTCCCGACGCAACTCGGTAGCGTCGACGCGGATAGACACGCCGCCGATGACGTCACACCGGAGCGAACGAAGGAATCGCGGCGACTCGCGACTCGACTCGCGTGGACCGTCGCGGGCAGCTTCCACCATTCCACTGTCGCCGCAGCCGAGGCCGACAACGCCCGGAGCGTCGCGAGCTCGCAACTTCATCGCCAGAGCCACGGCGCCGAGTCCGACGCCTTACGCCTATGACCGGGCACGACCTTATGTTCCTCCGGCGTTGCCGCCAGGCTACAGGGTCGGTTTTAGGGAATTTTTGAAGCTCTTGAGGGATATTATGGGCGAAAATGAATTGAAAAAATGATATGATTTATTTACACGTCTGCTCAAGACAGTCTGTCGTATTGAGGTAGTTGAGAAATATCTTCTGGTTTTTAAGTATAAATTCCTACCTTTATCTATTTTTATCTAACTATTTTTCAATAGATAGGTTCTTTAAAAAAACAGCAAAGGGAAATTTATAAAAGTGTTCATTCAGGCATCATCTTTCTTTCGTTTAAAAAAAAGGTTCATTTGATTTGGACCACGGAGAAAGTTAGATTTTTTTCGTATTTCGGCTACAGTAATCCTCAAAAGGGGCGGAGCCTTACAAAACCTTGTTCAAAAAGTTTTTTTAATACATCTGTAGTTGTTGTAATATAAGTATGAGCTCGTTTAAAGCAACATGAATTTTTCGTGCCCACTGTAAATCGCTTATCTCAGGGCTTATCTGTGATAAAAACTTCCGGACCCTCATTTTCCAAAATAATTAATTTTCAGCTGACGGACCCGACGCCAGACATGCGGGCGACGTCGCCCTCGCCGGGCAACACGAAGAAGATGATCCGGAACGTGGCCGAGTCGACCCAACGACTCCATCCGACGCCCCAGGCCTCCCGCGCCCCATCGCGAACCCACTCGGCCCGCCACAGTCCCAACCCTCGATTCCTCTGAAGCCCTTCCGTTTCATTCAACTGCAAAAACGCCTTTTTCTAACTTATTCTTCATATCGACCGACTACAAATATTATTCTACTTTCTGACATTACTTCTTCGAAATCACTGCCAATTGGAAAAAAAGTTCGCCGACTTTTTGACTGGAAACAAATATTGCTGAAGTTCACTGGATAGTTTGGCGCGGATTGAGAGGTATGTTTGAAGAAAAAGAAGTTTGAATATTCCGTGGGTTTTTGGAAAAAAGAGCTGAAAAGAGATTTTGAGCAATTTGTGGAATGTGCGCTCCACTGATAAAATAGATAGAAACTGATTTTTTCCACGTTTTTCTTTAAAATGACTCTTAAAGGACATCGTTTTGGAGGCTGACATCCTTTTGACCTTAAATGAAATTTTGAAAAAGGTTTTTCGCTTTGAGACCTCTTTGGCTGATTCATGGTTGGCTTGAGCCATCGACAAAATGGTCCTGACACGAAAAAAGGAGATAGTGCTTGGTTAGTGGAGAGTGCAGACAAACCACGCCCTTCGCGTCTTGAGCTAACCGTGAATAGACTATAGGAGAAAGAAAAATTCATTATTGTCAGTGGAGCGCATTTTCTCATACCTGGTAGGATATGATTTTTCTTTCAAAGTTTCCAACTCTACCTTCAAAAACCCACTTTCTCAAAATGGAAGAACCTTCTCAATGTCTTCATTTTTCAAGTTATTGAGAAGATTCTTTTATTTCCAATCACTCTTCAGGCAATCTCATTAACATTCCCCAGACCTTGACCATTTTTGTCGAAATTTCCCCGGGTCTCTCGTTCCCTGCATGTCACTTTCTTGTTCTATGTGCTTCCAAATGTCCGTCTTTCAAGCTTTGCACATTTCTGTCACAAATTTCCTTTTCATCTATTCAAATTTTCCATTTTTCAGGAGGCCAACAAACCACCACCGGTGAGTCACCTTTTTTTTTCTTTTTTGGGTATTTAAAGGTATTTTTTCATGGGTTTGTGTTTCCATTCGGGTACAAAGCTTATTGACCGTCTTTATTTTGATGAGACTAATCGGTTTGGTAACGCTTCGACCTTGGTTTCTTTGACCTACTTGAAAGAGAACATCAGACGACGGAGCTGGACGAGCTGGCCCGGAAGAACGAGGAGCTGTCCGAGCGGAGCAAGGCCCTCAGGTCCCAGTATAAGCTCATCGACTCGGAGATCGTCAAACAGAATCCCGAGCCTCTGCCAGCTCAATTTAAGGTTTCTGGAGCTTTCCCTACAAGGAGGGTAGTTTTACCTTGGCTTAGAGTTTTCTGAAGTTTGCCCAAAAAATCTTTGGAGGTGGAAAAGAGAGATTTTTCAAGGTTTTAAAGCTTTTTCGTTGCATTTTCATACTTTTAATGGAAATTTTGTACGTTTTCGACTCGGAAAAATCGGTGTACACAGATTTTCTTACCGTAATCCAATAGGCCAAAATTTAACAAGCTATGTATACCCATTGGAAGCTTTCATGACAAAAAGTTTCATGTGAGCGATAGAAGAAAAAAATAAAGGAAAAAAATACTTTTTGTCCATGGAGCAACCTTGCTCCAAAATGCAGTTTTGGCGGGAGAAGACTTTTTTGAAGTGATTTTTTTTTTCGATAGTAGTGACTTTTGTATGAATTCAAATAGATTGTCTGGAACCTCATTTTTCTCTAAAATTATGCTTTTTGAAATTCCAGAAAGGTCAGGAAAAAATAATTTTTTTCTTGAAAAAAATACGACTTTTTGCACCATTTATTGCTCATGTTGAGAAATTCGAAAGGAAATTTAAGCTTTGTGATTTTAAATAATCTCCTTTTTTTCTGACCACTTCGTTATACGCATAAGAGTTTAAAGATATAAATCCATTTAAGCTTAAGTTCCATATTTCAGAACTTCTTAAAAAAAAAACTTTAGCGATCTTCTGAAAATCTATATCCTAATCTAGAGCTTCAAAGAATGTTTGAGCAAAATTTCAGAAAATTTCAAACAAAAAAGTAAAATGGCCTCCCTTGTTAGAACTTTTTCTTGGCTTTTAACCGTTTTGCTTCTCGCCGCCACTACCACCTTTTAGGACCAAGTCCGAGAACTGCTCGAGTCCCGGAACTCTGTCGACACGACGACCTCGGCCAGGGACCAGGACCGATCCGGCTACGTCACGGTGAATATTCCTAGGCCGAGAAGTAATTTTAGAGGCCTTGAGGAAGGTGCAGAAGAGCTTTTGAGTTTTGGAATTTTTCTAAAGGTCAATTCTAAAACCCTAGAAGATTCTAAGGTTCTAATTATAAGATCATAGAAATTTTAAGGTCAATTCTAAGACCCTAGAAGCTTTATCATACAAAAATTTCAAACAAAAAAGAATATATTGTGAAATTTTGAGACCTTTCCATTCTAATTCTAACAGTTTACTCGAAATCTCAAAAAATTCGTGTTTCAAAAAGAAATCTTTAGACAATTTTCTTTACCTCAAGCCAACCGTAAATGGACTATCATTTTTGATAAAATCCCAAAAAGCGCATGTGTCCATAGAGCATTTTTTTTTTGAGTTTTTTGGGTCATTTTACTGTTATTTCACTCATTTAAAGTTTGCACTTTATTTTTCTCGCGATTTCAAGTCGTCTGTTAGAATCGCAACGAAAATTTCTACAATAAGACCTTTTTTAGATCTCGAACTTAAACTTTTCAATGTTTTCATGTTTTTATTATCAAAATTAATCATTTTTGACCACTTCTGGACCTATTCTAACCCTTTGAAGGTTTCCGTAAATTAAATCTCAAGAAATACATTTTACAAAGCTTTTCTGCACTTTTTAAAAGATCGATAAAACTTTTTGGTTTTTCCCCTTTCTCCAATTTTTCGGCTCCTGTTCCATTTATTCTTGTCATTTTCGATGCAAAGCGGACACAGTACACTTCTAACGGTTTGACTAGAAGTGTGAAAGAAATATTAATTCGCAGAAGAAAAAAATGATGTTGAAAAATCAGCCTCGGAAAATTCAGAGCTTATGCACTAGTGCGCTCTATTGATAATTTTTTAATTTCCTTTTTTTCGATTCTTTAGATCATGGTAACGCTAACCGGAGGCGCACAGGACTTTTCTGAGCATTTCTAGTGACCACTTTAGCGGTGCCACCCTCTTAAGTGAGTTGCTGAGAAGCGCGTCAGAGAAACAAAATCATCTAAAAAAACAAAGCTTTGTTTTTTTAAGGGGGTTTTTTAGCGCTGTAATTTAACTTTCCGAAAGACTTGCGAAATTTCAATAAATTTATTTATTTAAACTTAGCTGTTGGATGTTTCACCAAAGCTACCTACGTTTCAAACGTTGAATAAATAAGATCAATATTCTTGCAAGTTTACTTTTTTCCGAGTTGTCTCTTCCAAAAAAAGTTTTCAATTAAAAAGCCTAATTTATTTCGGAAATTGTCGCCTAGACTTTTTTTCAGAAGCTGATTTTGTCCGATTTTTTTTTTCTGCGTGTTAATATCTCACAAGGGACGTTTTTTGGCTACCACATTTTGATGGAACTGGGTTGAAATGTACTTCGGGACCTTACGATTCCAAAACGAGAAAAAAATTTCCCACAGTAGATTTTTTTTTTCGGTTTATGAAGCTTTAAATTTTGCTAAAAATACGCTAATTTCGACAAAAAAGGCGCTATTTCAAGCCATTGAAGCGTTTTTAACCGAAAAAAAAAATAATCAATTTCTAGAATTTTTTCTTTTTATGAAATCAGGAGCTCCTAGGGTACACTTAAGCAAAGTTTCGTTCGGCGGCCAAAGAAATCCCTCGTCATTATTTTTGCCGTGAGAATATATTATCATCTGCAGTGTCTAACGATTTTTCGACTAGAAAAAAATCACGATTTTATTTTCAACTAACCCGAGTCGAAAAAAGCGTCGCTTTCAGGACGTTTCGACGGCGACGTGGCAATTCTCGACCCATTCTTTTTCGCCCCGTTCAATCGTGAGCATGAACGGCGCCCGCGATGACATTCTCAAGGTTTTCCCACCAAACAATCGCTTTTTCTTTTCTTTTTCTGTTTCAACTTGCTTCAACTCACATAGATGCACTAATCGATTAACAAAAAAAATGGTACCTTTGAATGGGGACACGCGGTTGGGAATGGAATGGAATGAATTGGAATGATTTGCACCTTTTTCGGGTTTTTTGAGGGCTGTGCAAAAAAATAGATTATGAATGATTTTTTTGTCAATTTTTTTAAGTAAACTTGGTATATTTTTGGAAAATTAATCGATTTTTTTACAACTTGAGGGGTGAAAAAAATAGATTGAGGAAATCGAATTTTTCCATTGAGATTTTTAAAAAAACAGGTATATTTTTAGAAAAAAATGGGTACCCTGACGACTTTTTCGGGTGCCATAAGGTTGAAATTTTTTTCAAAAATGACTGGAAAGAGCTCTAGTGACCACTTAAGAAGTCCCTTAAATCTTATTTGGAGGGGACACTAAAGTGACCACTAGAAGCATCACTATTCACTTCTTAGTGGCCACTTTAGTAGTTTTCAGTGGTTTATTAGTACTTAGACTCCTAAAGAAGGCACTGAATTTTAGTCACTTAAGTGGCCACTATAACCTCAAAACCCTAAAGTGGTCACTAAAACTTTTCCCCGTAGAAAAAAAAAACTAACATAAGATTCAAATTGTTCAAGAGCTTCAGCATGGATTTTTGAATAATTTTCAGATTTTTTTTCAATTTTTCCAGTTTTCTATAAACTTAGGCACAGCCCTCAAGTGTAGTTGTACAAAAAAAAAAAGTTAAAACCGCAAAAAGTACACGGGTTTTGCACACGGTTGTTTGATTGGTAGGCGGTTCCGCCGCGTCGAGAACCCCCGCCGCCTCCAAAACGCTACGACGAGGTCCGCGAGGAACGCTACGAACAGCGCTACGCCTCGCTGCCGACCTTGCAGCCGGCCATCATCCACATTCAGGTTGAAATCCAGGGGACGGAAAGTACTGGCAGAAAATGGCTGTTCTTGAAGGGTTTTCAAGGAACATTTTGGAAACAAACTTTCACTGGCGAATCGGGATGTCTATGGGATTGTTATCGGTGGTAATTTGTATGTGACCTGGTATCTGTATGATTAGGGACCGCAGGCAGTTTTCTAGAAACCATCAGATTTAAATGATTTTCATATGACCGTGTACTTCATAGTCCTGGCAACTTTTAAAAAAAGAGATCTTGGAAAAATATTGACTCTGAACGAAGTTACAGCCATTAAAGCGCGCGTTTCGCGATTTCAATTCTCTGTAGAAAATTTGGTCGAGGTCGCGAAAAAATTGGGCGTTGCAAGGGTGCGGCGCGCTCTCAAACACCAGTAAAAAAATTAGAGAAAAAAAGTTTCTTGTTAATTTTTTTCGCACTAAAAACACACTAATGATAGTTTTTTTCATTATTGGAAATGATAGAACAATGTCCAAAGATGAGGACCAGCAAAAAAATAAACACTGAAAAAGAATAAGTTGAACGATTTTTCAACGGCAAAAAAAGCAAAATTAATATTTACGGAGTTTTCAATGCTTTTGATGTTCAAAAACTGTTAAAAATATCATTAGGAAGCATGGATAAACGCAAAATCTCCCTGAAACAAGATTCGATACAGAATTCGGAACCAATAAAAGGTTGTGAATCCATAGAAACACCAATAAATTAATTATTAATGACTTTTATAACCATTCTTGTAGCAATACAGCACTTTTAAACGCGCTCAACTCATTAAAATCCACTTTTATGTCTTATTCAGGTGAATATCCCGACTTTGAACGTGTTTTCCAGTGGAATCCGGATAGTGGGAGTTTGGCGAGACTAAAATAATTTTTTTGTTCTGGAAAAGCATGTTAAGCTCTATTTTGTTTTCCGAATTACATTACTGAACGTTTTGACTCATTTCAAAAAAGTTTTACGCTATTTTTGCTTTGAAAACATCGCGAATTCGGAATTTTTGTGGGTCGGTGAATGCACAATTTCGCCAACGCGCAAATGCAGGACGCTGTTTTTATTGTTCGAATGAATCAAATTTTGAAAGCACAAGCAGGATTTTTTTAATTTTTGACTATGTTGAAGAAAAAAGTAAATCAAACCAAAATAAGAAAAAAAATAATTTGCCTACGACGGCTAAAACACTTTTCCAAGTGTTTCAAAAAAATCGAAAATCAAAACTTATTTTTTTAAAAATTAAGGTTGGAATGAAAGTTTTGTTTTTTTATTTTTTTAAAAATGTTCAAAAAGTTTATAGAGAACAGTTCAAAAAAATTTTTACGATGTTTCGCGGAAAAATGCCAAAGTTCCCGAATTTCGAAAGTTGCGATTTTCCGACGCTTCGATACTTGAAAGCACAAGCAGGAATCTTTCTATTTTTTTACTTATATGGTGTATTTTTTTACATGCTTAACAAAATAAGAAAAAAAAATAACTTGCCTACGTGCGGGATTGTAAGTATTCAACGTTTTTCCACTTTTTCCCACAAAGGCGTCGCGAAAAAACGTCATTTTAACCGATCCTTTTTTTATTTACAGCTATTTCTTCTATGTAGAATTGTAGAGAATAGCCGATTGTATGTTTCCCTCAATTTTTTCCCAAAACGGTTCAGAGAAACTGCATAAACAACAATGAAATGTCAAAAATGCAACGAAATATACGACGTTTTTTGGTCAGCGAGGGGTGTGGCCTTGCGGTCCCTATGTATGATACCTAAATAGTACCTGATCGGTATCTGGATGCTACCGGGGACCTGAAATTCGCGATTGCCACTCGCTGGAACATCTGTCGTTTATTTAGCATCCGTGTTTTTTACACCTTCATAAGCCTTTCAGGGTCTTATTGGATAAAGCTGAAACAAAAATAAACGATCCGGGAAGCAATTCCAGACTTTCCGGTAGTAATCGCAAATGTCAGGTATCTACCCGGTAGCTACTTGCATCGACCTCCGACCCAGGTACCATAGAGATAGTACCCGGTCGCATACAAACGACCACCGATTTCCATACGCCGATCGACTTTTTCAAAAGTTGCTACCCGGTATCTATTTGTATCGACTTCTCGATTCATCTTTGGTACCTGGCTTGGAATTTGAAGTTATGACCTCTATTGATAAACAAAAACCCAGACAGCTTTTCAGAAAAAATATCAGAAAAGTTGTATTTACTTACAAGAAAATCTTTAAACCTTATGTTTTTTTAAACTGGCCAAAAGACCTTCTAATAACCTAGAGAATGATCCTAAGGCTGAAAAATATTATTTTAAATTTCAAATTTCCAAAAACGCAAGCTTCAAATTTTTTTCCGCCTGAAAGTGGTGTCGCTGAAACTCTGAAAAGTCCGTTTTCAAAAAAATTTAAATATTTCTCATGCTGAGACTTTTTCAGCGTGTTTTGAAGATTTTTGTACATTTTTATTTCACAATTATGAAACCAGAGATAGAAAGATATTTCTAGAATTTTATCATATATCGTCCTTTTCTGACGGGACTTCTCTGCCCCCTCCTCGTCTCTCGGCGACCCTCTCATTTTGACGCCCTATTTTCCCGTTTCTCTGGCCTCGCCGGCGAGAGAACTGAGAGACGCAGACAGTCGAGAGCTTTAACATTGAGGCTGAAGGACTATATATAGAAAATTTCGTTAGAGCGCACTTTCAAGTGTAGAAGATATAACAAAAAAAAAATGAATAAATACAGCCATTTTTTGCCAGTCTCCCATACACTCGACCTCCAACACGGTTTGTCTGACTCCCAAAACGAGCAACACTAACACTAACATGTACAGAACTGGTCAAAATCAAAACTCAAAACATTTTGAAAGAAAAGTCACTTTACAGCTTCTGAGAAAGCATAAATTTGAAAATTTCAGCCTTTCTGTTGATTCATTTCATTTGGAATTTCCATAATTTTTTTCGGATGATTTTATTTTATTTTTTTATTATGCTCAAATTACTCCACGAAGTTACTAAAACAATGAAACCAAAAAAAAGTTTTTTTTTTCAAAGATTCGTTTTGATCAGTTCTGTATGATATATAGTCGATATGAAACGACGATTTTTTTTAATATTTATTTTTTTAAACAAAAAAAATTTTCCTCGTTTTTTTCTTTCGACTAAATAATGGAACTGCATGGGAAAATTGAATGGGAACGGTGTTTTCGAGCATTTTTTTGTCACGTTTTTGTATCATTTGGATTGATTTTTGTTTTCCTGGAATGACGAGTTTGAAAAAGAGGAATGAAATAGGTTTCAAACTGTTCATTAAACTTTGAATTAAAAGGTGATTTTAGTTCATCCAGGCTTCATTTTTCAGCAATATTGATTTTTTAAAAAATCACGAAAAAGAGATGAAACAAAGGAAAAGTGAACTGAACGTTTTGGGCCGAATTAAAAAAAAACATTTGGTCGTTGGAAAAAGATTGGGTCCCGCAACGTTGTAGCAACGATGTACGAGCTCCAAATTTTGAATTTATTATCTCATTTTTTACGGAAATTTCAAATTCCCGCGTAAAAGTCACATATTGTGAAGTACAGTGCAGAACTTATTTTTTTTTTACCGAAATTACTTTGAAAACGGGATCAGATTGATATTTTTACAATTTTTCCAGAAAATTTTTTTTTCAATTATTTTTTCTATGTTTTTTGACCTTCAAACTCGCCATTCCAGGAAAAGTTGATGAACACGATTTTGAAACTTTCTCCTAAATGTGTGATTTTCAGGATGAGAAACCGCGGAGCATCATGAAACGTCGTGAGCTCGAGAGCCGTGAGCAACTTCTGTACCCGCAGGAAAACTCTCAGGTCGTCAAGTCCTACTCCAGAAGCACCAGCAACGTCGCCAAGGTCTTCATTTTAGGCTTTTCGAAAATCACACGGTCTTCCTTCCATAAATTCTGCTCATGAAAGGCTTGTCACGCCTTAAAGTGAGCGAAAAGGGGCGGGGCTAGCCAATCAGAAACGCTGTTCGGTAGAGCGCAATTGAACAGATTGATGATTGAATAATGAAACCCATCAAGTTTCATTTTTTAGTTCGAAAAAATCCCAGGCTTTTCACCTTTTTCGAGCCTTCAATGAATTCCGCTTCTGAATGGCTTGTCACGCCTCGAAGTTAGCAAAAAGGGGCGGGGCCAGCTTGTCAGAAACGCTTTTCGGTAGAGCGCAATTGAATGGTTAATGATTTTAGTTTGAAAAAATCCCATGTTTTTCACTTTTTTCGAGCCTCCAATAAAGTTCGCTTCTGAATGGCTTGTCACGCCTCGAAGAGAGCAAAAAGGGGCGTGGCTAGCTGTTCGGTAGAGCGCATTTGACTGGCTTCATGATCTAACACAATAACAATTATAAGCTCATTTTTCAAAATCCCAGTCTGGATCAAAAATCAAAAAAAAAAGTTTTCCTATACCTTATCAAGCTTCAAAAGTCCGCTTCTACATATCTTGCCACGCCTTGAAATAAGAGGGGCGTGGCCAGCCAATCAGAAACCCTGTTCAAAAGAGCGCACTTGAACTAATTGAAAAATTCCGTCGGAATCAAAAGTGAGTTGATTTGCGTGTGCTTTCCCCTCTGCTACGGCTCCGCTATAATTATTGAAACTTGGAAAAAAATATTTTAAAAAAAGATATTAAAATAGGAAAAAAAGTTTGAAAAATATTTATTTTTTTCAGCCGACCGTCACCGAGACCGTGCAGCGCTTCGAAGAGACGCGACGCACCGAGGAGGTAGGAGAATAAAAAAATAAAATTTGAATAAATTTAGATATTCATCGGAAAAATCAAAAAAATTACATTGGATTTTCAGATTTTGTCCTGTGTTTCGTCTCTATTTTTAAACTAAAAATTTATTAGAGCAATTCGATATTTTTCTTCAAACTACTGTTTCAAACAAAAATGAAAATTTTTCACTAAATGTACTTTTTCAATAAGCAGAAATTATGTTTTAGGTGTGCATTCGAATTAAAAGCCATTTCACTTTATTTGAACAAATAGATATCTAGAAACAGGAATTATTGGTAACGTTGAACATTTGATCCTTGAAGAGCTTGAAAAAAAGTTTTTCCCTTTTTTTTTTTTGAAAACCCTGGAGTGGTTTCTTGAGAAGCAACAGTGCGGGCAATTGAAGGTTCCCCTCTAGGGACCACCTAAAATTTACACTCTAGGGAGCACTGTTTTAAGGGCTGTTTTCCCTTAACCCCTTTAGGGACCACCCTGGCGTTTCTAAAATATGACCGATTCATGGCTAGCTTGGGAGTGCCTGTGGTCTCCATCAGCCAAGCGGTCTCTTTTTTTTCCCGGGTCAGGACCATTTTTCGATGGCACAAGTCAGGCGTGCTTAGAATCGCCAGAGCGGTCCCTATAGGGGCTAGGGAAAAACGCCTCTTTAGGGTACAAATAAGGTGATCCATCAAGGGTCAATATTACTCCTCTCGAAGTGTTTTTTCATTCAAAAAGGCCAATATGTTGATTTTTTGCAGCAAAATACTTCCCATAGGTCTGTAAAAATAAACAGTGTCATAATTTTCCTATAGTGACCCCTTTTGCAAGCATTAGGGCTACCTATAGGGGAGGTAAAGATATCTCTAGAGGGGGGGAACCTTCAAGGCTACCCCTATAGGGGTCACTCTGATGTTTCTAGTTTAATCGACTATAAAATTATTTGCAAGGGTACGGAGTCCAATTATTACCTTTTCTTGTACAAAGAACCCTTCAACCTTTAAGAATTCAGGTGGAACGTCGCGTTCAAAGACGCGAGAAGAAGGAGCGCCGAAGCCGTCATCATTCTTCCTCAAGACATCATTCTGGATGGGAGAGCGGTGGCTACAACACGAATGGATACCATGCCGGTGAGAAATGTTACCTGTTTCTGGTCATTTTTGCGAAAAATCAATTTATTTACAATGGTTCGTTTGGTTATGGGTCAATATGGTGGATTCCCCGCAAGTTTGTCACTTTTTGAAAAGAAAAAAAAATAGGTAAAACTGCAGTATCCACAGGTCTTTCGCGCATACGGTATTTTGACGAAGAAAACGTTACAAGCTGGCGCGGAATGGACTATATATTTTTTTTAAACAATCACTTTATTTACAATGGTTTGTTTGGTTATGGGTCATTATGGTGGATTCCCCGCCATAATTTTGTGACTTTTTGAACAGAAGAAAATATAGGAAAAACTACAGTATACAGAGCTTTTCGCTTCAAGACCTAAAATTAGACGATATCCTGACTAAAAAAACGTGAAGAGCTGGCGCGGAATCGACTATACATATTTTTTCCGTTTCTTGGTTTCGGTTGGTTGATGGTTCTTTGATATGTGTACAGAGTTCCGATACGCGTCGTTGCCGCGTCGCACCATCGTCCGCGAATCCGACAGGGCGATGACCAACGAGGAGATGGACAAAGTCGTCCGCGAGGCCTACGAGGCCGCCGACGAGGCTCGTCGCGAGCATCGTACGTGTTGTCGCACTTTTATCCGTATAGTTCATTCGTGAAGGCTTTCTGCGGTGTTTAAAGGAGCATAGGCCGAATTCAAAAGGGTCTCGAATGAACTGTATTGTCGTCTTGTCTTGTCCTGCACCTCTTTGTCTGGCGCGTTTTTCAAACACTTTCTCACTTTTTAGCACATTTGGGTCGAAGAAAATTTCAAAAGAGAGAACGAATTTTTCAGGAAACAGCTTAACATTGAATGTAGAAAAGCTCACGGCGACATCAAATCGACGCCACATCCACGGCGGAAAATAAAATGTGTAGTACGCAGTGCACGCGATGCATATAAAGCGACGCGCAAAACCGAATTGTAATGTTTATTATAACTAAAATAAATTTTCTGGCTGTTATTCATTCAGGAATAGCTGAAGAAAAATTTTCACAAGATTTATATTCTAAAAAAATCACAGCTAAACTAAAATGAACAAAATAATAAAAAAATGCGAAAACAGCAAGCGCGCCCCATGGAGACGAGTGCGCGTGTGCGTCGCCTGGCGTTGTTTTTTTTTAACATAAGTTTGCTGGTGTCGCCGTGAAGCTAAGAATTTAATATTTTCAACTTATCCAGTGAACAGTTCTAAGTTCGATCTCCTATCTCAAAATAAGGCGGGAAAAATTGATCGGACATAAAATGAATAATTTAGCTTATGTAATTTCAGGAGAACATCCCAAGCTCGGAATTTTTAGAATCAAAATGCTCTCAATATAATTAAGTTAATAAAAAGGTTCGAAAAAAACATATAAAAAAATTTTTTTCCAGGTATAAATAGAAAAAAATCGATGAATTCTTCCTTTTTGTATTTCTGTCTAGCGCTTCATGCTCTCCTCCTTAATGCTATTTTGGCTTGCTTATCATCGATTTTTCGGAATATTTATTCGATTTTTGCGGTTTCAGGTCATCGTAGCAGCTCCTTGAGCCGAGGCGGTTACGTGCCAGGCGGCCAGGAGACCTACTACCGTCACGAGACCACTCGTCGTCATCAGAACTCCAACCAGGTGTGGATTTGGTTGGAAAATTGTCTATTTGATATAATGGATTTTCTGAAAATTCGAGGAAAAATATGAGAAACATAATCTGAAGTTGAGAGCGAAAAAGTACAAAATTATCAGGTTAATTTTTTAGGCCCAAAATAGTTTCAAAATCATCATAATTATCACAAATTTACCTAATTTTTGACTTTTTGGTATTCAAATCTATCCAGGACAAACTAGGGTTTAAAAATGTTCTACTCCGTTTCTCCGAATGCGGACCTTGAGCTTAAAAAGACGACAAAACCCATCAAAAACTGATAAAATAGGAGAATTTGAGCTTCTCTTCAAAAAATAATTTGCGATTCTCAAATCATCTTCTTTTTGTACACTCCGTTTTCCGCAACTTGAAACAGCTGTTTTTCTCTGTGCCCTCCTAGTCTCTCGGCTACCCTCTCATGTTGACGTGTTGTTTTCTTGTTTCTCTGACCTCGCCGCTGAGGGAACAGAGAGACGCAGACACTCAAAAAAGTCGCTGCGGACTGATTTTTTTTTTGGCAGTTCTGAAAGCCGTGTTCAGAAAATTATCTCTGACTCTCCAAAACTAAGCTATTTTTTCTTTTCCCTGATGGCTATTTTGAATTTCGCGGAAACACTTTGAACACGGCATAACCTACTCATAACCTAGGAAACTTCTTTATTTGAAAATATGAAAATATGAAAATCTGAAGAACAAAGGACAGAGGCTAAAATTCCAAAAACTTAAACGAAATGAAGCGAAAAAAAATAAAATAAGATAGTAAGAAAGAAAGAAAGACCTTGTATTTTTATAACCAGACTCATGATTTTTCAGGACGACTTCAACCGCGGAATCGCCCACGCTCGTTACGGATCGCTGTCGGACTCGCTGCGCCGCGGCGAACTGAAATACGTTCCAAATGGCGAGGTCCGCGAGTCCTACTACCGTGACGGATCGCGCAACATGCACAAGAGTCACTCGACAAGTTCGTTTCTTAATTTTTGACTTTTCTGAGAAAATTCCTGTTCAAATTTATAACGTAATATTATCAAAAAGTTCAAAGAAATCGTTGCAGGAGACGTTTTCGGCGGCCAGGACGATCGTCGGTCTGTTTCTTCGTACCGTCGCGGCAGCCAGCAAATGTCGCCTTTCGTCGAGTTTCCACCAACTCTTCCAAGACGGTACCTTTTTTTCACCTATTATTGATAATTCAAAAATTTAAAAAAAGCGGAAGAAGAAATGTTCTTAATAAATTTTTGAATCAGTAGATTATTATTCCGAAGGTTTTTTGGGAAAAACGGTGAAGTTTAAATTAGATTTCAGTTCATTCCATAAAAGAGTATAATCCATTTTTGCCGACTTGAAATGCGAGAAGGGTAAATTGACAAGGGGGACGCGTTGCGTACGCGATGCGGCGGGATCAAGGAAACATTTTTTTATTTTTTTATTTTTTTCAAATTTTTATTCGTTCAACTAAGCCTGATCAAAACCATACAAATTCAAATTGATTTGAAACTTTATCAAAAAAAGGAAAACCATTGAAATAAGGAAAGCCGCGCCGCGTACGCAACGCATCACCTTAGCCAATCCTTTCATACTATTGTCTCAGCGGGTGTACCCGTTTTAAACCCGTGTTTTTGAGAGCTAAAACGGGAGAAAAACGGGACGAGAATCGATGACTTAGCTGTGTTTTTATACGGAATTCTGAGACCCAGCGGAACCTCAGCAGTGGTAAAAATGCCAAAAGTCCTACCAGCTGTGCTTATTCGGATTTAATACGGGCGCACCCGCGTCAGCACGGCTGGTTATCTTCATAGCTTTGCCTCTCAAGTCGGGATGGATTATTGTAGTTTTAGAGAAAAAAATCGTTTGAAGTAACTTATTTGAGATTATTCCTTTAGTAGCGAACGCGACGAGAACTACTTCAGACCGGTGAGCAAGTCGCGCAGCTATGCCGACTGGGATGACGCCGGCCGCTCCGGCTTCGGTCGTGAAGTTAGACGGTGAGTTGAAGGGATTTCCGAAGTGCGGAAAACGGGTGACTGCAAAATGGCCGCTAACAGGGTTCCGTTTTGCGGCCTTTATTGAGCCTTATTTTTCTTGGTGCGTTAAAAGACTCAAAACTTTGTGAAAAAAGGGTGAAGAAAGGGACAGGCCGGAAAAAGGGAGAAGAAAGTCTCTGCTATTGATGATTGTATTACTGTAGCACATTTTGGTTCATACACAGTCGCTGGTGAAGATTATTCTCAGTTTAAAAACTTTGTGTTTCTCAAAAGGGTCCAAAAAGGGTGGATGAAGGCCGATGAGAGGACGGAAAATAGCAGTAAAAAGGAAACCGTTTGTTGGAAACCGCCGGGTTCGTATAGTCAATGTTCCCCGACTTGAAAGGCGAGGGAGGCGGGGCAGGGGCGGGACGCGTAGCGTGTGCGTTGCGGTTCTTGGCACGTGTTCAATTCAACCGCCATCTACTCTTTGAAAAGCCCGTTTTTCGCTTTTTTTATTCCTTTTTTAATTATTTATGTTCATGTGTGCATCTAAAAATAATAGAAAACATTGAAAAAGAGCGGTTACCGAGCTTTTTAAATAGTCGGCGACAATTGAATTGAACTCGTGCCACGAACCGCGAACGCACACGCTACGCGTCCCGCCCCTTGCCCCGCCTCCTTCGCCTCTCAAGTCGGGAAACATTGACTATAACGGACGCTCGAAGGGTCCGTAAATGGTCCTTCCGACCTTTCCTATGTTCAGTTCTCATAAAATCACTTGACCGTTTCTAAAAGAAAGAAAAAGTGACAAAATTTGCTCAAAGTATTATGATGGTTAATTAACAAATTGCTGAATTTAAAGAGGCTTCAAAAAAAAAATCGCATTTTTTGAATTTTTGTTCAAGTGCACATTTCGAAGTTTCCTTTTTCAGCTACGACGATGACATGGGACGACTTGAGGCCGAGTTCCGCGACTCTTTGCTTATGCCGATGCCAAATGGGAACTTGTAAGGAGTTTCATATTGAAACTGGTCGATATTGAAAAGTAAAATTAGCTTTGAACAGAAATTGTTACACTCAAACCTTAGCTCCCTCTATAGGATCACGGCGTTCCCAAACGGGGTGGGGAGACGTCAAAAAAATTTTGGCGCGAAATTTGAAATATCAAGTACGCAGCCAAACGTATTCTTCGTTGAATACTCAGTTTAATTTGCAACGATAGGTAGCTGTGACGTCACAGTCCTTTTATCCGAAGCGCGCACTTACTTTTTTTTTTGTAAATTCAGAAACTCGCTCACCTTTTCTCACCTTATTAGGAACGCCGTGAGGAGGCACTAAAGCTTGCAAAAATGACCCCTATAGTGTTTTAGTTAGTGGTCACTCTAGGGGAGCTTTTTTGAGAACTCTGTGAGAAGCTTTACTATATAACCGTTCATAAGTTTCAAATCACAACGAATAACAAAAAATCGCTATAGGGACCACTTGAGCTTTAGTGACCTTGAAATCATATTAGGATGGGTACCCTTTTCCCCTAGTCACCACTCTGCCGTTCGTAAGTTTAGAATCGAGAGTTATTAGCTCAATTTCTTCCGCAGATCCCTCTGACCGAAAGAAGTGGAATTTTTCTTGTTTGAGGAACGAGAAGGACCACCGCACCGAGCAGATTCCAGGAGGCTATGAGACTTTCAACAAGGAGAGACACGCCAACTCGGGACGCCGCGCCGGACGCGACGGACGACCTGTCGATTACAAGTTCGTTTTTTAAAATCTTTCAGATTTTCCAAAATTTTGAGGATGTAAACTTTTGGAAGAATTGAAAAATTTGATTTTCCTGCTTCTGAATCCGCCTGTGTTTCGTTAAAGTTCTAAGAAAGGCCCAAGAACAGATACTAAAAAAAGTGAGAAGAAATTTTTTTTTCCAATCAATTCTAACTAGGGAACGTTTTTTACCTTAAGACGCTTCAAAAGCTTAAAATAGCGCTTTTTTGACCTAATTTGCGCATTTTGCACACGTTGAAGCTCTATAACTCGGAACCAAGATCTATTGCGAAAAATGTTTTTCTTGTTCTGGGAAAAACGTACCCTGGTACTTCCTAGAACTGCCAAGGGATTCATCGAACGTTGAGAAGTACGAAAAAAGAATAAACTTTCTCTTTCGAGTGATGATGTAATTTTTTGAGTAGGCTCAAGTGGTTAGGCAAACTTTGCTCCAGTGCGAAACTTTTTGCGGCTGGGATTTTTTCTCTACGACTTATGACTTTCATGCGTCGCGAAATCCATTTAAAAGTTATGAAGTCATTTTGGGCGTGTTAAGCTTGAACACAGAACTTTCTGCAATTTTATATTTATTTTTTTTCGGAAAATTCACAGTTTGAAAAAAAGAATTGTGATGACGTCATTTTGAAAAATATTGGAGATTATGTAAAATTTTTTTTAACACGAATCACGAGTAATCAAAATTATCTAGCTAAGAGTTTACTTAAGGGGTGTTAGCTACCCTAGAGAGAGTACTTAACTTGCATTTTTTTGAGTCATTATTAAAATCTTTTTTTAATGCATGGATACAACTTAGAGGTTCTACTTGAGGGGAAAATTTGATTAAAAGTGACGTCATCAATTTTAATCAAGTTTTCACAACATCCTTCTTCAAAAAGCCTACTTTTAATGAAGTCATTGATGACGTCAACTTGAAATGGCCCAATCGTTTGAACAAACTGCGCTCCAACGCGAATATTTTTGCAGCGAGGCGTCGCAAGAGTACAACTACAAGCGCGAACAGCAGTTCGACGACCGCCGGCGACGTTGATCCCGAGAATCCTCGCGAGAAAAAGCAAAAAAAAAAAAACAGCGAGTTTTCTGAACCTTCCGGTGACACCACGACTATTTCCGCCATTACTTATTCCAGTGGACCACGCGATTTTTTTGATTCCAATTTGAAATGAACAAAAAGAACCTTTCAGCGAACTTTTTTTTCTTTTTCCTTTCATTTATATTTCAAAATTTAACGCGCCCTACCTAATTCAGTTGATTCATGTGTTTCTTCTCACTTTTTGACGTCGCCAAGTGCCAACTATTATACAGATTTCTATTCCCCCCTTCTTTTGACACTGATTGTAATTAAGAAAGAAAAAAAAATCGATAACAGCAGAAAAAAACTAAAGTGTCCACTCCCTGATATAATTGCTCAGAATTTCTTCACTTCTTGTATCATCTAGTGTTTTTCTTTTCTATTTCTCGAGTTAGCCTCAAAAAGATAAAGTTTTTTTGAATTACGATTTATCGCCAAAAATGCAATGCATAAGCGCTAGAATAACAAAAATAACAAAAATAAAGTTATACGTTATAAAAAAAAGAAATACCTGTAAAGTTTGGTTTCGCCTTCGAACAAAGGTCAATCAGATCAATTAGGTCATACTGAAGAAAATGCATTATTAAGTTATGCGTCGTGTACCAATTCGTCCTATAAAAATGAGAAAAGGCAAGATCCAAAAAGGATGAAAAATATACAGAGGTATTAATGAGAAAGGAAAGCAATGTGTAGACCCTGAAGTATGTCGATTTTGTGAAGAAGAGATTTTTTAGAATCGTGAATCAAAAAGCTTGCCAAAGGCACACTACCCAAAACAGTATATCACAGGGAAGAAAAAAGAAAACAAGAGAACATAAACATGAAGTTCAAAGATAATTACAGAAACAGGTGGGGAATCTAATGAGCGTCGATCTCCTCGACGTCGCTGCCGTCGATGTCGCAGATGGCGCTGGAGACGTCGTCGCCGGCCATGGAAACGGTCGCCGGATCGTCGTAGAGCTGAGAAGTCTCCATCAGGGCCGTCTTGTGGGCCGGAAGCGGAGGCGGAGCTTGTGACGTCGGTTCTGAAGTTGTTGCGTTATTCTGAAGTTCTTGGGAGCGATTCCAACCGTCGTCCTTCTTCCTCGGCCGCATCGTCATGTAGTCGTCGTCGTTGTACACCGGGCTGAGGACGGTGTCGCCGACGTGGACGATCTCTCGGCCGCTTCTGACGGCCGCGCTGACGCCGTCGTCCGTGGTTCGCCAGTCGTCGAGGTTCGTAGCGAGGCATTGGATTGAGTCGCCCAGGTCTCTGAAAAATATCGACTTGCAAAAATGGCCTCTTCTCTGAGAGGAAGATTCTTTGCCTAAAGAGGTCACTGATTGTTTAGCTTCCTAGCCTAACAAGAGCCTTCCAAACTCAAAATTTCTGAAAAACCCACCTATGATTGGTGAGATTGGTCAGGGCGTCATGATGAGGTCTCTCGAATCTCCTGTCGGACTGTCTGACGCGATTGACGACGCCGACGGTGCCACTTCCGCAAGAGTCCGAGTCGTTGGCCACCCGATGGCCGTACCGACGCAGCGCCTCCAGATTCCGCAGCTTTTCCGCATCGACGTCCGTCCGGCGGTTCGCCTTGCCGCTGCCGGCGATCGACGGCGACCTCGAGTCGTTGCGGTTGGCCGTCTTTGAGAATGGCCGCACCTAAACAGAAAATTTGAAAATCCGGAAAAGAGATTTACAAAGGAAAAGCCCCAGTCCTTAACCGATACGATATTAGTTGATAAGGTAATTCAAACCTGGACAGTAGGTCTGTTGGTAGCGACGAAGTTGGAGTCGCCGAGGAAGGTTCTCGGAGGAAGGGGCGGCGGATCGGGAATCGGCATGAGGACACGAGTATTTCGCATGTGGGAAGGCACGTCCACGTGGGTTCCATATTTCGGATCACTGAAGTTTTATCGATTAGCTGAGTAAAAATGATATCTTTTTTTTAAAACTCTTTAGGGATCACTTCTCCTCTATACCTTTTCTAAGCATGGTTACAAAGAATAGAAAAGTGAAGAAAGGATTTAAACCTCATAGATGGTCCCTTGACACTTTTTAAGTGACCTCTTAAGGGAAAAGTAACTTAGTTAGTGTTTCTATGTGAGTCATTGTTCGAAGTGAAACAAAAAAAGTCGTCAAAAATCATTGAATTTCGGAGAGTGAATACTTGAGTGGACCCTTGACTAATAACTGAGTTCAAAGACCAAGAAGTTCATTAGCAGAGCTGTACCTGTATCCATCCACTTAAGTCACCTCTTCAAAGTAACACTCTAGTGATCACTTAGAAGTACAAAACGAACCTTCGTCGTCGGCAGCATTTGCAGGCGAGCAGGACCAGGCAGACCAAAAGAAGGATCATCAGTACAACCACGAGTCCGATAAGGACATCCATTCGGGTCAGGAAACGCAGAAAATCGAAAGAAGACGTGTCTGAATCTGATTTTTCATGATATAGACTTTTTTTTCCCTGATTCTCACGATGACAGGGAGTGCTCTGCAAGACGCCCCCGCTGCAATTGCAGATGAAGTCGCTGCTTTCGATCGTCTTCCTGGGAATCGAGATGCATTTTCCGTCGCCGCACCGGTCTTCCGTGCAGGAGTCTTCTGGAAATCGACATATTACACTCGAGAAATGGAAAAAGAGCCGTTTTTCCTACTATCTTCTTTCGAGCTCACCTTCATAGCCTCGCATCTCACACCGCTTGCCAGTGAAGCCATTGGGACACTTGCACAGGTAGTCGTTGTAGAAGGGAATGCACTGGATTCCGTTGGGACAAGGTCTCGAGGCGCACGGCTCCGTGTCGATCTCACATCTCTCTCCAGAGTACCGTGGAGCGCAGAAGCAGCTGCAAAAATCGCCAATGTGCGAAAAATCCAATAATTTTTTTTTCTTTCTTGAATCATCATTTTGTTAACGCCTGTTGAGCATAAAAGTTACATTTGAGGATCTTTTTTCAGCGTTTTTATACTAATTTTTGAAACTAATAACATTTTTGAACTAATTTTTAAAACTCTGATAACATTTTTGAACTAATTTTTAAAACTCTGATAACATTTTTGATCGTTACAGTCTGTGTGCCACGACTTGAAATTTCCCCGAACGACATTCCGCTGTTCCGCTGCGTGCGTTCGCGAAGCCTCTTGCGAATCTAGGTCACGCTTTCAATTGATTGTTATTGCTGTGGGAGCACATGAATGTAGAATACCTTAATAAAAGAAAAAAAAAATTATAAGCGCGACCGAGGTTCGCAAAGGCGCGCAGCTGCACAGCGGAATGTCGTTTGGCGAAATTCCAATTTGTGGTACACAGACTATACAACTGATTTCAAAGGCTACCTTGAAAAACTCTCCATTTGCTTGCAAATTTTCTAAAATCCTTCTTAATTCCAAATGTTTCTCTCTATTATCCAGTTCGGAACCAGAGCTGTTGGATCGTATTGTTTGTTCTTCAAGCGATTATTAACCTGAAAGTCCGTCCGACGACGACACAGCTACCGCCATTTCCACACGGAGCTTCGCTACAAGGAGACGAGGCCATGGCCGAACAGCCCGACGTCGCTGACCAGTACCGTAAGCCTTGACGCGTCTTTGGAATCGGTCTGAAAAGTGTCACGTTTTTCAACATTTTTTTATAAGGAATAAATGTTTTTTTCCAGCTTATTTTTAACATGCCGTGTTGATTTACTGTATCTTTCTCACGCTGACTGTGAAACCTTGAAACTTGCCTAGAAAGTCGATGGAAATAGTTATGACTTCTCGAAGGAAAAATTTGAGGCCAATAAACTAAGGTGATCCTATCAAAAATGTCATTCTACTGAAAAAAATTAAAAAAATCTGGCAGAAACCTAAATATATTGAAAGTTTCAAGAGGCAATTTTCTCTACTCACCGTCCATCGATGGAAATCTCGCGGAAGCAGGCGGCAATCCCGCGGGTGACGTTATTCTCGGAAGATTTCTGAACTTCAGCCCCAAAGACGAGTTTCTGGGCGTAGGAGTGGAGGTTCAGGACGAGGGCCCCTGGAAATATTCTTTGAGGAACTTCCTTGGATTTCTGAAGGTACCAGGAGGACTGAACGACTCGTGGGTGTCACTTTCGTCGACGATCAGTTTGGTTCGACGTTGGCGTCGGCTGACGACAATTCGGTGCCATTTTCCGTCGGAAATCGACGTTTTCGACCTGACTCGGCCTTCGCCTGCGCCAGCGTTCCACACGTACTCGACCAAGCCATTCACGAGCTGCAAAATACCATAGAAAATGTATCTTCAGTCAATTTTTTCTCATCAAATTTTCTTGAGTCTATTTTTCCTGTCCCCACTCAAACCTGCAGCGAATGATAGTCATCTCCATCTCGTCCGGCAACGATGACGCCCTGGGTCGACATGGTCTTCAGTTCGATCTCCAGTTCTATCCGCGACTCGACCTCGTTGGCTAGCGACATTTCAAAGTATCCAGTCCCGCCGACTGATATTTCGGCTTCTGAAAAAATTTACATACATTTTTTCTCTGAACATATTTATAGTCCACCGCGTTTTGTCCGCCAACACTTTTTCCGTAAAGTATAATGTGTCGTGTGCATACACCGCGGCGCTTTCGCACATACCGTTTTCAAAGTAATTTTTGCGAAATTCAAAATCATCTCTGAATTTCCGTAATTCAGTTATATTTTTCACTCTTTGGCGGTTATTTTAAATTTCACGGATTCACTTTGAACACAACATATGCTTCAAAGAAAAATAAAACCGGAAAGTTGGGTTTTCATAAAAGAGAAATCGATTCGTCTCATGACCCATTGAAGATGCGCTTTTAAAATTTCCTGTTGTTTCCCATGACGTCATATGGGAACGACAGGGATTCTGACTCCGCCCCCTTCATTTTTGGTTTTGCACTAATAAGAAAGCTGTGAGTCAAACGAAACAAATTTTCAAGAGACATCGTGAAAAAAAGTAGAAAAATCCACGAAAAATTCATCCGATAGCATTTTTTTGTGATTTTACTAGTTTTTCTTCAAACTTCCATACGTAAAAGCTTATTTTCTCAGGTGTTTCCTACCTTCGAGACAGCGGCCGTCGTTCTCACAGGCCGGTTTCTGACAACGGTCTCCGGTGAGGCCAAGGGGACAGACGCATTCGAAGCCGAGTTGGAAGACGTCGCCCGGGATACACATTTGCCACGGCTCACACGGCGATCGAGCACATTCGTTCACTTCTTTTTCGCATCGTTTGCCGCCAAAACTGAAAAACTTTGGGATGAGCTTCAACCTTTTCATTTTCAGGTGTTCGTGAGGTGAATCTATCGCAAATTATACTCAAAAAACACGGATGATGTTTGAAAAGAAAAAAATTTTTTCTAAATTTCATGTGAGTTTTGAAACTAGACTAATCGCAGAAACCTCACCCTTCCGGACAAAGACACTCGGCGCTGCGTGAATGGTGCGGAGCGACGTAGGCGACGCCGTCGACGTTGACGAAGGTCATGCGGTTCTCGATCATCTCGATCCGCTCCCGACACTCTCCCCGTTTGCAGACGCCGGGAGTGCACATCTCCGTGATGAGTTGGTAGCGCATCCCCTCGCTCTGGTCCTGGATCGTCTGGAAGTCGTGCTGCAGCCGGGAGTAGATGTGGTCCGGCTTGACGAGGCCGCGGCCTTGGGCTCTCTGGGCCGTCAGGAGGATCTCCACGTCAGTCAGGGCGCGTTCCATTCTTGCGGAGGCTGGAAAAAAGTTGTATGATTTGGAGATTTTTCCGAAATTCACCTGGAAGAGCCTGCTGGACACTGAGAAGTCGAATATCGGTCGGTTCCACGTTTAGTTGTCGGGAAAGAACTCGTCGGAAGGTTTTCTCCTGTCTTCTGAAGAAATCCTCGACAGTCGTGCCACGGACTCGGATCGCAACGGCATGATCAATGACGTCTCGATCGATGGAATTGACCTGGAAAATCATGAAATTTTTCTTCATAGTTTTTGGGGTGTAGAATAACGGCAAAAACAGAAAAAACCTTTCAAATCGGAATTCCTTCGTCAAATCTACAGCCTAGGAACTCCAGTGTGGTCCCTATAGGGGCAACCTTAGGGGTCCTTGAAGAATCCTCTCTAGGGGCCACTTCACCTCCCCCTACAGGAGCCACTAAAGCTCGCAAAAGTTGCCTCCATTAAAAGTTCTAGTTAGTTTTATTGATTACGTCTTTAATTTTGTAATCTGAACAAAAAAAAACCCTATACGGACCACTTGATCTTTAGGGACAGGGGTCAGACTGTAATCCCTCCAAAGTTGCAAAGTTTTGGAAAAATTGATAGAAAATTTCTTTTTTTCGGTTTTTCTGATATTTGTCTTTAAAAGATATACAACCTTAAAAAAGAAGAAAAAAGTGATTTCCCTGCAAAAAAGTATAGGATCCCTGAGTACGAACCTCGATTTCGACGAAACTGATCGGCGAGTATTTTCCATCGGTGACCGTCACGTTGAACGCATGCAGACCGGCGGGAATCGAGTGTTCGCTCCAAACTTCGCCGGTTTCCGGATCCACCCGGAATTTATGAGTTCTGCCGGTGGGATTGATCGGCTTCGGGAGGTCTTTGGTTGGCAGGGGACCGGCTATGCTTTCTTCCACTAGAGCGTATCGAAGTAGGTCTCCGGCGTCCTGAAAGATAGTTTTTCTGTTTCCGCTCATGTTTATGAAGAGGATTCTGTTTTTTTTTGTATTGCTTACTACGCGCGGAATGAGATTGAAATGTCGTTAAAAAAAGAACACGGGACGAACATTTTTAAATATATTTTTTTTGTGGGAAAAAGGGAGTACTATAATTTTTGTCTCTTAAAAATACTTAATAAATTTTTCCTTTGTGCGAAATTTCAGGAAAGGTAAGAGAAAAAAGCCTTCTACCGAAATATACTAAAGGACCACCATAATGGTCATTTAGGGTGATGTCAGAAAGTGGCTAGAAGGAAATTGAGAAAAAAGAATTTCGATTAATTTAGGAAATGAGGCAAAGATGCTCCCCACGATTCCAGGAGCTGCGAAGTGCCTCCTTTAGGGGTCCTTCAAATTTTCCCTTTAGGAGGCCCTAATACACCTCCTGTGAAACAACCTTTCGCTTTTCGCAGTAAAGTGTTAGGAAAAATTTCTGAAATTTCATTTCTTATTCGCTTTTTTTTCGAGTTAACAAAAAAATATCAAAGCTTTTTGTTCCTAAGGTATAGAAAATAATCTTCAAAAAACAAAAACTGAACTTCAAATTGGACTACTTCTTCTTTCAGACTCAGAGATTTCCCAAAACCTAACCTCATCTTCCCCTTGCAATCTTCCGATTGTCGAAGCCTTGAACTCGTTCATCAACGTGTTCAGCTGCACTCTCAACGGCTTCAGGACAGGAACATGGCGACTTTCCTCCTTGACGAAGATGGTCAGAGGGCAATCCGAAGATTTTCCCCCGGAATCCGTGGCAACGACCTGGAAAAGTTAAAGGGAAAGAATTAGCCTTTTGGAAAGCAACTTTTCAGGAAAAAAGTGCTGAAGGTTTAAAGGTCTAAGATTCTCCTATTGCTGGGCTGGTACATCTCCCCCTAATATATTTGAAATCACGGAGCATAGGTCTCTAGACGAAGAGCCGTTTTAAATTATATTTGAAGTCACGAAAAAGTCTCTCTGTCTTGGAATACCCGGGGAAGGATTTTCCAACATAAAATTTCAAGATTCATTTTTCATAATACATGGAATTGATCTATCGATCTTTTTTCAAAGTCAGCAAGTAATGAACTATACTAACAGTGAGCAGGAATCGATCTTTTTTAGCGTGATCCAACCGGCTCATCGTGATCAAGTTGGAGCTTTTGTCGAAGGAGAACGATTTCGCGCCATCGCCTTTGATCTGAAAATGAGAGTTTAGGTTAAAAAAAAAGTCTGGAAGGCTAGGAAATGATGGAAAGCAGCTGAAATGGGAAAAACTCTATTGGCCACTTAAGAGATTCCTCAGGAACTACTTGGGGAGGGCACTAAAGTGGTCACTAAAACCACCTTTTCTGCGTCCTAGTGGCTACTACAGTGATTTCGATTTCAATGGAGTAGTAGTACCAATTAGACTTCTAAAAAGGCCACTAAATTCTAGTCACTATGATGACCACTAAAACGTCAAAACCCTAAAGTGACCCCTAAAAACTTTCGCAGAAATATGGTCTTTTTCAACAAGCTTTTCATTCTTAGAATTATAAGGGGGAGAAGGAAGAATTTTCGGATGAACCTCAAGTTTGAAGGGAGCGCCGTTGCCTTCGCCGTCGGCGTCTCGGAGGGACACGGAAAAGAGGGCGTGGCCTGGGGCGACGCCTTCTTGGACGACGGCCGTCATGTTGCAGTCGGCGAATTCCGGAGCGTTGTCGTTTTCGTCGATGACCAACACTTCGACAGGAACTTCGGCTTTGAGAGCCGGTTCTCCTCCGTCTTTGGCTTCCACGGTGAAAGTGTACTTCGAGGTCTGAAAGGTGAATGTATAATTCAGTTCAAAAAACGCTCGTTTCGTTTCCAGAATTGCTCTGAACTCGGAAAATCCATACCTTTTCAAAGTCCACCACTCCGGCCACGACAACCCATCCATCCTCGGCAACCGTGAAAGGCAAAAGCCAAAGTCGAATCCGACAGAAGACTGTAGGCGACTCTTCCAAGGTGTTCACTATCCGCATCTGTCGCTTCCAACTGCAAATTCGCTCCATCAGAACACGAATGTTCCCTCTCGGGCCTAAGTAACAGAACCCGGACGCACACCGGAAGCTTTTGATCAATTCTAGCGGTCACTTAAGAGTAACGCCCCTATAGTGGCCACTGAAAATGCCGAGAAACCTTCGTTTCGCGTTCCCAAAGTCTGAGCTTCTACATAGCCAATTCACGGCTAGCTTGAGACGCAAAGGGGCGTGGGCTGTCTGCGCTCTCCTCTTTTCGCTCTATCTCGTTTCCTATCTTGTCAGGACCCTTTCTTGTGTCCATTATAGCTTTTTTTCCACCACTCTTTTTTCCTGGTGAAAATATCGTGTACCTTCAGATCACAGGCCTTACAGCGAAGCGCGGAAAAAAGCTTATTATACAGTAGTTTTCTCTACTTTCTTTCAGGAGAAACGTGACAAGATTCACTGTATACTGTACCTTCAACAGTCTCGTTCCATTCTTCGAGTTCTCCTTCACGGAAACTTTGTAGGAGTTCTTGCGGAAAACGGGCGCATTGTCGTTCTCATCCAAGACTTCGACGTCGATCTTCGCTTCGGAAGTCAGAGGAGGCGTTCCAGAATCCACGGCTTCGACGACCAAGAACATCGACTTGACTTCCTCGTAATCGAGGCCTTGGGCAAGGACGAGCGAGCCTGAATATGAGGTTTTTATTTGATTTAAAGTATTCAAGGTCTTTCGCTAAAATGACAGCGCTAAATTTTCCAGTACAATGTAAAAAGATAGAATTTCACGAAAAATAAAGAGTTTGGTGAAAATTTTGAGATTTTCGAACCCGTGTTCTCGTCGAGGCTGACGAATTGATTGTGTGGCGAGGATTTCAGTCGATATTTGACCGTTTCTCCTTCATCTCCTCCAGTCGCGCCGAGTTTCAGAAGCTCATAACCAACAGATTCCGATTCGAGAACCTGAAAACACGATTTTTCAACACTTTCTTTAGATCCTCGTTTCAATTAGACTCCAATCTTATTCCGCCTTTCAGAAAAAAAACATTAGAGCTGATCCAGAAAATTTTAAGAATATTCCGTGTAAAATCTTCACTCGAAGTGGTCGCTCTCATTCTGAGGGTTCCACCTAGGGCAAGGTCTCCGGGCAACACTATCCACGACATTCTGAGCTCGTCAAGGCGCAACTGCTTTCAACTCTTTCGACTACACGTTTGGACTTTTATTTCGACAAAGGCGGTTGTTCGTTATAGCTTTTAAATTTCTTGTTCACCGCCTAGTCGATTACATCAGACTAATACAACAAACAAAATCATTGATATTATAATCTTCATCTTCGAAAACTTATTTGAATCACATTTGAAACAGTGAAAATATTACAAAAGTTTTTATTTGAGAGCTTTTTTTCAAATCGACTACTTTTTCTCTTTTTAGAGACATCTGGGCATTGCTTTTAAACTTCAAATTTTTTTGAAAAAAATCTGATAAATAAACAAAAAAATTTGATTATTGGGCAGACTTCTGTTTTAAATAATTCGTTTGAATTTGCAGTTTTCTTTTTGAAATATTGAACTTTGTTTAGAAATTTCATAATTTTTTCGTAGGGTCAGATTCAAGTTTCAATTCAAGTTCAACAGGAACCTTCAAAGTGTAGGCGTTCTTCTCGAAAACCGGCGGATTGTCGTTCTGATCAGCAACGGAAACGAAAACGACAGCTAAAAGATTGATTTTCAATCTTGAAGATTTCCTTTAACGAAAACCCTTGGCAGTTCTGGCCTTGACGGGATCACTATCGCTGGCAAGAACATGGAGAACATATTCGGGCCGAGATTCTCGGTCCAACGGCTTCACCAGAGTGATCACTCCAGTGATCTCGTCGATTTCGAAAACGCCGAATCCATCGGAAAGTGTGTAGCGGACGCGGCCCAGGGCTCCAGAGTCCTTAAAAGATCACTTAGGAACGGCGGAGTGACCCTTATAGGGAGCAAAAAAGGGATCCCTATAGGCACTTAGGGTCTGAATCCCGAGGCCCCTAAACCTCAAGTGGTCCCTATAGGGGTCTTTTCATTTTTACGAGAAGCTTGCTCTCCTGTAGAACCGCTAATTAGACTCTACAGGAGTCGTCGCTTTGCAAGCTTTAGGGATCCCTATAGGGAAGGCAAAGTGGTCCCTAGAGGGACTTAAGGTCTGAACCCCTAGGTCCCTAAATCTCAAGTGGTCCCTATAGGGGTATTCTCATTTTTACGAGTAGCTTGCTTCCCTGTAAGATCGCTAAGTTAACTCTACAGATCGATTCTACAAGTTTAAGTGACCCCTATAGGGAAAGGTGAAGTGCTCCTTAGAGTGGGACCTTCGAGATAACCCAAGGTGGTCCCTATAGGGTTCCCTCAAGGATATTTCCGTACCGCATCATTGGCCTCAAGTCTGACGGCAAACTGTCGTTCTTCAGATGTCGCCGGGAGGTTCTCCTTTGATCGTGACGTTGACTTGGTTGTCGACGAAAATCGGCGAATTGTCGTTCTCATCCTTCACTTCCAGGAGAATCGGCTGACGACATCGGATCCGAGGAGAGTCGCTGGACACGATTCGAGTCAGAGAGTACTGAAAATGGATAGTTATTAAGATTAAAGAAGTGCTTTTTCGTCTTGAATTCAATTTTTCGCTTTTTAAAATTCATCGACTCAAGATTTGATCCCCATGGAGCGTCGGATAAGCTCAAAAAGGGCCCAAACATCTTCATTTGAAGGCCCAAGCTTCATTGTAACCCAAGAAAGCAGAAAATTATTTTTTTACTTAAAACTTTTTCTGTCGTTTTCTTGAACCCGCTTACCGATTTTTTTAAGATTAATTTCAATGTTTTATAAATTTTTTCATGAACTGTTTTTTTAAAGGACCTAGACCCCAGACTGAAAATCCTGATTATATTCAGTGTTTTCGAAAATATACTGAAATTAAGGTCTCTTCCAAAAATATTTTTCTTGGTTTTCTCAAAGGAGCATAGACAATTATCAAAGGGTTTTGAAGCGAACAGACTTTTTTAAACTGATTCCAGATAATTTCTTTGAATACCCACGAACTTTTGACCATTCTCCAATTTTTAAATGACTTCAGACTTTGTTTATTCATCCCAGATAAATTCAAAATTGAAATAAATAAATTTCCATTCTGTTTCGAGACATTTTGAAATATTTCCTCATGAGTTTTGTCGAGTAATGAATGAAAATAGGTGGAAAATACCTTATTAACATCCTCGTAGTCGACATTCTTCGAAACGGTCATGGATCCCGTCTTGGAATCGATGGAAAATGGATTATCCTGCTCTTCGGATTGAAGTTCATAGGTTGTTGAGGAAGATTCGAAGAGCCGTTCCAGTTTGATCGAAAGTCCTTTCGGAGAGTTTTCAACGACGGAGACGGTCGAAGGCGTCGTGGGGCAGGTGAACTGATCGACTTTCTTCACGTTTACCTGTAATTATCTTTATAATATCAAGTCAAAAGTGCTTTATTTTTTTCTGACAAAAAAACCTTTTTTTGTATTTTTTATTAAGTTTTCCACTTTTTTTCCAGGCTGGAATGCTCAAAAAGAAGAATACAGCGCAGAACAAGTCTGCGCCTAATAATGGAAATTTCAAAATCGCCCTATAAAAAGCCAAATTTCGACAAGAGGGGGTGAAAACTTTCGATGGTGGCTCAATCAAGATGGGGGCTGTCGACGGGGGCAGGGCTAAAATGCGTAGGACTATTCCTTAATCTAGAATAGCCCCCTCCCTCCCTCAACAACCCAAAAAGCACCCCCCGGCTGTCGAAACAATGAAATCTCAATGAGTTGGTCTGATTCTACCAGTCCAGAAAAATATTCAAACAAGGAAAAGCTTCGAAAAAGCCTCACAATGACTCTAGCCGTGGCCGTGTGAGCTCCATCGAACGCCAAAACGTCCATTTCGTGCCGATTTTTGAGCAGTTCCGCTTGTTTCACGCTGAGATTCCCGTCGTCGTCGATTCGAAACACGCCGCCTTCGTTTCCAGTCGTGATGTATAGACGAGAAACGTTGAATGGAGGGAGATCCGCATCCTGGAAACAATCATGAAATGATTATGTAACAGAGAAGATGGGAAACCGTGACGAGAACTCGGAGAATGGGGCCTTTCAACTGCGTCGGGTCGACCTCGATCTCGTAGACTTTTTTGTCGAACACCGGCGGAGAATCGTTCACGTCGAGGACCTGGGAATGGAGAACTCTTATGAGAAAAAAAAAGATTTTCTGAAGATCTTTTGGTCTTAAAGGAAGCTTACGACTTGTGAAAAATAACAGGTTTTGAAAGATGCTACTGGGTCAGGGAATAATAGCGAAAAAATTCGAAAGAAACACAATTTTTATGGAAATCAGCTATTGGACCTGATCCGCTCTTGGACCCCCTCCCCCTCTTGGACCCCAGACTAACCTCGATCGAGAATCTGACATCGGTGTTCAGTCCGCCCTCATCCGTGGCTCTCGCCGTCAACTTGTAGACGTCGTTCTTCTCCCGATCCAACTTCGACTTGACAGTCAGCCAGCCCGAATCCGCGTCCATGCTCCACTGCGCCGAGTTCTGAACTTTTCATTGAAGATTTCTCAAAATGATCAGATGCAACCTCGAGAAGGCTGAACTTGATACGTCCTCCAGGCGCGTGATCCTTGTCCGTCGCCGAGAAAACTGAGACGCTTGTTCCGACTGGCGCGTCCTCGAAGATGGTCATTCTGGAGTATGATTGTTTTTGAAACATTTTTTTAGTTTTGAAATTTTAGAAAGGTTTTTTGATAGTATGAGCAATCAAAGGTTGAAAATTATATATTTTCTCATATAGTCTGTTCAGATTTTGAATGTCAAGTCGCTTTTAAAAGCTCCGCCCCTAATGGCCCGATAAGCCAATGAGAGAACGAGCCATCTACAGAGCGCTTTCGAATGACGTCATTGTACATTCAAAATATGAACAAACTATTATATGAACAGTTTCGAAGTCTGATTTTCCAAAAAATGCTCATTAAACTTTTGAAGAATCATTCTTTTCTAGCAGTATTAGGAGAACCCTTTTTTGAACTGGAAAAAACTTCAAAAAATAGCGACTGCAAAAAATTTCCGGGGCAACCTACTTTTCAAGCATGCCGACTAGTTATACCATATTTATAAAATGAGCTAGACGCTTGAATAAACTTGCATCCTTTCCGTTTTTGGTGCACAAAACCATTCAAACTTCAAGTTTCTAACAGAAAAAACCAACTAAGACGGCAATGACCAAATGACTATGATCTACAAGTACTATAACGGAAAGAGCAGAATTTTAGGGAAGCTCAGAATAATTCTTAAAAAGTGCTTCATGACCCAGAAGCTGCAGATAACACAACATGATTTGACTCGTTTAAAAATTCCAAACTTCTAGATTTGTTTATGATCAGATGAATTTGATCGAAAGACACGATGGTGAAAGCCTATCGGCTATCTCCCTCGAGAACCAAATAAATGTACGGAATGAAACCGAGACCTTTCATAACTGCCATGGAAGGTCGGCGCGTTGTCGTTCACGTCGGAGACTTCGATGGAGACCGTCGTGACGGCGTGAACGCCTCCGGCGGCGTCGGCTCGGACGGCCATCCGCCATTCCGAGGTTCGTTCCCGGTCCAGGGCCGCCCTCACAATGATCTTCCCGCTGGATCTTTCTATACTGAACGGCAGTTCGGCCGACGCCTCGGCGATCACAAATCGTACTTCGTCGATGTCTAGAAGGTTGTTCAAATTGAACTATAGTACTGGGAAAAGGCCATAAAGGGGTTTGAAAATGGTTTTTTGGGCATAAATTCTCTGAAAGTGGTTCAAATTTATTTTACTTTTCTTTTCTAAATTTATCAATAGATAATCAGATTTGAGAAAAATTTTGAATTGCTGGACTTTTCAAACGTCGAACGGTACATTCGTACTGTGCAAACCTTCCATTTTTGTTAAAAATTTTCCAAAAATGCGAAAAAAAAGTTGAAAATTTTAACGAAGTTCTTTTCGCAGAAAGTTCGCTCTATGGACAAAATATTCAATTTTTCGTTTTTTGCTTCATTTTTTTCGATTCCACTAAATTTTTTTGAGAAATCTATACAACTCTGATCAGAATTGAGCTATTTTTCTAACAAAACAATGAAAAATGATAAAAATCTCTCTGAATATCGATGACTTGGCGGCAGGTTAGAAACACTTTTTTTTTTCGAAAAAACTAACTTTTACCACGTGAAAACTTTGGAATGGGTCCAAAAACTCTACAAGAAGGCCACAATAAATTAAACTTCATGTTTCACCAGCCCATATTCAGAATTTACCTTGCTCGACTTGCTGAACCCTTCCCAGAACCGCGCCGACAACGGCGTCTTCCGGGACCGTGAAAAAGTAGTGGCTGTTGGAGAATCGCGGGACGGGGGTTCCTTCAGAAGCGACGTTGATTTCGACGTTGCACGTCGCGTGGTGCGGAGGATTCGCGGCGTCCGTCGCTTTCACCATGAAGGAGTAGGATTGGCCGGCTGAAATGGCATCTATGCAGATAGGGAACCTTTTTTTCTGTTCAGCTCTTGGTGAGCTTCTGGATACTCAGGAGCGCCAAAGTGGTCACTAGAGGTGTCTTAGGGGGTATTGTAGGCTCCCCTCAAGGGACCACCTTAGCTCAAACTATAAGGGGCAACAAGGCTTGCAAAAGTGGCCCCTCTAGGGGTTTTTCTTCTTGGTCACTCTAGAGAAGCATCCTCCTTCACAAAAATCTTTCGGAAATCTGTTTTTAAATCCAGTATTCAATATTTTTTCCTTGCTACTTGAAAAAAGCTTTCTTTAAAACTTCCGCTCAGCCCTCTGCCTTTCAAAAATTCACCGTTCACTTTCGGACTATTTTTTCGTATACAGACTACCGTTACGGAGATTTAAACTTGATTTTTTCAAATTCAAGATTCAAAAAACCTCTCTAAGGTTCCCCCAGAAAAGACCCACCCTTAGCCTCGAGTTTCTTGGCGACCGTGACAGTTCCCTGTTTCGGATGGACGTTGAACAGAGCCGTCGCCGGGTCTTCGCCCATCAAGGAATACTCGATGTGGTCCAGCTCATCGTCGTCCGTCGCCGAGAGCATCATCACCGTGTCGCCCTCCTTGGCCGCCGACGAGACCGAACTCGTGTACTTCGAGAGGACGAACTTCGGCGGCAGATCGTTGCTGTCCTGCACGTGGAGGGTCAACGTGCTAAAGGCTCGTCTGCCGAGGACGTCTTCAGCGACCAGCGGAATTCTGAAAGACAATTATTGATCTTGAATTCTTCGGAAGACGTACTGATAAGTGTTGTCAGCTTGGTACTTGAAGACTCGGGCGGCGTGGATCCTTCCAGACGATTTGTCGATTCTCACTGGCCAGGCTCCTTTTTCTCTGGATCCAGTGGAAGCCGATCCGAGGGAATAACGAAGAGGACCGACGCCATCCCGGGCGGTCACAGTCAACAAAGCCGTTTTGTTCGACAAAGGCCTGAAAAAAATTCAAAAAACTGATTTTTGCTACTTCATTTTATTGTTTTTCCTGATAGCTTATTGACAGAAGATAGAAAAAAATTTCCAATTTGACCAAAGTTCTTTGAGGAGTACGTATTTATCTCCAATAAAAACTTCGCAAACTCATTTTCGTTATGAAATTTTGAAAAATGTACTTTTTACTTGATTCTGCTGTTTTCCTAATATCTTATTAAATGACAGGGCAAAGATTTTCAATTTTTGCGTGTTGCCTTTTCGACAAGGTCAATTATAATTCTTTCACGAAAAAAGCTCAAGTTTGCCAAAAAAAAAAATTGAGGATCCTTGGCTCAAAAATATTTTTGATGAGACTTTTAGGATCAAACTTCAAAGCTCAACAACAGAGTGCAGAAGGATCTCTTTCGAAAGACCTCACAGATTCCTTTTTTATTCATTTTCTTTTATAAAGGTGGATAAAAGGAGATTCAGAGAGACTTTTGACACCTTTTTAGGAGCTCAGAAAGGAGCTAGACTCTTCTTTCTGAAGGCTTCGCCCGAAAAGACACCTCATTTTTTGGGTAAGTTAAAAAAGATTCTTACGAGTTCTCCATAGCATTAGCTGCATATTGGGACTGTTCGAAGCGCGGCGGGGGCTGTCGGAGGCCGCTCAGAGTTATCTGAAATCATTTCGATTCATTCCAAAACCCGTACAAATCCACCTCGACGCTCAGCTGTCCATAGGCGGTGAAGATCCCATCGGTCACAGAAACATTGAGTCTTTTAGTTCTTTCCAGGAGGTCTTCGTCTTCAATCGGCCTGGCCAGGGTCACTTCTCCAGTGGAAGGGCCGACGTCGAAAAGGGTTTCGTCTCCGTCGATGATCGAGAAGAGCAACTTCTGGCCGTCGAGGGAGGAAATCGTGTCGTCGTCGGTGACGCTCATGATGGTGATGAACTGGGGCGGGAGGGCGGAATCGGCGACGCGGGCCGTCGAAAAGGGCGATTGGAAGACAGGCGGTTCGTCGTTGACGTCATTCACGTTGAGAATCAGAAGCGTTTGAGATTGCAGTTGAAGACGATTCGAGGCGACGATGGTGATCTCGTAGCGTCTTTTCTTTTCGAAATCCAAAGGCTTGGCCAGTTTGACATCGCCGCTTTCCGAGTCGATCGAGAGGACTGGAAAACGAAATTATTACTTCTTCGAAAAATATTTCAAATTCGAGCTCAGACTACAACTACAGTAAACTACAGTACAGAGTCACCTGGAGAAAATGTTCCTAAAAAGTTTCAATTCGGCTCCAGTACACATCCAAGCTTCATGGAAAAAAGAATCAAAAAAACTGATTCGACCATTTTTGAGGAAAAAATCAAACTTTTTGTATTTTCGTCTCAATAAATAGGGACCGCAGACCAATTTTCAAAAAATTTTTTTCAGCATTGAGCTTTGTATGGTTTGATAGCTGTTTCGATTCAAAAACTCAGAACCGTTTAGTTTTTTTCGAAAAAGATTGAGGATGAAAAAGTTATGACGAAAAATGTGGCGCGCCGCGCACCATTTTTAGTACTGAAATTTTTGGTATTATCCATTTTGACATTTTTTTCTCGATTTTTTTCTTCTAGAACAAGTTTTGATACTGGTCTATTATGATGTAACAAATCATAATAGAGTGCTGAAAATGATGCTAATCAGCTAGTTTGCCGAAAAAAAGTCGGTATTTTCCAGAAAACAAAAAAACTGACGCTTGCGGGCATCGAACTCGCGACCTCAAAATGAAAAAAATCGCAGCGCACGCGCTGCGCCAAGCTGCTAGGTCTAGCAAGGGGAGCTTCCATCCGCCTTACCCTTGAGCCGTTTAGATAGCACAGATTGCCTATTTCAAAAAAATAAAAAAACTTGAAGTAATTCAGCTATTTTTTTATCAGAATATGTTCGCAAATCTTTACTCAAACTTTCCGTGAAAAATTCACTTCGAAAAAAACTGTTTTTTTTAGTGCTTTTTTTCCTCGTTTAACGATCGCTGCCTTAAAACGGCCCCGTAAATTTTTTTGGCAAAGACGAATTTTTTTATTTTTATTCTTTTTAATTGAAAGATTTTTTTCACTAATAAATGTATATAATCGTTTAAAAAAACCTGCGTTCGGCCGCTTTCTGTGTGATAAACGCCGCTAATTTTATTCTCTAGTTTCAAGAGCATTTTTTTGCGTATTAAACACACTATTTCAAGCACAGATACTGTGAAGAAAAAAATTTAAGTAAGGCCATGATCTAAATTTTTTTAAAAACAAAAAAACTTGATTATATTCGCTTATTAACGATATTTTTGAATTATGACTTTCGGCGCTCCCTAAAATTTTTTTGGCAAAGACGAATTTTTTTATTTTATTGTTTTAAAAATTTTTCGTTACTTGAATCAAAAATCATTATTTAAAAAAAGAAAGAGTGCGTTCGACCTGAAAAACACATGAAAAAAAGCAAAAAAATGACAAAATTTTTTTTAGTTCCATTCACGTTTTTTTGTACGACATTCCGCGAGAACGCATCAAAAAAAGCGTGAAATATTTTTTTAAAACGAAAGAGGAAGCTTTTTCTGTACATGTGTGTCAAATTTTTATTCGCCAGTTCCACATATTTTTGCAACTACAACAAAAATGAAAGTTGAAAAACCAAAAAAAGCCACTTTTTTTCTATCGCGAAAAGGGGCGTGGCTTTGCGGTCCCTATCAATAAATGAACAGAATAGGTGTCTCAAGACATTAAAATCTGGAGAAATTATTTGAAATAAGTCTTGGAATTGACAGAAGACGTCTCAAGACCGGAAAAAAACATGTCTCAAAAAATTGAAAGTGCTTCTTCACTAACTTACTTTCCCGTTTTAGGTCTTCTTTTTTTTTTAGTATACATCAAACCGAAATTGTTGTTCAACCGTGTTCAAACTTGTCTTGTAACCTCGTGAGTTAGGTCCTTAACGAATTGCAAGAAAGAAAAAAAAAATTAAAAAATTTCCTGGCTCCGAAACTGACTGCGCAATATTGACCAACGTTTCGCAATTATTCATTTTAAGATGTTTTTTCATCACTTTCGCAATTATTTTTCACTTTAGAACGCAAATTCACATCTTTTTTCGGCTATTTTTTCAAGATGACTTTTGCTTGAAACTTACCCAGAGAATCCGCTCCATTTACGGCATAGGTGACACTTTGATCTTCCTCGTTGTTATTTTTAGCAGAAGCCGTGAAGATTTGATGTCCAATGGGAGTGGATTCAGAGACATTGACGACGTAGGAAGACCGACTGAAGACTGGAGCACGACCAGCCGGGTTCACCTGGACATTATTCAGGTTGTTTTAGTTGTACTTCTGGAATTCTCACCTTCACGTTCAAATTGGCAAAAGCTTTGGCATTGGGCCGAGTCGCGTCGGCGGCTTCGATCGAGAGCTTGTATTCGCGTCCTTCTTCGGAAGACAAAGTTCGAGAAAGTTTGACCTCTCCTGAAGATTTCTTTTTGAACTTCGTAACTTCAAGGACAGGCGGAAGTATCCTTTTCGAAATTTTAACGCTGCGCTTTTCGTAGCAGTTTCGAAACTTTCCTTCAAATGCATTTTTCGAGTAAAAATATATTCTAACTTGGCGCCAAAAAGGTCTGAGCACACAAAGTTGCATACCGTAATCTAACTTTAACAAGGCAAAACTTTTGGCTAAATACAACCCAGTGAAAAAAAATGACCGAGAAATACTTGAAAGGGTCAGAAAAAATTAAAATTGATAAAATGATGAAAACGTTATCCATAGAGCGAATTTTCTTCAGAACGCATTTTAAGCGGAAAATAATTTTTTTTCGTATTTACTTAGACCTCGGTGACGTAAACCGAACGCAAGAAGGCTGACGCCACTAAAGTGATCACTAGGAATGCTCAGAAACGGCCGGGACGCGTCCGATTTGCGTTACCAATTTGCGACAATATTTTAAAAAAAGACGATAAATTTTGTCGATAGAGTGAACTTTCCGCGAAACGCATTCTACGCGAATTTTTTTTCGTAATTACTTCGCATCAATTTTTCTAAAAGCTTCTGTAAACTTCTGGAAAAGGCTCTCAAAACTAATTTTTTTGATTCTAAAAAAAGGTATTTTCAAAAAGTTTTACCAGTCTTCCAGTCCACGAAAAAGGGCAAGGCGTCATCTTCAGGCACGATTCGATAGCCGACATGGCCATTCAAGTTGCTCTTGGCCTTGACTCGAGTCACGACAGTTCCCCTAGTCGATTTCGAAGCAAGACTGGCCGAGTAGAAGTTCTGGGTGAAGATGGGCTGGGCCTTGTCGACGACGGTGATCAGCACTTTTTCCGTAGATTTCAGACTCGGTTTGCCTTGATCTTCGGCGGTGACGTCGAAGACGAACTTCGTGGACGCCGCCAACTTCTTGGCGATCGTGATCTTTCCATCGGTCTTGCCGAGTTTCAGTTCTAAGGGAAGGTTGGGGGAAGAGTAGAAGACGCGTCCGTTGGCTCCAGAATCCTTGTCTTGGGCCCTGACGGTCATGACGCGGTCGCCGATAGAAGCGTCGACGGGAACGACGGCGTCGTAGGGAAGATTCACGAATTGGGGAGCGCAGTCGTTGACGTCTTCTAGTCGGACGACGACGACGGCTTGCGCGTATTCCGTAGGAGATCCTTGGGTTCTCGCCTGGAAAAACTTTCGAATTATCGAAGATCTTCAAATTGAAAAATTTTTGCGTTTGGAAAAGCCTTGATAACACGTGTGACTCAAAATTTTAGCTTCAAGTCCTTGCCTGGGAGATTTTCAAATTATCAGAGGCTTCCGAATACATAGATCATGCCCTATAAGGCTCAAATTTGAGCCTTAGAAGGTATGCTCTCTAGAGAAAATTTCTCGGTTTTCCAGGAGAAAAATTGGATAAAAAAGCTGAAACCTTCAATTGATTGCTTGACAATTTTTGCATTATCGATTAAAAAACTCTAAAAGACTCAAATTTTCAACTGAAATTATATTACTTTTCTTCATTTCTTTTCAACTTTGAATCAGAATTACCTGGACAACCAATCGGATGACCGCTTCTTCCTCTCGATCCAAAGGAACCCCAGAAAGAGCAATGACGCCAGTTCCGGCGTGCATCACGAAGCCGAGATGCTCATTGAGCAATTTGTAGCTTAAAGGAGCCCCGGGAGGTGCTCCAATGGCAGTGATCTAAAGTTCGGGAATTACTTCGAAATGAAACGGAAAATAATACCGCAAGGAGGGGCTTTCCACTAGGATAGGTAGTGTTTTCGGTGACGCTAGCTACATATTCTTTCTGCGGGAATCTGAAGCCGGAATCCGTTGGAGAGCCGTTTCGGACTGGGATGTGAAGTTGGGTCGAGGAGGACCGCAGGCCATCCGACGCGAAGACTTCGACCTGAAAAGTAGAGGGAAATTTCATTTCAGGTCACAAATTTTCAGTTCTAGCTCAGAAAAAAAACATCGCTCACTCGACAAAAATATCGAATGCCCAAAAAGAGGTGAAAATAGCTACGACCCTACGTTTCGTCGCGGTGGGGATCGAACTCGTGACCCTTTAGACCAAAGAAAGGCACAAAACCTGTTGCGCTACGGCTAATAGAATCTCAAATATTTGCAGAAAAAATGGAAACATAGAAAACAGGATTTCCATTTCTGAGCAGTCTACAAAAGTGTTCAATTTTTCTAGAAAGTCAAGAAAAACCAAATAAAAATGTCAGCACCATTAGCAGAGAAGCTTGATCGACCAACCTATGAAATTCTCAAAACAAAAAAAAACAGCCACAGCCTATAGCACCTCAATTTCCTTCGAAAGTGTTGAAAAATCGAAAAAGGATCAGGTGAGGATTTTTCTGGATAGACTATAAAAATCATTCCATTTTTTTATAGCTTCGAATAAAAATCTCTCGATCGTTCAAAGCGTCGCGAAAACAATCAGGATCATATCCAACTTGAGATTTAAATATTTTTTTAAATTAAACATTCTGGATTCCAAAGGTAACTAATAAGGGAATTCAGAAAATGGCTTTAAAAAAAATTCAATTTTACACATTTTTACAACAGTATTCGGCCTATTAAAAAGCTAAACTTTCAATGAATCTCGAAATTTTCAAAGACCGAACCTTGTATTCTCCTTCTTTCAAGTTCTTGGCGTCGGCGATGGTAACGACGCCGTTCGTGGAGTTCACGGCGAAGACTTTGAGGATTTCCGTGTCCTTGATGAAGTATCGCAGTTTTCCGACAGTGTCCGCGTCGGTCGCGGTCAGTTGAGCGACCGCGATGCCGCTTGTCGTCGGCAGAAGGACGGGGGGCGCCATTTGAGACTTGCTGCCGAAGATCGGAGGTTCGTCGTTCTCGTCAATGACCGTCACGATGACCAGGGCCGGAATCGGCGACATCCGCATCGGTTGGCCCATATCGCTGAAAAATAAGCCCGTTTTGAATAAAATTAGCTGAAACTCCGCACATTTTTTTCATAAAATGGGAATTAAAGATTATTAAAGATTGAAATATGGAATTTTTTTCTAACCCCTGAAATATGCCGATTTCTCTTTGAAATTCAAACTTTGAATTTTTTTCCCCATTTTTTTCTAAAAGGAAGCTTCTATGGAGTTTTTCTGAAATCATCAAATAAAAAAATTATCTTAATTTTTTTAAAAATCATACGTTTGCACTCAGAAGTACAGGTGACTAGCTTAAGACAAAAAGGGGCGTGGCCTGTCTGCACTCTCCATTAGCCAGGTACTATCTCTCTTTTATCATCGTGTCAAGACCATTTTTTCGATGGCTCAAGCCAGCTACAGTGCATTTTAGATATGTGGAGAACCAATGGTTATTTTTTAAAGTCATAGAACTTTCAACCAAATTAATCTTTTTTAAGCCAACTCCAATTTCATTTTCATTTTCAATTTTCCTACTCCACATACGTCGCCTGGACGTAGAAGCTCCATTCCTTGAGTTTTTCGAAATCGAGCGGTTTTCTCGATCGAATGGCTCCGGAGACGAAATCCACAGCAAAGTAGGGCTCGGCAGGTGACAGGAGGCGATAACTGAACCATTTTTTTATATTTTCATTTTTTCAAGTATAAAATACCCAATAAGAGCATGAGATCCAAGATCGAGATCAACGGCTGAGACGGTCAAAGGAGTATTTTCCGCGGTTACGACGTTGGTTCCTGGAAATTTTCGTTATTTTTCGGTTAAAAAGGAAAAATCAGGATATAATGTAGTAGAAAACAGAAGATTTTCTCACCAGTTGGACTATTTTCCCTGATAGAAGCCCGATAAACTTGCTGCTTGAACAAAGGCGCATGTTGATTCGTAGCGATGATCTTGGCGACAATCTGAATTTATCAATAGCTCAGATTTCTGTTTCGAAAATTGAATGAATATTTGAAGATTCGTTGAACTGATTAATAACAGAACGACAACTTTTGTAATCCCCTGTGCCTTCAAAAGGACATAACTTCGATTTTGACAAAAACTCACATTTTCTGGGCTTTTCCCCGTCTAGTTTTGTTGTCTACTTTACCAGGGAATGGTCTTATTTCAGTTTGAGACTTTTGAGGGTCCATAACCTTTTTCATCGACCTCCGCGACAGTTTTTGAGGTCAGATTTTGGAATCAGCGTGAAAAACTACATCTAGTAAACTTGGTCTCATTCAGAAGTCCCACTGCGACCAGAGACCTAGTTAGAACAAATGTTTCGTTGCATCAAAAAACGATCAATTGACAACCAGGAAAGTATCAAAATTTCTGAGAATAAATTTCCCGTGAAACATGAATGCAAGGCATTTTTTAAAACTTGTCTCATCTCTCTTTTTCGCTTTTTATGCATTTTTTTTTCATTTCAATTTTTCGATTGCTATCATACTACATCAATTTCGATAGAATCTTGAGAAATCGCCCGAAAAATTTTTGGCCTTGATAGAAATTGGGACTTATTGTGCAATCTAGTCACTAAGTTTTCGAAAAAAATCATATAAATTTCATCTTCAGCTTATAAAGAAAATTTCCATGGAGCACTAACTTCCAGGATCCAAAAAAAACCTTTTCGGAACGGATTCGTTTTAAAAACTGCATATAAAAGTGCGCGAAATCGCACGAAATTCGGAAAATTTATGGGATTTTCAGTAAACTATTGAGATCCCATATAGAAACCGCTCTTTAAAAAAAAACATCAAAAAAAAAAATTGTTTTAAAGGCGCAGGACCTCTTTTGATACCCCCTGTGCCTTTAAAAACTAAAAATAACCCGTCAAAACCACGGAAACTCCTACCTTGGCCTCGTCTTTGCTGCCCTTGTCCGTTTCGACCGAAACTCCACACGAAACACTTTTGGCTCGTTCTTTCGTCAGCCATTTGGTCAGGCGTACCGCTCCGGACAACTAAAAACATGAAAAGTTATTGGAAAAACACATTTTTTGAAATACCGAGTGGATTTCAAAGTAGGGACAAGGTTGTTGGATTGAAAAAGAGACGAGTCCGTTGTGCTCGGCTGCGACGACGAGCAAAGGCGTTCCGGGTACTGTAGAGTCGCGGATGGACACTTGGTACTGTTTCCTGAATCAGAATCCATATGAATCATATATTATTGATTTTCAAACTTAGAGAAGCGGACATGTTGCTCCGTTGAATTTGTCGTCTGGATATGGACAATGGCCGTGTCGCTGAGGGGATATTTCGCTCCATCGCTCGCCCTGACCGTCAAGATCGACTCGACATGTTCTTTCGGACTCAGTTTCTGAAAATTGAACCATTTCAAATTGAGATACTTTATTTCTGACAAGTAATAATCAAATGGATGTAGGGAAATGTAGAGCGTACAATTTTTTTTTCCTTTTTTCACCCGAATTGTTGAAATTTACGGCTCGTTTCCCTTTCTAGCAATCTGCTTGTACCTTTTTTCTAAAGCCTCAAAAATTAAAAATATCGTCCACAGACTTGGGACTTTCCCTTTCCACAGAAGGGCATACTGCAGCTGGAAAATTTGGTAAAACTGAAGTTCAATCCGAATTTTCGTCGATAGAAAAAAAAATTCAATTCTGTTTTCCTCTATTTCAAAAATAGCACTATTTTTTTGTCCTGTGAAGTCCAATTTTCATAAATTTTCCTGTATTTTTTTTCAATTCAGAGTGGCCCCTGAAGGGGCAACTTTGAGGACACTTGAAGGGACCCCTCTAAGGTGTACTAAAGCTTGCAAGAGTGTTCAATTTTTTTTTTCTCGATTGATAACAACGACTGATTTAACTTTTGTGAAACTTCAGCTGGACACCAAATCGATTACCTTGTTCAAGCTAATATCTCCAGAAACGGGATCAAGTTTGAAGATTCCATTCTCGTTTCCGCTCACGATGGAATACCCGACGACGCCATTTTCTCCAACATCCGCATCGAAAGCGAAGACGGAAGCGACGTTCGTCCCAATTTCCGAGCTTAAATTCAAAGGCTCGAAATGGAGTACTCTCTGGAAACCTTTCGGAAACAGTCGCTTGGACTTTCTTGGCCATGAATCGGGGAGCGTTATCGTTATCATCGGAGATGCGAATCAGTAAAGTCGCGAAATTAGCCAGGGCGCCTTGTCGGACGCTGACGACGGCTCGGATTTCCTTGCTGCTTTCGAAATCCAGCGGTTCCATCACCAAAACGTTGCCGGTGCTGGAAAGAGTTCAAAGCTCGGAAATGAATTTCAAAAATTGCTTTCTAGACAAGACTGGAGCTAGAAGATTCTGAAAATTACCTAGGCTCAATCCGAATCTTGTCCTCCATGTCGAGCTGCTCGATGGTGTAGACGTTGTAGACCAGCGGCTTCGTTCCAGGTCCGACATCCTCGCCGTTGGCTTTCAGCGTGTAGATCTGAGTCCCGACGGCGGTCTTCTCCGAGACTTCCGTCGTGTAGTGAGACGCCGAGAACTGGGGTCTCAACGAGGGAGACCTGGAGACTTGGATGATGACCGTGGTCGTGTCCTCGTCGGTCCCATCGCTGACCGTGACGTTGAGTCGGATCTCGCCTCGAGCCAACGTCTCCACCTTCTTGGCCAGCAGAAGAGATCCGGTGTCCCTGCGGACTTCGAACGAGTCGTTGACGTTGCCGCCGCTGATTCTCCACCACAAGTAGTCCCCATCTTCGTCTTCTGCTTTGAGCATCTCCACGGTCAGGCCAACTTGATCGGCGTCGGAGATCGGGATGACGTAGTCTGTTTTCTTGTCGCCAATCGTGGGCTTCTTGTTCTTCGACGTCTTCTTCTTCAGTGCCACCGCCGTCAGAATGACCTTCGTCTCAGTCGATTGACTCGGGACGCCGCCGTCGATGGCGCGGATCTTCAAGGCATAACTCTCGTCGTCGTGAATCGCTCGACTCGTCTTTATTTCGCCAGAGTTCGAGATGGAGAAGCGTTCGTCGCCTTCGACGATTTCGAAGGAAAGAACGGCGTTTTGCCCCTCGTCCATGTCGAACGCGATAACGCGGCAGAGAGGGCCGACGACGCCAGACCTCACGTTGAACTGATGGATGGGCTGCGTGAATTGCGGCGCGTTGTCGTTCTCGTCGAGCACATTCACGATAACGGGCACTTCGGAGCACAGTTGCGGGTCGCCTCCGTCGCAAATGCGGATCGTTAGTTCGTGCTGCGGCTGGGTTTCGCGGTCGAGTCTTCTGGAGCCGGATGTGTGAATGTAGCCGGAGTTCTGGTCGATTCTGAAGAAGCTCTGGGGGTCTCCCTTCTCGATTTTGAACTGAAGAGGGGCCGCTTCGGAGTTTCCAGAGTCATCGCCGTCGGTCGCTTCGATCTTGACGATCATGGCGTTCTGGAAATAGTTCAGAATCAGCTATAAAATTTGAGTTTCGATAATTTTTTCCGATCGATAAATCCGATTTCTTCCGTACTTTTTCGATACCTAACTTAATGACATAGTGGATTAGTATTTCTGAACCGAAAATATTACTTGAATCAGAGGGAAATCCAAGATTTTTGACCCCAAGTGGTCATGGAAAGTGAAATTTAAGGTTCTCTTGAATCTTCTGTACAATGAGCTCTAAACAAAAATCAAAAAACTGTCATTTGAGGCATTTTCTTCAATTCTAACCGCTGAAGAGTTCTCCGTGACGTTGGCAAAGTAGACGGGCTTCCGGGCCATCGGACGATGATCGTTCTTGTCGAGGATTCTGACGTAGACGTGGAGAATCGCGTGACGTCGTATGGCGACGCCGTCTCGGGCCTCGATCGTCAGCCAGTAGGCCGCTTTCTCCTCTCGGTCCAGTGAGGCAGACGTTCTTACTGTTCCTGAAAGAAATACGGTTAGAGTTCCCTATTTAGGAACTCCAGAGTGGTCCCTATAGGGGTTGAGGGTCTGACCACTTAGCCCTAAAAGCTCAAGTGGACACTATAGGGATTTTTCATTAAAAAACTCCTATTTATTCCGTTTTTCTCATGGAGACCCTCCCAAGGCCCCTAAGGCTCAAATTGCAAAGCTTAAAAATAATCCTTGGGATTATATTTTAAAAATTATAGAAGTCTTGAAAGTAAAAAGTAAAATTACTTAAACAACATGAACTTAACACAACGGCTAGATTCTTTTTTTCCCTTAAAGTTTAAAAGTTGAAACAGGAATTTAAAGAATCTAAAAAAATTTTTTTTTCAAGCCTCGGATAATTGAGCCAAGCTCCAATTACAGGCCTTCAAGCGGGGTTTTTTTCAAAAATTTTTTTCCATTCAATTTTTGAAATTGGTTATAAATTACAACTTTTCTCATTTTCCTGTTACAGTATTTATTCAAACTGAGGTAATCTGGTAAAAATCTCCGATATTTTTTTTGCGATTCCGGTTTTTTTGTTTTTGCTGATTAAGCTTTAAAAAAAGCTTTCTGAGGTGTTCTCAAAAAGTCAAGTTTCAAGTTTTTCTTTAAAAAAACAGTAATTTTCTAACCTTTTCAGCCCTTTTTTTGTCTAACTTTTGAGCTGTTTCTCGTTTTTTTCGCCGTTTTTTTTATCTGCCCAGTTAACTGAAGATTTTCGTTAAAAAAAAGGGATCGTCAAATTTTTTCGAGTTTTTTCTAACTCTAGTTCTAAAAAAAAGAAAATTCAGGCCGTTCAAAATTAACACAATTTAGCTTTTAAATCGGAATAAAATGACAAGTTTTTTTCGTTTTTTTTTCTTCAATTTTAAAATTCCGTTTAACATTTCAAGCCTCATGAACTACACACAATTTTGAAAAAAATGTCGAACTTTGATTTTCTTTCAAATTTTCAAGCCACAAAGAAAGGTCACCTATTCCAAATTAGCATACTCTACAGTTTCGAACAGAACTTTTCAAATTTTCTGAGATGGCCCCTCGCGTCGTTCGGCCTTCGTCAAGATGATCGAAGACATAAACGCAAAATGACGGGCGCAATTGGCGGGCGTCTCAGGGGAGTCCCTCGGTCGGGCCGACTTTCCGACTCCAATCCCTCATTTAACAATTTGTTTCTTCTTCTTTTGAAGGCATTCTCTTCGGGGAATTACTACAACCAACTACTATGACAAGTTCTGACGGGGGGACATCAAACGTTTGAAAAAACGGGACCTTTGTCATCTATATTGAAATATGGGCGGCCGTCGCCGTCGATGATCGAGTACTGGACAGTGGAAATTTTGCGTTTCTCCTCGATTTCCTTCACGCCGACCATGATCACCTCCGTGCCGGGCGACGAGTTCTCTGAAGAAAAGAAAATAATTTATTAATTATTCAGGTGGAGAAAAATGCAAGGTTTTCTCAAAATTGTTTATTTCATTGGGGAGAGCTTGTTTTTGTACATAGTTTGAACATATAGTCAATTTTTCGCGAATTGAAAGGCGAGAGAGGCAGAAAAGTGGGCGGGACGCGTAGCGTGTGCGTTCGCGGTTGTTGGCACAAAAATAAATTTACCCGCCAGTCGTTGTTTGAAGATCTTTTTCATTTTTTCAGAATTTTGGAAGTTTCCCAAGTTTTTTTCTCAACTGAAGTCAGTACTACCTCCCAAAAAGTTAAAAAAATTAGTTTTTTTACTTATTAAAACTGCCCTAAAGTGAACACTCTGATCTATTCTTTTTCGAAATTTTTTTCAAGTCCTTCTCCCGGACTTATCAAGTTCTATCTTCCTACATAGAAATTTGGCTTACAATTAACTCGTTTTTTTAAAAGTTTTTTTGAATTTGGACAAAAGATCATACCGAAAAATCCCTTTTGCAGGGCTATTTTTTTGGTATTGATTGAATCAAGAAAACTAGACGGATGAAGTTCTTTGTGTTATTTTCGAGGCGTTTTCCAGAAATTTTTCATTTTTTAAGTCAGTGTATGCAGCAGTTTGAGTACTTTTCCGAAAAATCTCAAAAATGTCTTTTCAATTTTTTTTAAATATCAGCTGAAAAGTTTGGTCTTTTTTTCAAATTCAAGCACTTTTTTTCTCATCATGATGCTTGGGTTTAAAAACAAATTTATAAATCAAATAAAAACTCAACTCTTCCAATTTTTTTAATAAAAAAATGGTCCTTCCACAACTTGTTAAAAAAAGTGCTTGAAACAGGTTTAGAAAAATAGTTAAATATTTTTTTAAAAAAACTGAAAAAAAGCATTTGACAGAGGTTTTCCGACTCAAAAGGCCAGAATAAACTTTCAAACAGCGGTTCGGAATTACCTGTGGGATTATTAACGCCGTGTTGAATGAATGTTTATTTCGCTCACAGACAGATCTGTGGCGTGTTCAAAGTAATTTCCGCGAAATGCAAATATATCCCTGACTCTCCAAAATTCAGTTATCTTTTTCTTTCTCTAACGACTATTTTGGATTTCGCGAAATAACTTTTAACAGAGCATAAAGATCGTTTTTTATATCATTGGAAATCGGTGACTAACGAACGCCAAAAACATGCATTTGTTTTCAGCCACCCTGATAACAGTAAGTAGTGATTATTGGGACTATGAGGGTCTTCTTCTAAACCTTCAGACACAATTTCAAAAAGAGTTCAAACTCCACCCTCTAATGACACTGTTAGTTCGGTCTGTCCCCTTTTGGAAGTCAAAATCAAGTCCCACCATAAACACTGGCTTCCTTGGCGACGTCGTCAAACTCCAGCGGGTGCTGGTAATAATCGAACTCGATGAGCTCGACGACCAGCTGGCAAGTCGTCGAAAGCCGGGTGTCGCCGTTGTCCGCCACCTGCACATCCAACACTTTATTATTTGCCGGGATTTGAATATTTCGGACAAAGATCCAATTAACTTTGAGCTTTCATAACTCGACTACCAGGCAAAAGTAGAGAAATTTAATTTTTGATTAGGAATCAGCATGCCTTAAAGGCATAGGGGCAGTAAAAAATGGTGTTTCAGTTCAAGTCAGTACCTTGTAAAGCTTTTCATTGCGAATCTAACGATGAACTTGGAAATGTACCAAACTTCCTAGTTTTGTAGAAAAAATAATTCAAAGTCGGAGAAAAGAAAGTTTGAGTTCCCGCGAAAAGGGCGTTTTGCAGTAAAGTTGCTCTATGGACAACAGGCTTCGCCATCTTCCGGATTTTCGCTTTTTTCTTCGTTTCTTTCAATTTTCAATTTTTTCTGTTGTCATCAAAGTTCTTTTCGTCACAAAAGCTTTCTATTCAAGTATAATTTGAAAACTTTGATCGCAAAAATGCTTTTCTGGTGAAAAATGATGATTTTACACAGGTTTCGATTGGGATAGCGATTATTTGTGTTTTCTTTATTATCAATGTGTGTTTTCTGCTTTCTTAATCGATTTTTCAGAGAAGAAACCTTTAATTTGAAGCAGATATCCGGTTATTTCTCACAAAATGCGAGTCTAATGAGAAGTCCGCAACATCGCGTGCACCGCTACTGTAAACATTTGTCCGTAGGCGATCCAAAGCACTTTTTCAAAATTAAAGGCGGGAAAGTAAAATCGCGTTTTTCTTCTAAAGTTGTCACATCTGTAATTTTTTTGGGTACACCATTCGATTCGCAAAGAAAAACTATATAAGATACTGCTTTCACCTGAAACCCCATTTTTTACTGCCCCTATACCTTTAAAGTACATCCCTGCAAAGTTTCGTCAAAATTTCAACCGGGGGGTAAAAACAGTTCCCTTGTAAGGCAAAGTCTACTCCGATCTCTACAAGTACAGTATATTTTCTCAAGCCTTGTTTCCTTCAGAATCTAAGATTTTAAGGAAAAAGCAGTTCTCCTACATCGATCGTGAGGTTGTAGGAGGGCGTCCGATGGAAGTCGAGAGGTTCCCGGGGCGCGTGGACGAAGAGACAGCCCGTGTGATGGTCCATCCGGAAAGGGTACCGGTGAGAGTAGGCGCCTTCCGGAGGGTCGATCGTGAAGCGGAGTTTCGCGTTGGGACCCGTGTCCGGGTCTCGGGCAGCCAGGCAGGTCACAAAAGCGCCGTCGGGATAGTCTTCGGGAATTCGGACCTGGAAAACAAATTTTTCTTTTTTTGAAAAGTCTCCAGTTTCCAACAGCTGTCATATAAAACAAAACTGAAAAAAATTTCCGATAAAAAAAAGAAATAGTGAAACAGGGGAGTTATTTAAAAAAACTTTCCCCAACTTTTTGCCGGTTTCAAAGTTGATTCAACAGTTTCTAGAGCAGTGAAAAATTTCGATTGTTGAGACTTTTTATTCGTTTATAATATTTTTTTTGTTTGAAACCCCTAAATTTTTCGATTATTTTTTTCAAACTTTTTTTCTCATATGATAAACTGAAAAAAATTTCCAAAAAAATGAGAGAATTTTTTTTTATATATTTCCTGGAGGGAAAGTTCAATATTTAGCTCCATTTCCAAAGCTCACCAGGAATCAACTAATCTTTAAAAAAAACGCTTATTTCTTTATTTGTTAATTCAAACTATACGAATTTTTGTTGTAGATGAGATTTAAAAATTTGTCAGCCTTTATTGATCTACAAAGTTTTTTTCAAACATCTCAATTTCGTCGTTTTAAAGTTTAATCTTTGTACTTTTAAAAAACCTACCACAGTGGTCTGTTGGATGCAAACAGGCGGATTATCGTTGACATCCTCGACGACGATCGTCAGATTCGCGAAGCTCGACCTCTGGGGGTTGCCGTGGTCGTGGGCAATCACCACGTACCTGCAAATCCTTCTTTACTTACTCAACTCCCACTGTTAGACCATAATTCTTATGTTTAAAGCTGATTTTAGAATGTTCCATACTATCCTATACATTGCTAGTTTCATTACGTCATAGGAATGAAGTTTGGTTTCCAGAAAGTTTCACAATGTTCTCAGTTGCTCTATAACCTTTGAGAAAGTTCCACCTTGTTGTCGAATGTTCTTGAGAAATGTCAAGTGGCGACTTTAGGGTTTTGAAGTAGAGGTAAAATTAGTGGCCTCTTTAAAAGCCGGAGAGGTACTACTAGACCACTAGAACTACTGTAATGGACACTAAGACGCAAACCAGTAGATTCTATAGAAGTGGTTTTATTGACCACTTTAATGACCTCTCCAAGTAGTCCTTGAGGAATCACTTAAGTGACAACTTGATTTTTCCGCTGTTCTACGGTTTCGGCGACGATTCTGTAAATCTCTAAAATGTTCAATCTTCAACTTTAATCTCAATATTTTCTAAAATCCACCTTCATTCTAAAAAAAATCCTATAGTCTTCGTAATCTTCCCCCTCAGCACTATTTAACTCCTTTGTTAGTTGTAAAGTGTTTAGTTTCTCGTTACTTATGAATCTCCTACTACAACGTTCTTCTGGCCAGGCCCAACACCCACTTCATCACGTCCAACGCCTCCCGATCCAGCGGCCTGACGAGCTTGACGACGCCAGTGTTGGCGTCGACGTCGACGACGCGACTGTCGCCGTCGGGCGCGATTCTGTAGCCGACGCGGCCGTTGTCGCCGCCATCTGCGTCGGTCGCTGTCACTTTGAGCATCTCGAAGCCGATCTTCGTGTCTTCCGAGATCCGCACGCGGTACCATCGCTGTAAACACTTGAGCGTCAGCCAATGCTGGAGTTATTCGATACAAGAGGCCATATTTGATGGGAATTAAGAAGAAACTGAGCCTTCTGAATTTATTATGGTGAATCAAGCTGATTTATGATCTTTTCTTTAGTTTTACTCATAGAAATCTTGGTTAAGTCGGACTGAAAAAAAAGAAAAAACTGTTGAAACCATACTTCAAATTGTTGAAATCCAAAAAAAGTCGACCTCAAAAAAAAAATAAAAACTTGAAAAAAATCTTAGAAATCACTTCCAATTGTGTATCGAACAGAAACAAAATGGTGTTCAAATCATATTTCAACATGTTCAAGTCCCCAAAAAAAGTCGAAACCTTGGGGAAAAAAATTAGAAAAATTGAAAAAAATCATGAAATTTAACAAAATTTTAATTCAAACCAAACGGATTATTTTCCTTTTTTTCAGAACGTTTTTTTAAATTTCAGTGCGCAAAAATTATTTTTTTTGTTAATTTTTTTCACCTCTTAAACTTTTCATTAACACAGATAATCAATTGAATTATTCTAGAATCTTCTTAAGAATAGGTCCAAATTTTTTTGACCGGGTAAAATCCGCTTTTTCTTTGCAAGAAACACTAAAAAATAACGATTTCAATAGCATAAAGCCTTGAAAAATATCAAATCATCCAAAAAAATGACTTTAAAACATAACTTTTTAATTACAACTTTTCTCTTGATATTGGTACCCAATCAAAAATAAAATAATTTCTTATGCAATTCGGCGCAGAAAGAAGCGTATAATTTGCTCTGTCGGACGGCTCTTTTCGCCTTTTCTGACCCCTCATTTCCTTGCGTGCGGTCACTTCACACAGAAACCGCCGACCCACGATTCCATTAGCTAATTATGAATAAGAAGCCTTGACGTCACGCTCAAATTCGGATCTGACTCACATTCCAGTTTCAGATATGAAGTATATGAACATCAACAAAAAGTTGTTAATGAGTTTTCATCTACTGATGGTTAGAATATTGCTATACAGTGGGCGACTTTTTTTTTAGTAAGTGAAAATATTTTTTTCGCTTCGATTTGATTAATAATGGTTCAAAAAAAAAAATGGTTCAAAAAAAAAATCCACGGAACTGAGAAAAAAAAGCCGTCGGAGAATGAAAAAAAGATAACTAAATTTTGGAGAGTCAGAGATATTTTTAAATTTTGCGCAAATCACTTCGACCACGGCGTAAAATTTCTCATACTTTGAAAATTTGAAATTTAAAAAAAATTACGTGTAAACCTTGATTCTCAGTTTCCTTAACAACATAAATGCGATGTGCACCATGGTGCCACCATTTCATACTCGTCAACGAAACGGAAAATAATTAAAAGTAAAAGCGAAGAACTTTTTTGAAAAATACTTTAAATCTAAGTGAGAAGACAGGAAATCGTCTCAGCTTCTTCTTTAAAAGCTCTAGAGCCAAATAGGTAACTTTCGAAAATCGAACAAGCTCCCCTTTCTTTTTTTCTCAATTTTCCGAAATTTTTAATCTTCACAGAAAAGAAAAAAAAGTTGAAGGTTAAAAGTATTTGATCTTTAGGAGGCTTCTGAGTGCCGAAAGAAATTTATCGCTTGGCAAAAATTCAAAGAAAAATGAAGAAACTCCGGTCCCCTCTTTCCCGTTTTTCAATTCAAATTTTCGGTGACCTTTTTTTCTCAATTTTTGCCGAGTGTGACAAATTTAATTTCTTTGGATTATTTTGAAAGAACCTTTCAATCATCACGAAAAAAATTGGAAAAAAATTGAAGTTGGGTATCAAAAATAAGGAGAATTGTGAAAAATTGATTACTCGGAAGCTTTTGGATGGAGAAAGAAAGAGAAATTTTATTTTTTTCGCAAAATTTTATTTTAGCAAATTTTAAATTTTTTTGAAACGAGCAAAAGTCGTAGTGTATCGAAAAAGCTCGAAAAATCATCTCAATTCGCAAAAATCCAACAAAAAGGGGAAATCCTAGTCCCTCTTTGAGCATTTCGACTCAATATTTGGTGATTCAATCATTCATTTTTTTATTTTATTTTAGCGAATGGCTAACTACTTTTTTGCAGTGTTTGCCGACCTTTTTCTTGAACATTCGAAAAAAAAAATCTTATAACCATTAATAAAAAAAGAAAAATTTCATTTTGGGGGGCTTCTTGCTTCCGGAAAATCTCTGTCAACTCGCAAAATCTCAAATTCTAATCCCTCTTTGAGCATTTCGATTCAATTTTTGGTGATTCACTCGTTCAAATTTCTTGTTCTAACTAAAAATAAAATCTACTTTTTTGCAGTGTTTGCCGACCTTTTTTCTTGAATTTTTCTATAAAATCTTATAATCATTGCAAAAACTTACAAAATCGAAGTTTAGGATGCTTTTCAATACTCTCTACCAACTCCCAAAATTCAAAAAATCAAATTCCGGTCCCTCTTTGAGCATTTCGATTCAATTTTGGGTGATCTTTTTTGCAATGTTTGCCGAGTGCAGGGGACCTGCTGTCGGGTGGGTCCATGGCCATGCTAATCTACATTGGGAGGAGAGAGCTTACATTAATCCGCTCGCCTCATGTTGCTTCATAAAAACAAGGCACTCGGGAGGGGACAAGGCAAGACAAATTAGGGTGCCGGACAGGCCTAAAAACGGGGCTCGTATTGCAAGTCTCCGGCCGTCGTCCGGTCATTAATGAGTCCAGGCGTTGAGATAATGTAAAAAGAGCGGAAAGAGTCGCAAAAAAAGGCAGTAAAAACATTGGAGAAATTGATTTTTTCATATAATTTCAAGTTATGTTGCCAAAAAAGAGGATTAAAATGGGAATTTTCTGAAATTCAGCCAGAACACTTCCTGATGTACCAGAAAAAAAACCTGAAAGTCTAAACCTGCAAAACTTTCTAGTTTCCGAGAAATAAGGGCTCAAAGCCTCAAAATGGCCTATTTTAACGGATTTTTAATGGTTTCCTTGACTTTGAGGCTTATTTTCCAAAAATGATTATTCCCTTATAAATTTATTTCTTCTCCTATTGCGAACAGACATGAAATGGTGCGCATCGTATTTATCTAATTAGGGAAACTGAGAATCAAGGTTTTTGTAAAATTTTAAAATTTTGAAACGTTAGAAGCAAAAAAAAGAAGTTGTGCAGGTTGACACTTTCAGGATCGTTTTCTGGTACATCCAGAAGTGTTCTGGCCAAATTTCAAGAAATTCCCAACCGCAAAGTAAAATGACCTTCCTTGTAAAAAGTACAAGGTGTATGGCCAAAAAAAAAAACGAGGTTTAAAAAATTTAGGTTTTTTGAAGCGGTGATTCCGATTTTGTGTTTAAAATCTCACGAATTTTTATCCTTTTCCAGAAAAAATTCAATTTTAAGCAAGAAAGTGAAGAATCTGTGCACATGAAGTTGCTCATTTTGATCAACCTTTAATCAGAAAAAAAAATTTTTTTTTGACCAATATCAAATCTAATAGAAAGCTTTCATGGCGGAAAAATTCATGAAAATGACAGAAAAAAAACTTGAAAAAAGTTGCAAATAATGGAGAAAAGAACGAAAAATGAAATTTTGTGCGAAAAAAACAATTTTTTTTCTCGTTCTCAACGCATCAAACGGTTTGAAATCTTCACGGAAAGATAAAAAATTCAAAAATTTGCGTTTTCCTGTCCTTAAGCATACTTCACTGATCAAAATAGGTCATTTTTAATTCAAAAATCTCAGAATTCTACCCAGCAAAAAAAGCAAGTTCTTTGTCTCGAACCGAATCTTCCTTATTTCTTTTCTGAAACTGTACCTGTTCAAAAACGGGAGCGTGATCATTGACGTCCTTCACGACCAATTTGAAGCGTCCTTCCGTTGATTTCGGCGGATTTCCAGCGTCCTGAGCCGTCACTTTGACCTGAAAAGTACTTTGTGAAGAAGTCCAGTTGATAGTCGAATCACATGAAGCTGAGCCGTTCTTTGGCCATCTTTGAGGGTTTTGGACAAGCTCCGAGCGACTCGAACGACTCCCGAATCGTCGACTTCAAGGAGGTCGTTCCAGACCGCGAATCGAACAAGTCCGTTGTAGCCGAGATCAGGATCCGAGGCCGTCAGAGTGGTCAAGATCTGGAAATGGAGATTTTGAGAAAAGTTATTGAAAGAAGGTGAAATTTTAGTTTTTTTTTCCAGAGTTCCGAGTTTGATTTATCAATTTTTAGCCCAAAACTTCTGAAGAATCTTTCTAAATCTGCTTAAATATATATTTTTTAATTTCTCGTCATTTTCCCGTAGCTCAAGAGGAATAGTAAAACAGTGGAAGTTCCGATTTTTTTTTTCTTGAAGTTGCCTTTTTTTTAATTTGAGTTCAAGACTTCATATAAATTCATATAAACTGCTTTAAATTTACACATTTTAGAAGTTCACTTCAGTTTACCGATATCTCGAAATAAATATTTAAAAAAAGGCAAATCTCCGATTTCTCTCAAATTCCAACTCTTCTTTCCCAATTAGGCCCAAGACCATAAGAATCTTTAAATATTGCTCAAAATCATCAAAATATTGAAATTTCGCTTCATTTTTCTCGATCATGAAGCCGATTATCAAGTTTAAGTGAAACTAAATTTAAAAAAAGACATTCAAAATGCTTGAAAAAGGTCCAATGAATCTATGAAAATCACCAAAAAAAAATCTGTATGGTTCATGTCTTTGCTGTTTCAGTTCCAAAATAAGAGAAAATATTTTTTATGTGAAATAATTCTTCCCCCTTTTCACTTTGAAAGCCCCGGAAAAAAATATTTTTTTTTGAATAATTTTCATTTATATTTCTTCAAAGACCTTCATACCTAGTAATTCCTAGTTGTACATTTCAATTTGATCTTCTGTTGCCTTTCTTGCTTTCGAAATTCTACAAATGTACACTACGGCTCTTATTCTTGCTCTTGACTTCCAGCTCAAAAAAAAAATCCCCGAAATGTCTCAAAATCTGGCCGGAATGATGTGTCGGAGGTTGCCGAAAAACAGGAGAGAGCCACGCCGAGAAAGGCAATTATGATTGGTCCCTTTTTTGTGGGCAACGGGAGGCCATCTGGCAGGGGCTAACAAGAAGATGGCCCTCATTTCCTTGACCAGCACTCGAGTTGGTCCCCCCTTCATCGTCCACTTCAACACCCAGCCACCAGAAAACTTTTGCATTCCCAAACTACTTATCGATTTTGAGTTGATGAAGAGGTGCGCCCGGTCTTCATTGTTTTCAAACTTCTGAGTCTTTTGATGGAGGCAGTCATCAATCTTCGAAAGGGCTGACCCTTTTTGAGACATATGGTCCTTCAAATGGGGTTAGAAAAAAAGGGTAGCATTTTTTTGAGAGTTACTGGGAAAATTTTTAGTGGCCACTATAGAGGCTCGCCAAGGACTACTTGGAGAGGACACTAGAGTGGCCACTAAACCCAACTCTATAGTGGCCACTATTTTCCGTTTTAGTGGCCACTATAGTGGTTTTCTGATTAGTGGCCACTTCAGTAGTTTTTCAACCAGTATTCCTTCCCCTCTGATAATTTTCAAACAAACAGATTGGACCAGTTATGATGATTCGTCGACCCCTAAAGTGGCCACTAAAATTTTCAGTGGTCTAGTAGTAGCACTTAGACCTCTATAGTGACCACTAACTTTTAACCTCTTAAGTGGCTACTAATTTTACTGCTATAGTGGCCACTAAAACCTCAAAACCCAAACGGTCCCTAGTAGTTAGATTCAGGCATAAAAGTCTAGACCTTGAACTTCAGAATGCGGTTTTTCTGGTCCAAGAAAGTTCTGTCCGAAAATGAAGCTCCAATCACTCAAAAGCGTCAAGAAGAATAAAAGGTTGATTTTTTACTATTCAATTAATGATCATCGATTTCTATTTCCTAACCCATGTAGACCCCTCTCTTTATTGTTTCCGACCCCCCCGCGCGTGTAGATTGAGACAAAAAGCCCCCCGTCGAGACTGTAGGAGGCAGCTGCGACGGCGACGACGCATCCTGGCCTATTCCACGCCTTTCGCCACCCGATAACATCTCCTAATAACCCACGAGTTTGGGTCAATCCGCAATTCCCAGAAGCCGATTATCCGTTGAAACATCAACATGAGTGGCTTAAGTCATAACAATATCGCCAATCGTTTCGTCGTGACAGCCAGCTGAGAGATCAGGTCTTCCTTGGGATTGATATGCAGAACCGTTCCGCTAATATGAGCAATGGAAAGCTGGATTTTTCATGATTTACGCACTTTTCTTATGCACACCGTAACCAATGATCCATTCCACGTGCGGTCAAATAATTCCAAAGTGAAAAAATTGATAAAATCAACCGCTAGGTTTCAGAAAATCGAGTATTTTCATCTTAAAAGTTTGAAAAGTTGGTTAATATCAAGTTGCCCTCTGGAAAAAGCTTCTTTAACATGAGCAATAATTGAATTTTTTCAATGGATTAAGCTCCAAACACACTAAAAAAAAAAACGAAACTGTGAGCTGACATTTTTAAATTCCCTTCTTAACCAATTTGGTTCTCTTGCGACAAGCAAAAATTGGAAATTCGAAAAATTACTGTTCCAACTGGTGCATCCTCCTCTACAGTAACTTCTTCGGGCAAGTTTTCCAAAACTGGCGCATTTTCGTTCTTCAGCTCCGGCGAGATAACTGGCCTCGGCTTGGCAGGCACCTGGAAAAAAAGATTTAATTATATAATTACACGATCCTGTTTCAAAAGCAACATTTAAAAAAATTTATTGAAAAACTTTTGTTTTTCTGATACGTTTAGCCTCATAAGTATAGGACTCCCCTAAAATTTGACTTTTTCGGTTTCAGAAACTGGCTTATCAGAAAGATGTTAATGTATGGCGTACAAGAAAAAGCCGGTGTTCAAAAAATCAGGAAGAAAACTCCTTTCGCAACGTCACGCGAGCCGAAAATGCGGAAAATGACGTCGCATGAAAATTATAGGATCCCCTCACAAATAAGCTTTAATTCAGCGTAAAATACAGTTTACAGCCAGTTTCTTACACCGAAAAAGTCAAATTTTAGGGGGGTCCTATTTTTATGACGCGCACTGTATATTCTCGGAAAAAAAAATTCTTGGTTTTGGCAGATCTCTGCTTTTCTAACCGTATCAAAGAAGTCTAGAACCTTTAAAATTTTTCAATTTTCTCTAACGGAAAAAAATCTCGAAATCTAGCAGCTACTCCAGAAAAATCTATATGAAAATGTTAAAATTTACCAAATCAGAAATGAAAAACAAAGCTATCCAATTTCATTTTTTCCTTCGATTTCAGGTACATTTCAGTACCAAAGCTTTGTCAAAAAAGATCAAAAAAGCTGTTTTCGACATTTTATAATTCCGTTGATCGTCATTTATGGAGAGAAAATGCTGGGGAAACGTCTAAAAACCTCTTTTTTCCACGATTTCTCGCAAATATTTTGGTCTTTTTTACAAAAATCTTCAAAAAAGCGATGAATGGACTATACTTGAAATAAATATTATCCGGATAATTTTGCGTTTTTCATATGGGATGAGGTTTCTCGGAACTTTTCTGAGCAATTCTAGGGTTCACTTAAGAGTTCTGACGCTCCTAAAGTGGTCACTAGAAATGCTCTGTAGCGTCTGACCAACAAAAAACAAGCTCCCCACTACAACAAGAGTCCCTCCGTTTGAAACTGTGAGCTTCTTCCCGGAAAAACGACTGGAAGAAACGACGGTACCTTGGTTCCGTTCCGATAGAAGACGAGGTTGAGTGCGGTGGCCCGTGAGAGCGGCTGGCCCCAGTCGACCGCCCAAACCGCCACATTCCACTCTTGTTCAGCCTTCGGCAGCGGCGAGGCGATCGAAATCTGAGATGAAATTTGATGAAAAAATCATTTAGAAAAAACTTCATTGGCATATATAAAAATCAAGGAATCCAATGAAACCATTACCTCTCCACTGTCGATTCCAACTCGCAGAGGAGAAACGGTATTTGTGGCGATTTTATAGCCAACTCTGCCGTTGTCGCCTTCGTCTCGGTCCGTCGCATCAACCTAAAACTCAATAAATGAACTAAAATTCCATTCTGAAGCAGTTTAGTTGATAAAACTTTACTTAGGATTCGAGTGAACTCTAAAGAAGCCCTTGAAGGCTACCCTCTAGGGGTCGCTTCACCTTCCCCTATAGGGGACCATCTGAATTTTACCCCTATAGGGACTACTCTGGTGTTTCCTATTCTAGTCGTTAATTTATTCTTCTGAAGAATCCTTTCTTCATTTTTCTTGTTCATACTAAACGAAATATTCCAGCCAAGAGCTTTTTTTTAACATAAGGTACTCAGAAAGAACACCTTCAAAAAATTGTTTTCAATCAAAAATTCATTTTCTAACTCGTTTTTAGATAGCTTTTTTTGAAAATAATCCAAAAATCTCGACTAAAACTTCACAATTTCCCCCTCAAATCTTCCCAATTTCATTCCCCAGGAAAGGATCAAACTGGTCGACCTTCAAAAGGACGGTTCCAATCGGGGCGCCTTCCGGGATGGCGACAGGAGCCTGTCGCATCCACTTGGCCGCCCAGACCGGCGAATTGTCGTTGCCATCGAGCACGACGACTTCCACCAACGCCTGGCTCGTCTGTCCGAATCCGTCAATCTGCAACAAACGCGCCCCGTTGACAAATCGGCCATCAACACGCGTGTGGCAGACCTTGGCCGTCACTGTGAACTCGTAAATCCTGTCTTTTTCGTAGTCCAGTGGGGATTCGAGTCGCAAGACGCCCGTTTCGGCTCCGATCACAAATGGAAGGCTCGAGTTGGCGTCCTTGGACTCCAGCGTGAATCTGGAAGACTTGACGTTTGAACTTTAAGAATCTATCTTGGTTTTTTGAGGAGTTTTTGCTCTTGAACTTTGCTGGGAAACCCTTTAGTAACCACTTTAGACTTTTGACGTTTTAGGGGCCACTATAGTGGTCGAAATAGTGGTTACTTAAGTGGCTTAAAACTAGTGGTCAATTTAAAAGTCTAGTGCTGCCATTAGACCACTAAAAACTACTCCAGTGACCACTATGAGGCGAAATAGTATGGAGGTTCTTAGTGACCGCTTTAGTGCCCTGTAGGCCTTGAAACCTCTCGAGTGGCCACTTAAGGGAAAAAAAAAGCAAAATCAGACGTCAAAGCATTTTTCCAGTGGAATATTGTATTTTATAGCACTTTTCCTGATGATTTGAAAATCTACTTTAAATCCCAAGAAAGTTTGAAATTTTGAATAAAAGCGAACTCAAAAATCTCTACCGAAATCTGCAAAAAAAAAATTTTTTTTTCTGTCTATTTTTCTAAAGTTGTCCTTTTTATAAAAGCAATTAAAACTCGATAGATTTTTCTAAAATATTCCCCAAAACGTTTTCTTAGCAAAAATCGAATTTCCAACCTGACAAGTTTGGAATCGCTGGCGAATTTCAGCTTCACATCGACGGCTCCAATGACCTTCCCGATGGGCGACATTTCGTTCACTTTGAATCCATATTTCTTCTCCGTGAACTCAATGCCATGGGACACTTGTTTCTCGATCTAAAATCATGATTTAGGCTGTTAGATCTGGAAAAAATAAAACTCGAATCAAGACGGTCGTATTTTTCTGGTCATGTCCGCGCACTTCGTCACTTCCAGCAGTTACGGTAACATTTGCTCCATCGGGAATCGAGATTCTTGGAACCTGGAATTCAGAACTGAATGATCATCTACAATTGAGTTCACTTTAGTTGGACTTTTTTTCTTCATACACGGGCAAAGTCGGAATAATGAATTATGGCGGCTGAAAGGGAGAGGCTCAAAAAAGGCCGCAGAAAGGCAGCAAAAAGGCGGCAAAATGAGTCCCTTTATTGAGCCTTCCATTTTTCTAGAACTCTAAAGGCTCAAGAAATGGTGTAAAAGGGAGAGGCAGCAAAAATGGTGCATAAGGGCTGAGAAAATGGCGCAAAAATGCAGCAAAAAAGACTTTCTCCCTAAAAGGAACATTTCTAACGGAACCTTTTTCCACACTTCCGACTTTGCCTATCTTCGTTTTATCGTTACGATTGAAGAAAATTTGTCATTTCAAGTTATACAAAACTTATAAAACAGTGATCATAAAAGAGGAAAAAAACTTAACAGAGATCAACAAAGCAAAAAAACGTTTCTGAAAACTCGATTTCTTCAGCTTAATGTCCACGGAGCGCATATGATACTTCTATCCGATCAAATCTCTCCTTTACCAAACTTCATGAAAATTTTTAAAAATAACACAATTTTTTCGATCATAACTTGTGACATAACAATTGAAATATATGTTGTTTGATTTAAATAAAACTTTTAAAACAGTAAACACAGCAGAAAAAAAAAAATAAATCACCTATTGAAAAAGCAAATCTTATCGAGAAAAAAAAATCAATTCTGGTTGATTTCAGTAGAGCTCAAATGACACTCCTAACTGCGCAGATCAATTTTTCACAAAATTCAAAGATCAGCGAAAAACAGTAATTATTCTGCTTCAAAAACACGCAAGAACAGATTGGAAGTTAAAAATTGTAGTTATCTAAAATCTATGAAACAGTAATCACAACAGAAGCGTTCCCTAGAGGGGAAAAAAGTCCCTAAGGAGACAAAATAGTGCTCCCTAGAGGGGTAAAATACAAGTGGTCCCTAAAGAGGAACCTTAAAGTGTCCCTAAGTTTGCCCCTTAAGGGATCACTCCGGTGTTCCCAAGTTTTTTCCCATTACAAACCGTGTACAATAGCCAAAGATCATCCTGTCGTTCAATCCGGAACCAATGTTTCAGATCGTCTTCGATGAAGCCAATCTGGACGCCCTCGTTCTTGTTCAAGACGCTGATCACCGCCGCCAACTGCTCAGACTCCAGGTTTTCGTCGCTGATCGCCTTCGTCTCCACGGAAACTCGCAGTGGAGCGTGTTTCGTCTCAGTTACTGTGATCTACAAAAAAAAAATCATTTTAGATTATCTTTTTTCGAATAATAGCAGTAGAAAAATGATATATTCAGGATCACAAAAAATGTCTTTATATGGAGTTTTGGATCAAAGAAAACGATTTTAGTGCACCTGTGCCTTTAAAGGCGCATATGCAGTAAAAATGGAGTTTGATGAAAAAAAAAGTGGCTTTTTATAGAGCTTTCCATCGTGTTCAAAACTACACACTTGAAAATGTACAGAATTTTAAACTTTGGAACGAAAAAATTCAAAGAAAAAATTTTTTGACCTCGCCAAAAGTGCGGTTTGCAGCAAGGTTGCTCTATGGAGAATAGTAATCGCCATTTTTTTTTTTGGTTAGCCATTCTCCTTAAGTAGTCATTTTAGACCTAACGCAAACCGGACGCGCCTCGGAGCCATTATAGTGATCGCTTAAGAGATCTGAGAGGTCTAAAAGTGCTGACGCCGCTATAGTGACCACTAGAAATGCTCCGGGGCGCGTCTGAGGTCCGTTTTCGTTTCAATTTTAAAATTGATTGTTTTACTCTTTCAAACACCGTTTTTAACCCACCCATCACCTCTTATACACTTACAAATTTGATTTCTTCTGAAGGTCGAAAAAATAACCATGACATAGCAGCAAGATCGCTCTACGGACAACACTAATCTTCATTTTTTGTCTTACAAGGGTTGACGCCGCTAAAGTGATCACTAGAAATGCTACAAGGCGCGTCTGAAGGTCAATTCTCGTCAATTTCAAATTTTTTTTCACCTTTAAAAATCCGCATTTACTGCCCCTATATGCTCAACAATCCGTTTTTTCTGTAACTTTCAAAAAATTACAATGACGTCCTCGGTCCAGATCATCCTCTCGTCCCCCTCGTCGTAGTAGAACAAGCGCGAGGCGCGATCTTCCGCCCGCACTTTCAACTCGTATTTTCCAGCTTTCAGAGGTCGTAACGTCCGAACCCAGCCTGAAATTTCCAAACTTATTATTTTTTTTCTTATTTTTTTGGTTTTTACCGCTGACGGCGTCGACGAAGAAGTCATGACTGTGGTTGGCAAACGAGTAATAGACTTCCGAATTGATTCCGACGTCGGCGTCCGAGGCTTCTACTTGCAGGACTTTTGAGAACGGAGGCGTCTGGAAAAATGCATTTATTCCAAAAAAAAAAGCTCGAACTCATTTTTTTGATGGAAAGAGAAGAAAATTCAATTTTTACAGATTTCTGCCTCAATGTCAACTGTATAACTATACCATATAGTTTATTTTTTGCGCATGGAAGGCTAAAAAATCTCGCATTTTTCTGCTTTTTTGTTGCTCAACCACTGGCTATTGACCTAGTCAGTCCAAATTTTGAATATCAAGCCGTCGCTCAAGCTCCGCCCCCTAATGACTCGATAAGCCAATCAGAGAGCGAGCCATCCACAGAGGGTTTTCAAATGACGTCATTTTACTTCATTCAACTCGGAAAAAATAGAAAAGTTTGCATCGACGTCTAAATCTCTCGAATCCCACACCCTCTCATCAAGTCAAGACCTTTTTTTGAATCCCATTTACTTTAAATATCCGGTAAGGCAGAAGTAAATAAAAAATCAGATTTGCAAAATTAAAAAAAAACGGATAATCATTTTCGACTTTTGACATCGACTTTTTCAGCTGCTAAAGTGTTGTAAAAACTTTAAAAACTGTTCCAAAAATATTTTTTTTTGCTAAAAAATGAACAGAAGTCCTAATAAACCCCTTTTTTCAGCTGAACTCATTAACTTTCGACGTTCTATTTGCTTGATATCAGTCATTATGCCGTCATTGTCGTGAGAACTGCCGGGGATATTTAATGATGGCGGCCGAAAAGACGCGCTGTCATTAACAGACGTGGTCGTTAAATCCCACATACCTCTTCTTTGAAAGAAGAAAAAAAAGAAGAGTTGAAGGTGACTTTTCGTGGGTTTGTGGGTGGGAGAAAAATTTGAATTTTGGCAGATATTTCATAGTTTTCTTGAATGCTTTTGGATTTCCTAATAAGTGAGGGGAACTAATTTTGAATGAAAAAAACCCAAAAATTTAGAGAAAAGACAAGAAAATCATAAGCTTTTCAAAAAAAAAAAATTCAAACTTTTTGCATACTTCAGTGTTTTCAATAAAATAGCAGTTGTCACAGATTTTGAAAAAGGGAAAAAAACGGCTCGAAAAACATTTTCGGACCTTGGTAACGCGAACGGGACGCGAATCGGACGTGTCGGGGCATTTCTAGTGACCACTTTAGTAGCCTCAGAACTCTTAAGTGATCCCTAGAATCGCCCAGAAAACGTCCGGATAACGTCTGTTTTGAGTTACCAATGTCCGAGTCATGAATCAAACTGGGACCTCGGTAACGCAAACCGGACGCTGCTGAGCGTTTCTAGTGACCACTCTAGGGGCGTCCGGACTCTTAAGTGACCACTTGGAACTCTCAGAAACGTCCGGGGAGCGTCCGGTTTGCATTACCGAGAATCCAAAAAAATTAGGAATTTTTACCGGACCAAAAAAGGACAAAATTGATCCAAAAACATGGTTATTTAAAGCCGGCGAATAAATCAATTCATAAAAGGAAAAAACAACTTCAAAAATCCTCCAACAAAGCTGAAAAAAGAAAAATGCTTCAAAAAATCATTAAATAAAAAAAACTAGCCCTACTCGAAGGAAAAATACCAACCTGATCATCCAAAGTGGCCTGATATCCATCGGAAGTGAGGAAAATCGGACTGGCGTCGTTTCTGTCGGCCACTCTCAGGACAACTCTCGTCGTCGCCTCCAAATTCGTCGAGTCCCGTCTTTTACAGGTTGCCTTCACCAGCATATTGTAAGTGTCCTGGAATTCATCGTTTGGAAATTTCAAACCAAATATATAGAGGAAGTCGCAAAAAGGGCTCCAAGGACTCCCAAAAAAGGTAGAAAATGGTTCCTCGAACGTGCTTCGGACGTTTATGTGCAATTCAAGGGATCACTTAAGAGTGCTGGCAATACTAAAGTGGTCACTAGAAAGGTCCAGAAACGAGCACGTCCCAGTCCTTTTTCCTTCAATTTTGCGTCATTCTAACAACTTTTACAGCATATTCACCACGACTTGAAAATGTCTGCCTGTCTGCGTCTCTCTGTTCCCTCACCGAAGAGGTCAGAGAAAAATAAAAATAGCACAAAATACGAGAGGGTCGCCGAGAGGCGAAGAGAGCGCAGAGATTTCTTTTTCAAGTGGATTTAGGAACCCCAGAGCGGTCACTAGAGGGGTTAGGGAGAAAAAAGGTTTTATGATGACCAGAAAAGTGCTTCCTAGTGGGCTAAACTTTAAGTGTTCCCTATAGGAGTTTAGAACCTGACCCCTGACCCCCTAAAGCTTAAGTGGTCCCTACAGTGATATTTTGATTTTTCGTTCTGTTTAATAGTTAAAATGGGTTTAAACGACTTATTTTAGCATGCTCCCCTAGAGTGGCCACTTTTGCAAGCTTCTGTGCCACTTATAAGGTCCCTTGAGGGAACCTTCAAGTGTTCCTAAGCTGGTCACTCTAAGGACCCCTCTGGCGTTCCTTACTATTTCTTATTTCCTTTTAAAATTCTAACTTCCATACCTTCAATTCTCTGTTCAACGGATTGTCGTCTTTGAATCGGATCCTCAGGAAGACAAAGTCTCCGATTTGCCGAGTTTGAGCCTTGAAGATCGAGTTTTTCTCGCCCTAAATTTCAGAATAAAAAAACAATTTGAATGTTTTCTGGAAACCGTGATCTCAGCGATTCGGAATTTACAGGTGGCCGTTCTATCCGGCAAAGGGACCCCGATTTTCGTCGAGTTTTCCGGAATGGCAAATTTGGCGATTTGAGCATTTTCCTCTAAGGAGAAGTAGTAGAGGGGCGAGGAGAACTCGAAAATGTCGTTTTTACCTGAGAAAATTAAGAAAATGATTAAAAACAATAAATATTGATTAATTTATGAGCAAATCCTACTGAAAAAAAAATTTGAGAACATGAAAATTCTTACTAAATTCGTCCAAAGTTCAAAAAAAGAGCTTTGTTCTGTGAAAGATGATAAGGAACTTACTTAAAAAAATCAAACAAAAAAATTTTTTTTTCTCAATTTCGTTTAAAAGATATAACAGGTTCAATGACAAGCTAAATTCTCATTTTGATAAAAAAACTTCACAGTTTACTGTTTCAATCAGTTTATAGGAAAAAAATTAACAAAAAAATGATTGGTAATATCATAAAAAAACTTTTTCTAAATTATAAAATTGAAATTCCGAAATTAATCGATGAAACCGTGACATTTTCTCTTCAAAAAGAACATTCAAAAAATCAAATAATCCCAAAACTGACCGGAATTCCGATTCGATCGCCACGCTAGCGCCTTTTGAAAGCACAGTAGCAATAAAAAGAGTAATAATATGCGATATCGCTTCATTTTTCAGAAACGCGTCTTCGAAACGCTTTGTCCCGCGTCACATTAGTACAGCAAACGACGGTCTTTCCAAAATTTGTATTCGAGACGGTCTGAAAATCACGAAAACTGAGAATTTGAATAATATAGGAAGCAAAAAAGTGTCGAGGCGACGAGAAACAAAAAAAAACCGAGTGGAGAAAACGGCGGCACTCCACTCAAATACGCATAAATCACCAAGAAGGTGGGTGGGCTTCGAAAGAAACGAACATCTGGATCAGAGGAACGTTTTTGAACAGAGAAAGAAGAAGTGGAGAATGGGCGAAAGTTAGTATAGTACATTAGCTCCAAGAAAATGACCACTTAAGGGGAATGGCTCGGGCGGCGTCGCGGTCGCGTTGCGTTGAGAATTTCAAGAAATAAGCGTCAGTTCAAAATTTCGTGACTTTGAACCTTCTAGAACTCTAGAAAAAAACTTCAATTTTTAAAAAAGGAAAAAAAACTCTCAACAAAAAAAAGAAGTCGGGAATGGCTTAAAAAAATAGTATAGTACATTAGCTCCAAGAAAATGACCACTTTAGGGAAATTGCTTGAAGGACGCGGCCACGTTGCGATCGAAATATATGAAATAAGCTCAAAATTCAAATTTTTTTAAATCTCTAAAATTATAAGAAGATTAAACTTTAAAAAAAGAAGGAAAATGACAAATATTCACAACAAAAAAATATCTAATGAAAAATTTTTTTCAACTTTTTCAGAAATAGTTAATTATTGGTTTTTTTAACATGAATTTTCTCAAATTGAAAAAAATTGAAAAAAAGTAAAAAAATTTTTTTTCGAAATTTTCATAAATGGCAAGCGGCATATATTCGTGGCGATTTTTATCCAGCATTTCATGAAGAAAGAAAAAATTAAAAACTGGGAAAATTTAAGCTAACTGATAGCATTCCAGAGAAAAATATAGAACTCAAAAATTCCTTTGAACGCACTATTTAGGTTCAAACTCCTTTTGGGGGCAAACATTTTGGACTCAATCGAGTACCGATGTTTCTGGATGAACCGTGACAATTGGGGGAAAGTACGAACGAAAATAGGAACAAAAAATAAAAAGAGGCCTCTCTCTCGAGGACCGGTGAGATGAAACACGTGTTATGTTTGACCAATCTCGAAAGGCTCGCACCCATTTGGGCAAACAAATTTTTCCTTTTGGATCCGACGATCGGGGAAAACTTTTTCCATCGGAAAGAACCCATAAAACTTCAGAAAAAGCTGCGATTTCTAGGTTGGAAGGGTTGATGAGGCTCCCACGGGGCGGCCGGCTCTTTGGTCAAGAGAAAGTCAAACAGACTTGCCAAATGTGGACACCGTTCTGGCGGCGGCACAGAACCCATGTTATCATTGGAGAGCTACAGAGAGTCGTGAGATTAATTTCAAATTCAAAAAAAGGCTTTTTTTCTATACTTTTTGATGATCGGCGACAAGTTTCAAAAAAATTAAAATACAATAAAAAAATTAAAATGAAAAAAATGCTTCAAAAATATCTTTTTAGTGACTATTACAGAAAGATCTTTTGAAAGAACCGATTTTTCCGACCGTCGGATCAAACGAAGTTGGTCCAAAAAGGTCAAATAAGAGCTTCTAAACAGAAAAATCAAGTAAGGTTTTTCAAAGGTCTCTTTCATATGACTGTTTTTTCGCATTTTTCCAGCTTTTTCTATGCAAAAATAGAATAAATGGCTGATATTGACTTTGTGGAAGTCAAGGCAAATTTCTAATACTTTCAACTGCTCCAAACTCTCTAAATTCATATCTCGATCGCTCAAAACTGACTCTGGCATCCCTAACTTATATTATAATGATAACTTTGTCACGGAAGATGTATCTAAAGCCGATCTCTTCTCATCTGTTTTCTCCTCTAACTTTTCACATTTGATTCACCCAACATTTCCTGTTTTACCCTCACCTCGTCCTACCGATTGTTCTATCAACTTCACACCTGAAACGATTTTTTTAAAAACTCTTTCTAATCTTCCACCTAAATGCGGTTATTCTTCTGATAATATCAACTATTTTTGTCCTAAAAAAAGTGCTCTGTTTCTATTTCTCTTCCACTTTCTATTATTTTCCAGGAATCTTATCTAACCGGTATCACTCCTTCATTATTTAAGTCTACTATAGTTATTCCTGTGCATAAAAAAGGTAGTCTTTCTGATCCAAATAACTTTCGCCCCATATCTCTCACTCATCCAATTTCTCGTGTATTTGAACGCATCATTACTCAAATGATAAGATCTCGTTTTTCTGAAAAATTCTCTCAATTCCAATTCGGCTTTCTCAATCGTAGGTCATGCAAACTTTCTCTAATCAGCTCCCTTTCCTCCATTCAAAAATCCTTGGCATCTAATCTTCCTATCGATGCTGTTTATTTCGATTTTTCCAAAGCCTTCGATAAAGTAGATCATAACCTTTTACGCCTAAAGATGTCCAATTTCGGCTTTAATGATACTCTCTGTCGCTGGTTCTCCAATTTTTTATCTAACCGTTCCTCCATTGTAAAAGTTAACAACTCGTTTTCTAACAATTCTTTTTCTAATCCTTCGGGTGTACTTCAAGGGACGGTCAGCGGCCCCCTTCTCTTTCTCGTTTTCATCAATGATATTGAAAATTTTATTGATCCTCAATCCTCGATCTCTATCTTTGCTGATGACCTCAAGGTTTATAGCTCTTGCCCTGATTCGCTTCAAAGAAGCATAAATGGTATTTTCCAATGGTCAGAACTTTGGTCTCTTCCACTTGCTGTTGAAAAGACTTTTTCTCTTCACTTTGGCTCTAACAATCCTCAAACGGTCTATTTTCTTGATCAATTTCAAATCCCACAAAGATCAATTGTTCGTGATCTAGGCCTTCAAATTGATGAGAAGCTCTCCTTCAAAGACCATATTTCCCGTATCTCTGCCTTTGCTACATTACGGTCTAATCAAATACTAAATACCTTTAAGTTTTCTTCCCCCCTGCACTACCTCAGAATGTTTCAAACCTACGTGACGCCTATTCTCGAATATTGTAGTGAAATCTTTTCTCCCTCTATCTCGTCTGAGGAATGCTTCAAACTCGAGTCTTCTCTACGCCAATTCAGTAGAAAAAGTTTTTTTATAAGATGCAATGTTCGCTTCAGTTCTTATTCTGATCGTCTCAGCCAATTTGGCTTTAAACCTCTCTTTGTACGTCGTTGTATTAACGACATTATTTCTCTTCATAAAAATAATTTGCGGCTCTGACCACTTTCTCAATCGCAATGACTTCTTCACTATTTCTCCTTTACAGAGGAATCCACTTCGACTTCGCACTTCCGGTCAGTTCTCTAAAGATTTTTCCAAAACTATTCCATTATGGAATAAACTTACCTCTAGAATAAATTTTTAACGTCTCTACGGATGCGCTACGGGTTAAACTTAATGATCTCCCCTAACTCTGCCTTTTTCGAATCCATTCCTTCCCGTTTGCTCTGAATTCCTTTCTATCCCCGGGTCATAGTCTACTCGTTAGGGTGGACTAATTCCCGTTTTGGTTATTCTGCTGCTTTCGTATTCTGAACTATTTTATTTATTATTTTCCAACAGTATGCAGTGAATAAACCTATGCAACAAGGCTTCAAAAAAGCTCAAGAAAAGATGCAAGTCAGAAGAAAAAGTGAAAAAAAAGCTGCTCGAAAGTTTTTTTGACGGGTGTTTAATGAAAATTTTAAGCGCATTTCTGTGACCTTTTTCGATTTAAGGTATAAAAAAATATGTTCACATCTACCTGTGTAAAAAGCTTCTTCTCATACTATCAATAGTCACCAAGAAATAGAAAAAAAAAATCCAAATTTTCTCATAGTGAACACTACAGGGACATAGATATTCAAGTTCCCAACATAATAATAGAACGGCCGAAAAAACGAAGGATAACACGATTATAAACGTCTCAAGATACACTTGAACTTTACAAAAACCTTGAAACGAAAAGTTTAAAATAATAGTAAGGACAGAGAAAAAAAGTATGTCAAGAACTGAACTTTAGAAAATATCAAAACTCAAAGACAAAAAAAAGAGCAAAACGAGAAAAATATGACCGCGAATGTAGAGGAAGGAGTTTGACCAACTCCAGTTTGACCTACCTAGTCTTAAAAATCTATATTTACAGAGGATAGCCTCAATGTTTTTTTCAAATTGAAGAATAAGCCAAAAAATTCACCGGAATCGGTTTAAAAAATGGGTTTTTGATTTACAGTAAAAGTGAGCTGATTTGATATTTTAAAAAAATAAAAAGAAAGACTAACTAATTTTTACAAGTTTCAAACTGTAAGTAATATACAAAAACTATGAGGAAAAAAACCAAAAAAACTCGCCAGAAACGGTTCAAAAACATGATTTTAAAACAGTAAAATTCTCTATTTTCTCAAAATTTTTCAGAAAAAGTTGGCTGACTTGGAATCGGAAAAAGTAGTAGAAAGAACAAAATGTGAAAGAAAAAAAAAAAATTAATTTTTGAAGTTGTATTCAAAAATAAAGTTCGATATGGAAAAAAATACGAATCGAGCTTCAAAAAAATCCGAAAAAGAAAAAAATATTGAAGAAAAAAATTTTTTTTTCGGACTTTTTAGTGATTATTTCACAAAAACAGAAATTGAGGAAGTTTCTGTGGTTAATTAGGAAAAAAATCCAAAACTGAGAAAGCTATGAAACAGTTAATAAAATTTTTCAAACCCTTTTTGAAAATAAGCCAAAAAAGGAAATCGCCGACCGTATAAAAATCCTGTCGGCAAAATAATGAAGCTGTCCAGCGTTCAAAGAAGGTCCAAAGGATCCTCGAAAAGATCTTCAGAATGGACTATAGCTGACCAGGAGGAGCATGAAAGGCGGACACGCGGGAAAAGTGTTTGAGGAGAAGAGCCAAAACGATTCAAACAATGTGCACTTGGCACATTGCGTCGGAGAGAAAACGTTTTCCTTTTTTATTCGGAATGGCCGGTCGAATTCGTCGTCGTCGTCGTCGTCGCCGTGGAAAACGGGCGGCTCGGTTCGTCTCTTTTGCACTTGCGACGCCGACGATGCGTGCATAATCCCCACGGCGGCTCAAGGTGACGCCGCCCTACTCGGCTCCTGCCGACGTCTCTTTTCTTCGATGGCACTCTTTGTTTCGCATGTTTGGGTCGCAATTTAGGTGATTTCTCAGCTTGTGAAAATCAAGATTCAACAAATTTTTTTGGCGGTCAAAAATTTCGTTATTTCTTAGCTCATTCAACACAAAATATCTTTTCCCAAAAGTTCTTGTCCCAATTTTCGTGATTTCTTGTGATAATGATCTATTGACAGATCAGGATGAGCCCTGAAGAGTCCACTTAGATCTTTGAATTCTCAGCTTATTACAAAAACAACTTCAGAAAAGTGTTTGAGTCAAAATTTGCATGATTTCTCTACTTAATAAAAAAATAAAAATTTCATTAAAAAAATTTTTTTCAAAAAAATTTAAATCACAGTCTGCGTTCTCAGAAAAATCCTCAAACTTATGAACATAAAAAAACCTAAATTTTTTTTAAAAACTCTCTCGATACCCTCTTCTCAGTACTCTCTGACAGATAATGTACGGTTAACCAGAAATTCAAGATTTTCTCGAAAAATCGGTTGTAACGCTTTTAATTCCATTCAAAAATAGCAATTTATAAAAAAGTACTCAAAATTCCAGTTTTTGGAATTTTGAAATTACCTTCCAAAAACTTTTACGACGTCATATCGAAATAGTCTATTCATGTGTAACACAATTTCGCGTTTTAATTGAATTTCGAGCTTAATATTATCAATTTTGAAGGCTCAAAAATAAATAAAACTAAAAAACAACATATTCAAGCCACCTAGACCTTTTCCACGGAAAAAAGTTGAAGTTTATAATCTTTTTGCTCTCAATTTTATCAGCTTAGCATCTCGAAATGGTTTTTTGTCTGAAAGATAAGAAAAGCAAACAAAAATCTACCTCAAAAGTCAATAATTTCAAAATATTCGAAAAGACTCCAAAAATGGACACGAAAATATTCCTATTCAAGGCGAGTCAAATGGAGCAATCAAAAAGCTCACGCCTGAATTCTCAAAACAGCCTTCACCTATACGACACACACGGAATTCAGTGTTGTTTTGGCCGAGTGGACACGGGCGGCGAGATAATTGTATTTTGGGTTGATTTAGGTAAACGTCTATAAATTGGCTAAACATTCGGGAAAATTGAAAGGAGCGTTAAACTATAGTCTTAACACGTTCAAAAAAAAAAAGATAGGGAAAAGAAACTTTTTTTTTGATTTTTGGAAAGTCCCGGAATGATTATGAGCTATTCTTCGACTACAAAATCAAGTCAAATCAATCAAAAAAATAAATCAACTGGGAAAACTTTTAGCGGCCACTTTAGAGGCTCACCAAGGATACTTGGAGAGACACTAAAGTGGCCACTAAACTCACCTCTATAGTGGCCACTATCATCCGTTTTAGTGGCCACTATAGAGGCTCGCCAAGGGCTACTTGGAAAGGACACTAAAGTGGCCACTATAAAGGTTCTCTATTTAGTGGCCACTTCAGTAGTTTTTCATCCAGTATTCCTTCCAGTAACTCTGATAATTTTAAAACAAACAGATTGGACCAGTTATGTTGATCCATTGACCCCTAAAGTGGCCACTAAATTTTTAGTGGTCTAGTATTGACACTTAGACCTCTCTGGCCACTAATCTTTAACCCTTTAAGTAGCCACTAATTTAACTACTATAGTGGCCACTAAAACGTCAAAACCCTATGAAAAAGCCACTAAAAACTTTCTCAGAAAGTCGTATAAAAGCTTCAAAACTTCAAAATATATCTCCATTCTGCCCGAAACGGTCCGAAAGATGTACACAAACACCGTCTTAATCCATAAATTGCCCATTTAATTACACGTTTCGAAACTTGTTCCATTCAAAGATAAACCAAACTGAAGAATATATGATATATAGCTAAAAAAAAAAGTTCAATACAAAGTTTGTAAACTTCCAGAAAATCGAAAAAATGTTCAAAAGCCTGAAAATTTTTTTTTCAAGTCTTCAAAGCAACTTATTCTTCATTTTTCGTCCAAGTCTAAACATTTACTGGGGAAAACTTTAGTGGCCACTTAAGAGGTTTTTCAAAAACTCCTGCGAGAGGACACTAAAGTGACCACTAAAAATACCTCTATAGGAGTTCCTATTTCGCCATTTAGTGGCCACTGTATATACTAAAACATCAAAACTCTGAAGCGGCCACTAAATTTTTCCACTGAAGCTTTAAGTTTCTGAAATTATTATTTTTCGAAACTTGAAGGTACTCAGGACTATTTTTCAAAGATTTTATGAGCAAGTTTTTTTCAGAGATTTCTTTTTGTTTCCCCAAAAATGACCTCTTGAGAACGCGAAAAATTCTTAGGAGGAAAAGAAAAAAAGAAGAAGAAGAAAGTGAGCAGGATGGACAACACAACACGAAAAAAAGTGGCCGAAATTGCTAGCTTTGTGTTGGCGTCGCGCGGCTGGCTTCGCATAAAAAGTTAAGGAGAGCGGCTAGCCGAAGGGGGAGGAGGAAAAAGTGAAGCCGAGTTGACCAAGGACAAAAAAAAGAGCTGGGCGAGCAAGTGTGAACGGATCGCGATTAAGATGCCACCAAAATTGGACGAAGAAAGGCACTCGAACGGGAAAAATTGGGTTCCACGCAAGTCTTGTCGTCCATTTTGGACACGACAATGGCCCTTTACATCATGTTTTCATTTTAGGGATTTTTAAACATAAATATAATTCAGAATTTGCTCATATTCTCGCGAAAAATAATTATAAAAAAAATCGAGAAGCTCAAACTTGGCTCAAAAATATTTGGAAACAACGTTTCTACATTTTTTTAAAGCTCGAATAATTTTTTTAAGCTTAAAAAAACGTAATCAAGCTCAAAATGGTTTTTTTAACTGGCTATTACTACTCAATTTGACAACTGAAAGTCAGAAAACTCTTTAAAAACTGAATTCAAGCTTGAAATCAATCAAAAAACCAGTGATTCTCTTTTTTTCAAGGCTCAAAACCTTGAAACCGACTTCGAATAACAGGAAAAAGCATAGTGGAAAACCGAACTCGACGCTAATTGGAGAATTGAGTTGAAGTTTTTTTTTTTCAAGTTCTCAATTTGCAGAAAAAAAAACCTCTCGAAAAACTTCTGAACTTCTTCCAAGCACTTTTCTCATACACTAATACCATATTTTTTTTTCAAAAATAACCCGAAAAATCGGTTCTAGAAAGAAAGAAAAATCTGAAAAAAAGCTAAGAAAAAAATTGAAAAAAATCGATTTAAAAAAATGCTTTTTTTGAGTCGCTGAGCTAAAATAATCATGTTAATAAATTCGAAAAAAAGCTCGATTTACCTTTTTTTATGCAATATCTTCAAAAGTTTTAATCTTAATTTTCTCGAATAAATCCTTAGAGTTGGGAAACATGATGATCTTGATAATCTTGATTTAAAAAAATAAAATTTTTCGGTTCTTTTTTCCAAAAATTCTTCTTGAATACACTTCAAAGTCGGCAACTTTGCGACCCTCCAGAGAAGAAACAGGAAAACAAAACAAAACCAAACCAAACAAGGAAAGGGAAGTGAACCAAAAGCAAGACTAAAAAGGCGGCAACCAAATAAGGCCAGAAATATACAAACTAGCAGAACCCTACGACAGAAACGAAGAAGAAACAAGAAGGAGCCAAACTTTTGCAATTTGCTGAGTCAAAGACGTGCTCACTCACGTTTTTTGAACTTTTCCTGCCGTCCGTACGTCTTTGAGAGTACGGTCGGTTGTCGCGAAACAAAAGAGGCGAGAAAGGCAGACGGAGCAACACAAATTTTCTATTATATAACAGAGCTACCAGGGAAAATTCGATTATCACTAGAGGATGATAAATTTAAACATTTGACGAGACTGGACGAGATTTCAAAAACCCCAACAAAAAAAAAATCACAATCAAAGTATCGAAACCATTACAGTACACTAAATGCTTCTAAAGCCACTAGAGGGACCACTTAGGCTCAAGAATCTAACAAAAGGTGACTATTTTTGGAATGAAAAACTTCTAAAAAGAAAAAAATCGACCTTCCTCTAAAATTTTTCCGACTTTCTTGGTCCTTCAAGTAAACTAGATACAAGCCATAAACAAAGAAATCGAAATGGATTCTCAGGTAAAAAGGTCAGGAAGGTACGGCTATTCCAAGTGATCACTAAAGGGTTCTGACGCCCCTTAAGTGATCACTGAATGACTCAGAAACGTCCAGAAGGCAAAGAAACAAATTCATTCAACTTCTCAAGTGAATTAAAAAAGCGAAATGGTTCTATCAGGGAAAAAAAGGTCAAGAATATATTGCCTAACCAAGTGATCCCTAAAGGGTTCAGGCCCCATCAAGGGATCACTAAGTGGATGAGATAATTCCTTAAGGCGTAGCAACCTGTCGACTTTTAATGAATTCGGAGTCCTCCTCAGATTCCCCACTTCCCCCTTCCCCCCCAAAACCTAAAAAATTCATTTTTTTTTTTCTCAAACAGTTCGACTTCTTTGTCCCCTCAAGTGAACCGAAAACAAGCGATTTTCCATGAAAAAGAAGGTGAAATGGGCATCTCAAGGAAAAAAAAAGGTCAAGAAGATATTGCTGATCTAAGTGAACACTAAAGGGTTCATACGCCCCTTGCGTGGTCACTAAGTCGCTCAGATAAGTCCTCCAAACGCGGAGACAATATTACCACTTCTAAAACAACAAAAAAATGAGAAGTTTTTGGAAAACCGCGTATTATCCTTCTCAACATACTCGACTTCTTTGTCCCCCAAGTAAACCGAAAACAAGCGATTCCCATGAAACAAAGAAAGCGAAATGGATCTCTCAGGGAAAAAAAAGGTCAAGAAGATATTGCGGGAAGGCGTGCAGGGGAAGAGGCGACCGACAGGATCGCACATGAACGGATGACAATTGGCAGTGACAAGTCGGGACATTGGCCGTGTCTTGGCGCGTTTCTGCGAACAGCCTATGCAAATGAGGAGAGACACCGGTCTGCACAGAGAACGGGAGGTCGTGCTTCGGTGCACACCATTTTTTTTTCTGTGTTCGTGTCGACTCGGAAAGAAATCGAACAGTTTTTTTCTAGGGCAGATGGCTACGACT